TGCAGTGAATCTCCACTCCTGATGTCATTAGCTTCTGCAGTGAATCTCCACTCCTGATGTCATTAGCTTCTGCAGTGAATCTCCACTCCTGATGCCATTAGCTTCTGCAGTGTGTCTCACTTCTTATTGTCATTAGCTTCTGCAGTGAATCTCCACTCCTGAAGTCATTAGCTTCTGCAGTGTGTCTCAGTTCCTAGTGTCATTTGCCTCTGCAGTGTGTCTCACTCCCTATTGTCATTAGCTTCTGCAGTGAATCTCCACTCCTGATGTCATTAGCTTCTGCAGTGTGTCTCAGTTCTAAGTGTCATTAGCTTCTGCAGTGTGTCTCAGTGCCTAGGGGCATTAGCTTCTGCAGTGAATCTCCACTCATGATGTCATTAGCTTCTACAGTGGGTCTCAACTCAAATTGTCATTAGCTTCTGCAGTGTATCTGACTTCCTATTGCCATTAGCTTCTGCAGTGAATCTCCACTCATGATGTCATTAGCTTCTGCAGTGTGTCTCAGTTCCTAGTGTCATAAGCTTCTGCAGTGTGTCTCACTCCCTATTGTCATTAGCTTCTGCAGTGAATCTCCACTCCTGATGTCATTAGCTTCTGCAGTGAATCTCCACTCCTGATGTCATTAGCTTCTGCAGTGAATCTCACTCCCTATTGTCATTAGCTTCTGCAGTGAATCTCCACTCATGATGTCATTAGCTTCTGCAGTGTGTCTCAGTTCCTAGTGTCATTAGCTTCTGCAGTGTGTCTCACTTCTTATTGTCATTAGCTTCTGCAGTGAATCTCCACTCCTGATGTCATAAGCTTCTGCAGTGAATCTCCACTCCTGATGTCATTAGCTTCTGCAGTGAATCTCCACTCATGATGTCATTAGCTTCTGCAGTGGGTCTCACTCCCTATTGTCATTAGCTTCTGCAGTGTGTCTCACTCCCTATTGTCATTAGCTTCTGCAGTGAATCTCCACTCCTGATGTCATTAGCTTCTGCAGTGAATCTCCACTCCTGATGTCATTAGCTTCTGCAGTGAATCTCCACTCCTGATGTCATTAGCTTCTGCAGTGAATCTCCACTCCTGATGTCATTAGCTTCTGCAGTGAATCTCCACTCCTGATGCCATTAGCTTCTGCAGTGTGTCTCACTTCTTATTGTCATTAGCTTCTGCAGTGAATCTCCACTCCTGATGTCATTAGCTTCTGCAGTGTGTCTCAGTTCCTAGTGTCATTAGCTTCTGCAGTGTGTCTCACTTCTTATTGTCATTAGCTTCTGCAGTGAATCTCCACTCATGATGTCATTAGCTTCTGCAGTGTTTCTAAGTTCCTAGTGTCATTTGCCTCTGCAGTGTGTCTCAGTTTCTGGTGGCATTAGCTTCTGCAGTGAATCTCCACTCCTGATGTCATTAGCTTCTGCAGTGTGTCTCAGTTCTAAGTGTCATTAGCTTCTGCAGTGTGTCTCAGTGCCTAGTGGCATTAGCTTCTGCAGTGAATCTCCACTCATGATGTCATTAGCTTCTACAGTGGGTCTCAACTCAAATTGTCATTAGCTTCTGCAGTGTATCTGACTTCCTATTGCCATTAGCTTCTGCAGTGAATCTCCACTCATGATGTCATTAGCTTCTGCAGTGAATCTCCACTCATGATGTCATTAGCTTCTGCAGTGTGTCTCGCTCCCTATTGTCATTCGTTTCTGCAGTGAATCTCCACTCCTGATGTCATTAGCTTCTGCAGTGTGTCTCAGTTCTAAGTGTCATTAGCTTCTGCAGTGTGTCTCAGTTCCTAGTGTCATTAGCTTCTGCAGTGTGTCTCAGTTTCTGGTGGCATTAGCTTCTGCAGTGAATCTCCACTCATGATGTCATTAGCTTCTACAGTGGGTCTCACTTGCTATTGGCGTTAGCTTCTGCAGTGTGTCTCACTTGCTATTGTCATTAGCTTCTGCAGTGAATCTCCACTCATGATGTCATTAGCTTCTACAGTGGGTCTCAACTCATGATGTCATTAGCTTCTGCAGTGTGTCTCACTTGCTATTGGCATTAGCTTCTGCAGTGTGTCTCACTTGCTATTGTCATTAGCTTCTGCAGTGAATCTCCACTCATGATGTCATTAGCTTCTACAGTGGGTCTCAACTCATGATGTCATTAGCTTCTGCAGTGTGTCTCACTTGCTATTGGCATTAGCTTCTGCAGTGTGTCTCACTTGCTATTGTCATTAGCTTCTGCAGTGAATCTCCACTCATGATGTCATTAGCTTCTACAGTGGGTCTCAACTCATGATGTCATTAGCTTCTGCAGTGTGTCTCACTTGCTATTGGCATTAGCTTCTGCAGTGTGTCTCACTTGCTATTGTCATTAGCTTCTGCAGTGAATCTCCACTCATGATGTCATTAGCTTCTACAGTGGGTCTCAACTCATGATGTCATTAGCTTCTGCAGTGTGTCTCACTTGCTATTGGCATTAGCTTCTGCAGTGTGTCTCACTTGCTATTGGCATTAGCTTCTGCAGTGTGTCTCACTTGCTATTGTCATTAGCTTCTGCAGTGAATTTCCACTCATGATGTCATCAGCTTCTACAGTGGGTCTCAACTCATGATGTCATTAGCTTCTGCAGTGTATCTGACTTCCTATTGCCATTAGCTTCTGCAGTGAATCTCCACTCATGATGTCATTAGCTTCTGCAGTGAATCTCCACTCATGATGTCATTAGCTTCTGCAGTGTGTCTCGCTCCCTATTGTCATTCGTTCCTGCAGTGAATCTCCACTCCTGATGTCATTAGCTTCTACAGTGGGTCTCAACTCAAATTGTCATTAGCTTCTGCAGTGTGTCTCACTCGCTATTGGCATTAGCTTCTGCAGTGTGTCTCACTCCCTATTGTCATTAGCTTCTGCAGTGAATCTCCACTCATGAAGTCATCAGCTTCTGCAGTGTGTCTCAGTTCCTAGTGTCATTAGCTTCTGCAGAGTGTCAACTCAAATTGTCATTAGCTTCTGCATTGTTTCTCAACTCAAATTGTCATTAGCTTCTGCAGTGTGTCTCGCTCCCTATTGTCATTCGTTTCTGCAGTGAATCTCCACTCATGATGTCATTAGCTTCTGCAGTGTGTCTCAGTTCCTAGTGTCATTAGCTTCTGCAGTGGTTCTCACTTCCTATTGTCATTAGCTTCTGCAGTGAATCTCCACTCATGATGTCATTAGCTTCTGCAGTGAATCTCCACTCCTGATGTCATTAGCTTCTACAGTGTGTCTCGCTCCCTATTGTCATTAGCTTCTGCAGTGAATCTCCACTCCTGATGTCATTAGCTTCTGCAGTGTGTCTCAGTGCCTAGTGGCATTAGCTTCTGCAGTGTGTCTCACTTCCTATTGTCATTAGCTTCTGCAGTGAATCTCCACTCATGATGTCATTAGCTTCTACAGTGGGTCTCAACTCATGATGTCATTAGCTTCTACAGTGTGTCGCACTTGCTATTGGCATTAGCTTCTGCAGTGTGTCTCACTTGCTATTGTCATTAGCTTCTGCAGTGAATCTCTCCTCATGATGTCATTAGCTTCTGCAGTGAATCTCCACTCATGATGTCATTAGCTTCTGCATTGTGTCTCAACTCAAATTGTCATTAGCTTCTGCATTGTGTCTCAACTCAAATTGTCATTAGCTTCTGCATTGTGTCTCAACTCAAATTGTCATTAGCTTCTGCAGTGTGTCTCACTTCCTATTGTCATAAGCTTCTGCAGTGGATTCCACGTCCTAGTGTCATTAGCTTCTGCAGTGTATCTCACTTACTGTTGTCATTAGCTTCTGCTGTGTCTCAAACACCCAAACTAAATAAGTAAGCCATGTTATGAAGGTTACACATGGGTCGGGTATATGATGAACCAGCATATTTATCACAATTCGTCATGGAAGTTTGGATGATGTGTAGCAATAAGTACAACATTAAATCCTATCTAACGATGTGATAGTGATTGTGTGAGCTAGCATGTTGCGCTATTAAATCATGTTGACGGAGTTACGCCCTGCCATATTTCCCATGTTTATAAGGTGTATCGTGACAGGAAGTAATATTTCCATTGAACAATGTTAGTTAACGATTTTTCTGCCATTATGCAACAGCGCAAATGGCCATGTTAAATAGCTATATATGAGGAACTACAATACATGTGCCAGCGCGTTTCCAATTTTACACTATTTATATTAACGTGTCAAATATAACCCGATGACATCATATTTACATTTTTTACTGTGCACGTCATACTTCCCGTCGTTTATCAAAATAGACTGCGTGTGAGAAATTAGAGGAAATGTGTCGTGTTTCTTGGTATCATTTGAGATTGATCTGATTTTTATGGATCGTACGACAAAATAGAGCATGTGTTGACATGTAATAGAGGTTCTCACTTAGTCTTTGTTTGTATAAGCTGATCAAAGAGATTATGAGTATAAAATATATGTTTATTGTTACCAGATATATTAATATTAATCAAAGAGGTAACAGAAACCACAGAGACCAAAAGTAACCAGGTGGATTGGTAAAAATAAAAGATAAAGATTGATAGTGAACAAAGATAAAAATAGTTATTTTAATGAAAGACTTTGATAAATCAAAGATATTTTAACAGGTATTTTATTTTTTTTAAAAACAAATAGTTATCTTAATTTTCAAAAGTGGTAGTAATTAAAGGTGAGGTGTGGTGAAATGGGGTTTAACGTCGCGTCCAATATTATTGGACTTATATAGCGACGTGCATGTACGTGTATGTGTTTGTGTGGTTGCTTGTACTAGTCCGGACTGATGCCGATTTATAGTGCTAGCACACTGAGATACCATGCCGCAGTTTAACATGAATACCCCACTCAGACACAGTATACTGACTCCGAGCCGACCAGTCCTTGTTTTAGCCACTTAATGCCAAGCGCCAGACAGGGTAACAACAAGTACCATCTTTTAACGTCTTTTGGTATGACGCGCCCGGGGATCGAACCCCGGATCTTCCGCTCTCCGGGCGGGCTCTCTACCACTAGACCACGGAGGCGGTCGTAACAATAAAATAAACAAAGATATTAAGAGCAAAAAGGCATTAGTAACCAAATGTGTTAATAGTTAATAAAAGAGAATACAAGTACAATATATTTGTTTTATTTGTGGTCTTTCTCATATATATATATATACATAAAGCTTTTTGATTTTAGGCAGTGCAATGTATATTTATTAAACTTGTTTGGGAACACACTCGAAAGCCAGGCTTTCTAACGACTTCATGGTTTGTTATTTAACGCTACATTCAGCAATATTCCAGCTATATGACAGCGGTCTGTAAATAATTGTTTCTGGCCCAGACAATCAATTGATTGATATCATGAGCATCGATCTACGCAATTGGGATACGGTGACATGCATCAACCAAGTCAGCGAGCCTGACCACCCGATCCCGTTCGTCGCCTCTTACGACAAGCATTGTCGCCTCTAATGACAAGTATATCTGCCGCATGTGAGTCGAAAGCTGGTTTTAAACGTGTAAAAGTTTCAGAAAACGACAAACGATCTTTCAAACATTTTACGTTTTGAGAAATGGTTAATTGAATCAAATAAGTTTACAGTAAAGTTGACTTTTGTATTATTGCTTATCGAAAGTGCATGTGTATATTTTTACACAAGCGATCGCCAGATTCACTTCAAAAAGCTATTCTTAGCCGTGGATAAGTTTTTCAGAAAAAATGCCAGTCACAAGTCAAACAGACGTCTACGAAATTCACGAAAACTAAATTTAATGGTTTGCAGAATTGTGTGCAGAGTTATAAAAACAAATGTTGCAGAATTTACAAAATTTTGATCGCAGAAGTGTTGAATTTTTGAGCGCCGAATACAGCGGGAATTGATAAAAAACTGGACAGTGGAGAAAATACATTTGTGGGTACAAATGTTAAAACATACCTATTAATGCGCACATTTTCATATACTTCTAACGAGATGTAAACCGAAGAAGTTTGAAGGTGGGAATTTATATAAAGCACTTGTATTAGAAACTTGGACGTCAATTTCATCTTTTGAATTAAGTTTTACTACACCGTCAAGGTAACTGTTAGTGAATGTTTCACTTGTTCGACACATTTCAACACTCTTGTACAGTATTACATCCGTGTCGGGCAAATTCTGCCTGTTGGTTCTTGTTATTGAATGCTTTACATTGATGTTGTTGACAAGCTCAGATCTTGTTTTCAGCGTTAGGAAGGAGTAGATATTATAGTAGCCTGCTTCTGTTACTTGTATTCTTCGTCCATCCACCAATTTAACTTTCGTCGTCACGTGGGCAGCTCCATATCCATCTTCATCAGTCCATTTGTAATGTGAGGCTGAATAATAATGATATTTCTTATGAATTCGATAATTTAATCGTTAGTGTTTTGTTATGGTTGTTTGTTGTTTAACGCCGCACTCAGCAATATTCCAGCTATATGACGGCGGTCTGTAAATAATCGAGTCTGGACCAGACAATCCAGTGATTAACATCATGAACATCGATCCATACAATTGGGATACGATGACATGCATCAAAAAGTCAGCGAGCCTGACCACCCGATCCCGTTGGTCGCCTCTTACGACAAGCATTGTCGCCTCTTACGACAAGCATGGGTTGCTGAAGATAAAATAAACAAAGAAATAAGGAGCGATATTCTTGCAAACGTTCGGATTCTATGTTTTGGCAATTTCAGAGAAGGAGAGGTTTACAGAGCTAAATTGGCATTTTGTGCTAATGGTCAAAACACAAAGGTGAAATCAAGGTTAAAACATGAAAATTTGAAAAAAAAACGGAACAAATTTTAAAGCCCCTCTAATAACTGAACATACGCTACATCTCATTACATTTGGACAAAAATAGATGAGTTTATGACCAAAAAGAGGTTTTTCAATATAGTTGCTATGCCGTCCCTTCACTAACTATGCGTATACCAAATTTCATAACTTTTTGAAAACAAAAAAATGGTCATTAATAGGATTTCAATATGGGTGCCGCGTCATCAGTGGTGGTAACAATCACTTGAAGTTTCAGATTCAGCGGTTTCTGACGATGCACGACTGACAGTAAGACCATTACAAAATTTCACTTGACTTTCAGTCATAGCTAAAATCCTGGACATGTACACTTGTATACAACAGTTTACTCCGGATATGACGAAGTGGAGGCACATAATATTCCGTTCGTTGTAATCGAAATGTGTCACACACAATATGCTAACCCTGTTTGGGGATTATATTTGGCATCGATGATGTTTTCGATATAACTGACTTCGCTTAATCCGTATTATAAACATATTCCCTAATTGTTCATATTCTTGGATTTTTCTGATGTCGTAAAACGTTTTGCATCATTTCGGGTTTTCATCCTGCATTAAGATGCTGCTCAGTGATATAACTTAAGTACTGTTTGAGAAGCTTCAATTCAACCGCTTACACACAGGGGCGGTTGGGTAGCCGAAGACCCGGGTTCGATTCCCGACATGGGTACAATGTATGAAACCCATTTCGGGGGTCCCCCGCAGCGATATTGCTGGAATATTGCTAAAGGCGGCGTAAAAAAATACTCACTCACTCACTCACCCTTACACACATGTCGCATATTGCGCTATGTATTCATGTTACGTGTACCTTTATATTCACACCATATGCCGATTGAAATAAGTAGTCTATTTTGACAAGTAGGTTTTTCCTGTGGTCGGTTACAGAGTTGGCTAGCGTTGGGGTTTGTAACAGTCATACTCTATATTTAGTACCAACAGTATTCCTCGAGAATATCGATTTTCCCTAGATAATGTTTCAATGAGGCAGAAAGGACGTTTCGTTTTCTTTTGAACGTTTCATGTTTAGTGCCGCACTCAGCAAGATTCCAGGGGGGATCTGTAAATAATCTGGACCAGACAAGGATGTAATGCAACAGAAACGCTACTTGTTACAAATAATGTCAATAGCTTGTTTATAGATGTTTAGGTATATGCGCTCATAGATAATATTTTGACAAAAAATCGATGAGGGGGGATGAGACATTGAGTCACTCCATCATTCAGAGTAAGGTCGTACCAGTGCAGGTAGAGAATAGGTTTTCAGCAACCCATGCTTGTCGTAAGAGGCGACCAACGGGATCGGGTAGTCAGGCTCGCTGACTTGGTTGATGCATGTCATCGTATCCTAATTGCGTCGATCGCTTCTCATGATGATATCAATCACTGGGTTGTCTGGTTCAGACTCGATTATGTAGACCGCCGTCATATAGCTGGAATATTGCTGCGTGAGGCGGTAAACAACAAACCAACAAAGACAAATAAGGTCGTAAGAAGCGGCTTAATAGATCTGGCGATGGGGCTTAGTGACTTCGTTCATAGCGTGTCAATAATAAATACCTATCACTGCTTTATCTGGTCAAGAATGGATTATTTAAAGACCGCCGTCATATAACTGGAATATTGCTGGGTGCGGCGTAAAACAACAACCATGCATATGGGGTGAGGTGAGGTGAGGTGAAATGGGGTTTAATGTCGCGTCCAAGATTATTGCACTTGAAAAGCGACGTGCATGTACGTGTGAGTGTGGCTGCTTGAAATGCCCGGACTGATGCCGATTTATATTTCTAGCTCACTGAGATACCATGCCGCAGTTTAACATGAATACCCCACTCAGACACAGTATACTGACTCCGAACCGACCAGTGCTTGTTTTAGCCCCTTAATGCCGAGTGCTAGACTGGGTAACAACAAGTACCATCTTTTAACGTCTTTTGGTATGACGCGGCCGGGGATCGAACCCCAGACCTTCCGCTCCCCGGGCGGACGCTCTACCTCTAGACCAAGGATGCGGTCACCATGCACAGGAACATGCCAACAAAGGTATAATTTTGATGTAGTGGTGTGTTAATCCGGGGTTCAGATGAGAAGCACAATTTGAAAAGACATCATAGGGATGGAACATACCAGTGTCAGTGTCAAGATACAGGTGTGCTGATGAAGGAAGCGACAGGGGCCGTCCGATTGACTGTTGCTGCTGCATCATCATCGACTTTATATTCATCTGAAACAAGTGATACCCAGAAGATGTATTCATTGTACTCATCCACTCGATTCATATGGGTAGAATATGTCTTCAGCAACTCATGCTTGCCGTAAAAGGTGACTATGCTTGTCGTAAGAGGCGACTAACGGGATCGGGTGGTCAGGCTCGCTGACTTTGTTAATGCATGAAATCGATCCCAATTGCGTGGATCGATGCTCATGATGTCAGTCACTGGATTGTCTGGTCAGGACTCGATTATTTACAGACCGCCGTCATATAGCTTGAATATTGCTGAGTACGGCGTTAAACAACAAACAAAAACAAACGATTCATATAAATAACGTTACCGAACTGTTCACAACACATTTACCTTCAGGTTAGGGATATACATCTTCTGTGTACTTTCATTTCTAAGGCCCGAGGGGGCGGGCGGTTCGCCTAGTGGTCAAAGTGTTCGCTCGTCACGCCGAAGACCCGGGTTCGATTCCCGACATGGGTACAATGTGTGAAGCCCATTTCTGGTTTCCCCCGCCGTGATATAGCTGGGATATTGCTAAAAGCGGCGTAAAACCATACTCACTCTATAATCTGCGTTATTTGCATTTTCGGGCGGTCAGGTAGCCCAGTGGTTAAGGCGTTCGCTCGTCACGCCGAAGACCCGGGTTCGATTCCCGACATGGGTATAATGTGTGAAGCTCATTTCTGGCATCCCCAGCCGTGATATTGCTGGAATATTGCTAAAAGCGGCGTAAAACCATACTCACTCACTCACTCACTATTAACATATTTAGCAAGATTTATAGATGATTCAGAGCCTTACCAGATTGAGAAGCCTCCACAGTCCTTCTGCTTGACGAAGACAGCAAATGTTGCCATGTTTCGTTTGAACTACCTGCAGATGACTGTTGAGTTGCAGCAGGTCAACATGTGGTCTGAAGTGGCGACAGTTTGTACACACAGCTGACTTGTCCATAACTTCAGCGGATTGTGCCATTATAGTATTTGTCTGTGTCTCTTCTCGATGACATACAAGAGGAACCAACAGTACAAGTAATATAACATTAACACACAGAGATACAGACACTGCTATCCATCCCCATGTCCGTGCACGAGACAAACAATGGTTCTCTGTCCCGATGCCGTTTTCAGAGGAATTCGGGTTGATCATGACACGCGAAGCGGTATCAGACATGGCCGCGTCTTTACCAATAAGCTGTATGTGGACGATAATTCCGAAGTTGGTTTATTCCTGCTACCAGAACCAACGTCTGAGTACTCAATGAAGATGTAACTAACTGCGATCAAATTATAGCCACGTGTGGTTTTCCCACACGACGGGTCTTACTCGAGAAGTACATGATCAGAGTTCTTCCTCCTTTCACATTCGCTTAAGAGACTTTGAAGGCTGTACACATATTACCGCGCGCACAACACTGCGTTAGTCAACTCAAATTGTTCTATCCGTTAATTGTTTTGACGGTGATATTAATACAGCCACATTGCGATCAAACCTACTTTCGCTTTGTCAAAAACACAGATCTATTTAGCTATAGGTTACGTCAGTTTACGAAACTCTTCTCACTCGGTATTTCGAATACGGAACATGTGGTCATATTACAAAACCCAGGATTACAAAATATTTAAGTCGAAGGGAATTCCTGATATATATAAATACATATTACAACTTCCATTCTCGTTATTAAGCGTCAAATTAAGTACCCCATGTGTGGGTTTCATCGCTTCATCGGTGAAACCCTATTAATCGGATGATATCGTCCACATGAAATCCTTCGGATTAACAGATTATCTTATCAACGAAACATGGGATGGTAGAATATACCTATAATGGTTTACTGTCAGGCTTAGTGCCCACATTTGATATTAAGTTTTAATATGATTGATATACTTTTTGTTCAGTATTTTTACACGTCAAAAGACAATCGTGTCTCACATGCCACCAGGTCAGATATAGATATTGTATTTTGGTGTGACATTCATCACTGATTTTTATCTCTCATGTGACAATATGTGACACGTAAGTAATGAAATCTTTTTTTTTTCGGCATGTTCGGACTTTCTAAATCCGGATTAGCGGAATGACTGACGTCACACTGTCATTGTTTTAAGAAAGTGGATGTTTGGCATGCATGTAATACTGATTTAGAATGACATCCTTGTCATGTTAATAAGTCTGATACATTTGTTTGTTTCAGTTTATCTAGACTTTTTGTGATAATATTTGTGATTGTGAGTTATAATCTGTTATATGGACGATATAACACGAGCCGCCCGGAAGACTAAATTTCGATTGCAGGATCCAAGGAAGTAGAGTGAGTGAGTGAGTGAGTGAGTTAGGTTTAACGCCGCTTTTAACAGTATTCCAGTTATATCACGGCGTGTCAGCTTAATGTGGGAGGAAAGCCCGAAGTGATGCAGGTCTCTGACGTTTACCATTTCGGTGAAACCCAGGAGCACGGGTATGGTGCTGACAAACCTAGAAACATAATCGGGGCGAACCGGGATTCGAACCCACAATCATAGGTTTCTGGCGTGCCAAGGGACGCAACTCTGCACAGCCCCCACAGTGAGCGTATCCTGTCCCACCGGTGGATCCAAGCAAATTCCCACCACTGAGGATATGATACAATCTCATTAACAACAGATCTTAGTTCTCGCTATCGCTAAACAAAGATCTGAGGACACCCCATTACGGGTCGAGTCAGAACGACATTTCATCCAACCAATCAGAGGGTCGCTTACCAGATCATGAAAGTGACGGACGGAATGTGTTTTCTAATCATCCAACCTCGAACAAATTAACAGAGGGTATTACGATCGACAGTTACGGTTTTTTATTATATCAATCTAGGCTATCTAAAATCCATTCCAGAATGTTCTTTTTATAAGTTTACATTTTTTAATCGAGAATACGTCTAAATATGTTTCGAAGCGTAGTCGCCAGTTTGAAACTTGTGTCGCAAAGCTCGGGAAAGCTGCCTTCTGATTGGCTTATGTCGATTTCTTGTCGGTCATTTCATTGGTCGGTTAAAGTTCGCGTAAGGTCGTTCTGACGTGACCCGTTAAGGGATGTCCTCAGATCTTTGTTTAGCGGCAGCGAAAACTAAGATCTGATTTGAATGAAATTGGATATGGTAGCAAGTCAAGGCAGCATGAGTGTATATGATCTGTTGTTATATGTGTTTATCAAATACGGTTTGGGGCGTTAATAAAATACGCTGTCGTAAGTATATTCTAATCAAATCAACTGGATAATTGAAAGTCCTTTCTCCTTTATATTACATAACATCACTACACATAATTTTGACAGTTGCAGTAACACACAATACAGTGAGTGAGTTATACACCACTTTGAAAAGTATTTCAGTTATATCACTGCGTATCCGATCGATGTGGGAGAAACACCCGAAGTGGTTCAGGCTTTCAAACGGGTGTTCGCGAAAAGGTGAGCGTATCCTGTCCCACCGGTGGCATCCGTCACAAACACATGCAAAGGCAAGTCAATTGTTTACCTGAACAAACACGGAACATATGGTGCATGACATAATAGGGAATTGCATCAAACATCATTTCTGTCACTGATGCGTCAAATTTGGAAACGTTTTGTAAGCTTTACTGGGGGCTTTACTGTAAAGAAAGGGGATTCGATTGTGACGTATTTAGGTCACGTGTTACTGTAGGTCTCCCAGCCATTGTGTATCGCTTGATGGCTTCCTTTAAAGTGTAAACACAAACTCCTTCCTCCTTAATCATCCTGATCATATGACGCCTGACAGACAGCGATATCTTATCTAAAAATATATCTTTCCTTGTCTTGACTTGCGGCGTTCTTTGTTTATTTATAATGCAGTTTTCGTTGAATATCTACGCGTTCAAATATATCTGGAACTGAAATAGCAGATACCATCAAGCGCTTGATATAATTTCCTGCAGATTGTATAATGTCGGAAGGCCAGGACCACCAGATGGATGCGCATTATTTTGTATTGTTATGAACTGGAAAACCAAAAACACATTACAAGAAAATGTCGAAAAAAAAGTCGCCCCATATTGTTTTATTTCAAACAAATATGTCGAGTCAACCTAGAAATTAAATCGTAAGATAACCTCCAATAATTAGTAGTATACGACTGAAAATAAGGATATAATGATTGGATTAAACACTTTTTGCAACTAAACTTAAACTTTTTATATTACCTGTAATAAACACACGCTTGGTATTGTTGAAAACTACAATAGATCATAATACGATGCAGATACGATGCAATGTGAACATAAATAACTGACCAGTTGGCGAAAGTGATGTCCTAAAATGGTCATATCCAAGAAGGATGCACACAGGCGGGGATTCAAGACGTCAGCGCTAGAGAATAATCAGTCTCGAATATCTGCGGAAACAGAGGGCGTAAAAGGCAAAACAGTGATGAAAATAATTATGAATAGATCACTGAAAATCAGTGCTGACACCAGGTGTTCGCGAAAAGGATAAGCATGTCCTTCTCAACCGATAGCACCCGCCACTCACAATTCATATTAACAAAACTATGCGTAAGTGAGGAAGGAGGCGTGAGAACATCATGTAGCTCCAGAGAGGCGAAATAAAGAGTCCTGTCCAAATAACTGTTCATATATCCTAGGGGGGCACGGATGGCCCAGTCGCCTAAGGCGCCGCGATTCGCTGTGCAGAGTCGCGTCCCTTGGGCACGCCAGAAACCTATGATTGTGGGTTCGAATCCCGGTTCGCCCTGATTATGTTTCTAGGTTTGTCAGCACCATATCCGTGCTCGTGGGTTTCACTGAAGTGGTAAACGTCTTAGACCTGCATCACTTCGGGCTTTCCTCCCACATTAAGCTGACACGCCGTGATATAACTGGAATAATGTTAAAAGCGGCGTTAACCCAACTCACTCACTCACACACTTCATATATCCTTTGGCTTTTTGGTGTTACCAAGACCCAACGACCTCTAGGCTTGACCTTAATTTTCAAAACATTTCACAACCGTCCTTCAAATGGTTCTATATAATACCTGCCCAACAACTACTTCTTACATGATCAGACCTTCTGCTACGTAATTCCATGAAATGCAATTCAAATAAACTGTGCAAAGGGAGTATGTATACATCTGTTTAAACATTGTTTTACTGGCTCACAACATATTGTATTCAGTACAATATTTGTTGTTGATCTATTTAAGACACAAAACAACAATGCAAAGGTACTGTAGCTCATTGGACATGAAGTCAACGGACGACAGTCACGTACACAGACGAGAGTCACGTACATGTAATATATGTGACTGTCAACATCGATACTCATATGTTGTGCTTAATATTTAGGTGTAATGGGCAGTTAGCAAACAAGGAAATACATTTCAACATGTATAGTCATATATTTATAAAAAAAAAAAGGATGTAAGGTATAATATTGTATAACATCGTTGCAATACATAAAGTTTGTTTGTTTGTTGTTTAGCGCCGCTCTCAGCAATATTCTAGCTATATCACGGCGGTCTGTAAATAATCTAGTCTGGACCAGTCAATTAAGTGATAGATATCACGAGCATCGATCCATTGCATTGGGATCGATGACGTATCAACCAAGTCAGCTAAATCCCGTTAATCGCCTTTTACGACAAGCATGTGTTGGTGAAGACCTATTCTACCCCGGATCTTCACGGGTAGCACTTATACACGAATGAATGAATAAGTAAAAGTACAGAGTGCAATTTGAACATTTGGTTTACCTAAATGAGGAACATAATTAGAGATTATTAGCCGGCTGGTTTTCCTATCGTAAATATCACATATATTTAGAATATTGGGCGAGCATAATACTCACATTTATACCTAGCATATGATATTTACGATTCGGAAACACGTAATGCCAGTCTTAAAATATTCAAAGATTAAGACATATTTTCATTCACTGTTTTAACTATTGAAATCGTGTAATGATAATAAGGCTATTCATACTGCACAATATTTCCACACCACACAGGGTCATCTTCCAAGCGATACGTACGTTAGTATTACCAAGGTCAGTGGATCAGTTGGCATTCCAATTTCACTCACTGCGGAACATACAACTCAAGCTGTTACTTTGACCAGGTTATTGTTTTATATTGTGTCACAGGAACGTTTGTTGCTCATTAAATATAAAATACAAAACTACAAAGTTTATTTAAAGTTTTATATATAACATAAATACATGTAAAACACCAACAAATATATAAATGTTAATAATCTTTTGATATATAGGTATACAATTCTGATGTTGTTATAACATTTGTTTGTAAAATAACTCTTTTGTTTTAACCAGGAATAAGGAATAAGAAAAATGCTTAGGATCGGATGGACGAATATACCTTCGAAATTCGAATACAAAGCTTTCCTCTCGAAAATACGAGTTAAGGTATTACTGAACATCATGAACATCATGAACAATATAAACATATTCAAGTCTGGAGCATCTTGCGCTCTGGCCCATTGATTGTACAGGGTTTAATTACTTTTTTACAAGCATGGGTTGCTGAAGACCTATTCTACCCCGGATCTTCACGGGTCGTTTAATGAAGTAGTATAAATACCTGGTCACGAAACTATTTCTTGACACAACCAAAACGTGGACAAACCTTTTTCATTATGGATGACTGCAGTGCAGAAAAAGCAGTAATGAACAAGAAACGGGTTTTCTTATGAAGCGTTTTTATCAGGTCAACATATAGGACATAGTGTTTGGTTCTCACACAAAAAGATAACTCAGTTCTAAAAGATCTTTGATACAGACACATTGGGTTGACTTTTTTCACTATAAAGACCGTGATTCTTTTGAGGAATGTTTCCGTGAACTATACTACTTACGAAACATCTATGATGTTTATAATGATTGTTGTTTTGCCCTGTAAAAGCACGACGATTAGAGTTGCCTTCATGGCGACATTATGATGTACCTGCACCAAAAACAATAACAAACACTCTGAAGCCATAACGCATACACCTCCTGCAAAATCACTTAAAACGTATGGTTCGAAAACAAAAACCTTGAATGAAGGATGAACCATCACACATGGCCGAACAGTGTACACAAGGTTGAATTCCTTTGTGTGAACGATGAAGTGACATTACATTCACAAAATTAATTCATACTGTTTTAAATTGGTTTATTTCAACCTTGCGCATGATGGCAATTTGGTAATCAAATCAATTACAAAATATGAAAAGGAAAACGGTTACACATCACGATCGTCGGCAAACATGAACACATATTCTATTACGTTGAAGTTGTTAGCTGATGACTGTCTAAATAGGAATCCGAAGAAACGAAATAGTTCATCACAAGGATAGTCGATGTAAAATAACGAATTCAACTTAAGCTTTTGATACGCATCGTGTTTACAGTTTACAAGAAGTCTGTGACATCGATGCCAAGGAACTATTTTCAGTCCCCATGTTTTTGTTTCCTTGATTAGCTCTTTTTAAAACAGTACATTCAGAATGCTTTCAGCTGTTTTGTTATTCAATGATAATATTATTTAGCTTGGGTTTGGACCGCCAACCTTAATTAGTAGTACCCAATTTATACACCAGTTTAAAGTGCTTGGGCTATGCCCCTACAAAATGCAAGCTAAATAAAGTGGATGAAGGAAATGAGAAAATATACGATATTTATGTCCCTACAAAATACAAGCCAAAGAAACTGGAAGGAGGAAATTTGTAAATATACGATGTGTTACTGACGTCGACAAACACGCCATCATCTTGTCTCAGTCGGACAGTAGCAGACAGGAAGCTGGTGACGAATCTTTCACCAGCTTCCGGCATCGTCTTCTTGGCCATAAGGATTACAGTACTGCCGAGGTTTGGCAGGTGCGTGTTGCTCCTTCTCATGGTGTTGAGGATGTTGTCAGGACGTCGTCGTCGTTGGCGGGTCTTGAACGTGAAGAAGGAGTAGATGTGGTAGAGGCCTGGCCTTGTTACGCGTAGAGTGTTGTTGTCACAGCTGATGTCGCTGCTTCTGTAGGCGGAACCGTAACCAAATGTATCTGTCCATGCCAAAGAGGGATCTGGGAGGAGGAGTAAAGTGTGTTACATCCAGGTTACAGAGCATTACACAAGGGGCGAAGTCAATGTCGTTTTGGTTTGGGTTTGTTGTTTAACGCCGCACTAAGCAATATTCCAACCAAATGACGGCGGCCTGTAAATAATCGAGCCTGGACCAGAAAATCCAGTGATTGACATCATGAACATCGATCCACGCAATTGGGATCGATGACATGCATCAAACCAAGTCAGCTAGCCTGACCACCCGATCCCGTTCGTCGCCTTTTACGACAAGCATCGTCGCCTTTTACGGCAAGCATGGGTTGCTGAATACCTATTCTGCCCGGATATCGTTGGTTGTTGTAACATAACAGAATAAAAAAAACCTGATTTACTACAAAATACCACTTGCATATGATGAGGTCGACCACATACCTATTTTGATTCCCAATTCTGTGGATCGATGCTCATGATATTAATCACTGGATTGTCTGGTCCAGACTCGATTATTTACAGACCGCCGTCATATAGGTGGAATATTGCTGAGTGCGGCGTTAAGCAACATTAACGACCTATTCTACCCCTGATGTTCACGGTTGCCTGAATAGTAAAATATCATGTATATTGGTGCCATCTATGTGATGCATTACATTCAAATAATGGCTGACAAATCACCATTGGCATATGACCATGATGTATTTCAAACGGTTCAGAAGAACACGTTCTCAGCATACAGTGAAAATATTACCCTCCATTAACATTCTAGACTAAGTTTACTTACTGGTCGCAGTCAATGCATCACTATCAAGGTACATGTGGGCTCCGGTGTTGTAGTTGTGTTTGACTGCAGAGTCATTGTTGTGGGTACCCTGGTTCCTGGTGCTGGCGCTATCATGGATTCGGTCAGTAAACTGAAATTATACAAAATATGTCAATCTATCGTTGTGCTTGTAAACCCCATTTTATTTGGAGCAATTCCATTCTCAGTGTCCTGTTTTCGTTCCTGTCTCGCAATTAATGTTCGACCACACTATTACAACGGGTGAGGTGAAATGGGGTTTAACGACAGGGTAACAACAAGTACCATCTTTTAACGTCTTTTGGTATGACGCGGTCGGGGTTCGAACCCCGGACCTTCCACTCTGGGGCGGACGCTCTACCACTAGACCACGGAGGCGGTCACTATTACAACGACTATTATAATGACTAACATATTACTTGTCGTCTTTAGGTTTTGGACTGTGATACGAGTTTGTTGACGTACACGTTCGTATAATGCCCACTGTCATGGTGTTAGAGAGGAACCTTTCATTATTTCATGTGTTATTTGTTCTGAGGAGGTGGTAAGATCCCATACTTACTCGAACTGTGATAGAGACTTCTTAACATTTGGATAATCTAATAAGTTCTATTCATATATTAGATTACTAATAATATTCATAATAAGATTACTAAATTTCACTGAATGCAGTTTCAGACATCCTGGATGAATACAAGGTAAACCGAGGTTATAATACCCTGGCGTTCAATGGAGGGCAACTTTAAATTTCAGGCATTAACATAAACTAGGCTCCTGGCACTCCTAAACAATCGAATAGTTATCGAAGAGTCTATCAAGTAAACGTCCGTGGTACTGGAGGAAACATCCAATATCAGGCTATTTATATTTTACAGTCACCCTGCTCTCGTATACATCTAAAACCTCCTCACAGAAAGAAGTGGAGTGATCAATGATTCCAAATTGTCGTAAAACGTGGTATTACGTCAGTGTTCTATTGATCTGTGTTGCTCTGTCAATGTGCAAGGCATGAGACTTGAACTGCATCTGGTTGCCTGTTTTCAAACCTCTTTCTGTTGCTTCTCCATGGCTTGGAATAGCACGTCGTAACATGAATTATATAAACAACCCAGCTTGACGTGTAATTACTTTACCCTGATGTGTTTATTATCTAGTCACTTCTATTTTAAGACCCAACGAATCCATTGTGAGTGAAAAATAAACACACGTCTTTAAAGCATAACATAAACACATTCTGTTCCAATCAGAGACCCGTGAAGATCCGGGGTAGAATAGGTCTTCAGCAACCCATGCTTGCCGTAAGAGGCGAGTATGCTTGTCGTAAGTAGGCGACTAACGGGATCGGGTGGTCAGGCTCGCTGATTTGGTTGATGCATGACATCGATCCCAATTGCGTGGATCGATGCTCATGATATTAATCACCGGATTGTCTGGTCCAGACTCGATTATTTACAGAGCGCCGTCATATAGCTGGAATATAACTGATTACGGCGTTAAACAACAAATAAACAAACAAACAAAACTGATAATATAATAAATACATAATTTTATGAAGTAATGATAACTCTAAAGGGGAAGAGATAAACTTACGATCGCCAGTAGCCTCTGCAGACCTTCGACATTTTCCAGACAGCAAACGGAAGTTGAATCAGTGACGTAATGCACGGTTAGATCGTGCAAGTCGGGCCTGCTGTCATTGCCCGGATGTACACCGACAGACGTGCAGCTCGTGCATACTGTGCTCTCATGCACTGTAGCCACAAAAGTTTCAGAAAACAGACTGGCACTGTCAGTTGCCTTGGTGTTGATGTGTTTACACAGGTAGAACCCAACCGCAATGTTTAGTGACAACGACAGCAAGCAGGCCGAGATAACAATGCAGTAATTGCTCGTGCAGGACGCCCTATCGCGTTGTGACGTGTCCGTTAAAAGAACGCCTCCCACTCTTGTGTAACGGTAACCGGACTTGCCAGGAATCGTAGACTGATCCAGGGATACAGTTGATAGTTTACATTTCCTGGTACTCGGTCCGAGCAACAAGGAGAGAGCGCCCATAGTTGCAGGCGGGTCTACGCTGTCCTTTCTTTACGTGGCACGTAAGCTCAACATTCGTTGTCGAACTTCGCGTTTATCTGTTGCACAACGTCAACAAACTATTTCTGAGGCTGATCGCATATAGTCTATAAATAGGTGTGGGGTTTCCCTTTATAGCGTGTGTTTATTTTTATCGCGATCAATCAGTGTATCTGGTACAGAGAAGGAACATATTGATTTGTAGAAGCCTCGCTTTCAGAATTCGGACAAAGCCCGATACTCACAATGGACGATTGATATGAGCTTGCTTTCAGAGGGGATAAGAAATTTCATTTTCGTTAGCTTTCAAAATAGATGCATTTGCTTAGGAAAGAGGTGAGGATGGTTTTCATTGTAAATCCAAATACCTTAGCACCTGTTATCTGTTAAAGTTACTTATACGCGTTTTCCGGGGCGGTCGGGTAGCCTAGTGGTTAAAGCGTTCATTCGTCACGCCGAAGACCCGGGTTCGATACCCGACGTGGGCACAATGTGTGAAGCCCATTTATGGTGTCCCCCCGCCGTCATATCGCTGGAATATTGCTAAAAGCGGCGTAAAACCCTACTCACTCACTCTACGCATTTTCCAATTTAATAAGTCAGGCCAGTCTTTAGCAATCCATGATTTCTGTAAGAGACGACAAACAGGATCGGGTGATCAGGCTTGCTGACTTGGTTGATGTATATCCTAATTGCGTAACGTACATCGACGCTCATGATGGCAAATACCGGATTGTCTGGTCCAGACTCAACTAATTGCAGACCTTAGTCATATAGCTGAGTGCGACGCTAACCAACAACAAACTAACAGACAAATGCAATCACATCATGATCTAATTTCTTCGAATACGAGAGCCCCCAATGATGACAACTTGTGTTCGCTATCAACATATGTTACAGGGGAGGCTTTTTACCGTAGACGTTCCCCGCTCTCCCATGTGATAGTCAAATTACTTATTGACATATGCAAGAATGGCGAAGATAAACTAAGTCATCATCTAAAAAGATATTTCCCAGGCAGTATGACCTCAGGGGCACACTGAGATACCATGCCGCAGTTTAACATGAGTACCCCACTCGGACGCAGTATACTGACTCCGAGCTGACGAGTCCATGTTTTAGCCGAGCGCCAGACAGGGTAACAACAAGTACCATCTTTTAACGTATTTTGGTATGACGCGGCTGGGGATCGAACCCCGGACCTTCCGCTCTCCGGGCAGACGCTATACCATTAGACCACGGTGGCGGCCGGAAGCTCTCAGGAGCCAAGCTGCCAAACACGGTTGCCCTTCCAAGGACACTCTGTAATCAACGTTGTTAAACTTCACCTGATTTCTGACCTCTTCCCTGTACAGAGGAGCACGTGGAGCCACCTGCCACACAATCACCAAGCCACAGAGCCAGACCACCCAATCCACGCTGGTCAACACTTTCAACAAGCAAAAGTTACAGCGGACCTATTCTAACTAAGATTCCCTAAGGGACAGTTTTGGTGTAGGTTAAGTGTAAGTTCAGCACCCCTGGGGTCAGGCGAGAACATGGGGTGGAGTCTCTTGTAGCAGTGGGGATCGGTTGGTCTGTCACGTGGTCTGTCACGTGGTTTTGTCAATGGGTTAGACTCGATTTGTTTACATGCTGGGAAATTACAACCTACGGCGTTAAGAACATTTATTATCTCACCTCCTAAATAGTTTTATATAAACATACCAAGGTTTAAATGCAAAATAGAAACAATAAAGTAATCGGAGCTTAAATCAGGAAACTTCACTGCTGCTTCCGACTAGTTTCAAGATGGAGTATGCACATTTTACATAAACATGTTTAGTTGCTGCTGTCTATGTACCCATCCGTCCATCCATCCTTTATAGATTGTAGGCTTATAACGGGGGAATACGGTTTGAGGTACGCGCTGTGTTGCGGTTTACACCGATCAGGTAGGCGCCGTGTTGATCAATTACAATTTGAAACGGGGATTTTTGCGAAGCGTTTGTTCGTTGCCATATTGTCAGACGAGAGCCTGTTTATGTTTGAAGGAATTCTGTTCAAAAATCCTTTTTTAAACATGTTAGATAGTCTTACAAATTACTTATTTACACCAAGAAAGAGGCATATGCGATTTCATTGTTACCCGAAAAGCAAAAAAACAACTGCCCTGATCCCACAAATAGAGCAACAATAAAACTTACAACAATAAAAAGGTACCTCACCTAAACTAGGCAATCCCGTGACGGTCCGTGAAGACCCGGGGTAGAATAGGTCTTCAGCAACCCATGCTTGCCGTAAAAGGCGACTATGCTTGTCGTAAAAGGTGAGTAACGAGATCGGGTGGTCAGGCTCTCTGACTTGGTTGATGCATGCCATGGATCCCAATTGCGTTGGACGATGCTCATGATATCAATCACGGGATTGGTCCAGACCGCCGTCATATAGCTGGAATATTGCTGAGAGCGGCGATAAACAACAAACAAACAATCACTTCTACTACTGCTTCTGCTACAATTATACTACTTACACTCACTCTTACATTTCCTACTATTTCCTACTAATTCTACTACTGAAGCATGTTCAATTATCTTTCTCTTTTAATTCTCGCTTCTTTACATGTTCATAATTGTATGCCTTATTTGCCTGTAGTTTGTATTGAAAATCTGTTGAAGGTTTTCTGAGTTCGAATAAACTCCTGTTGACTATGTCAATAAACTATGTTTACACAGACACTTCACCGAGTACATGTGATTACTTAAACTTAGTGTTCGTGAACGACCCTGCAGGCTCCTGTTTGCAGGATATCAATCATGTCCAACTAAAACATTATTCGAAAAGATCCCAGGCCCTCCCAGACTATCAGATGATCGGTTCCTAAGCCAAGACGGAGACCCCATACGAAAAAAAACATCACTTTAATAATATTCAGCAGAACAAAGCTCACTTTACCACACAAACCTATCAGTTAGATATCAGGCATATTAATGCAAACACATAATCTATCATGGTGACGTTATGAGTTTACAGGTCACATGTCAATTCTGTGGTTTATGCTTTCTTGGGAAATTAGAGCCTTCCTTTCTCAGAATTGAGAATGATGTAGGTCAGAAGGTTTGAGATCTATCTCTGTCATGAGCAAGCTTCCAGCGGACAGCGGGAGCTATTGTTTGCAATTTCAAAAAGCAGATTCGTTTCAGCATAGAAGAAGGGTTTGGAGAGAAATGTGTCAAAGATAGATGTTATAGTATATTCTTCCAACCATTCTGTTTGACTGAAACCTTCAATAGCATTATTTACTAAAACCAACAAATATACTAGAGTTTACAAAATATGTCTTAAATTCCTTCAAATCTCTCGAACAGGTGTTGTGGCAAATCATGCTATGGTGTCTAATGATCATTTTTAAAATGTGGCTTGCTTTCATAACTTAATCAGTCACGGGATCCAATGCGCTACCGAAGTATTTCTCTTGTGCACCGTCCATGGAATATTGTTCCAGTTCCATGAATAATATTAATACTTCTACAGTGCTATGAGTTGGTGCTGGTCTAGACTACCAATGGGTATATATGCATTGGTTTCATTTGTAACAAAATCTGTTTCACAAGTACAAGTCTACGCACACTATAAGTAAATACATTATGAAATTAGATTAATATATTCTGAGAGGATTATTTTTTAATACTGTACAAGATGAAGCGGTACAAGATTTTCGCAAAGACATCGAACATAATTTTAAACCCTTATCATGAACTGTCACATTTCATACTGCAATGAATACACATAAACACATGAGACTCATCTAGAGTCTCCTTTATTCTTTAAGTACCAGATTTCGGTATATATACACAAGTTATGATGTACCTTAATCAATCAAGTGGTCCGACCCGTCCGACAGGTGTAGAATAGGTCTTCAGCAACCCATGCTTGCCGTAAAAAGGCGACTATGGTTTTCATGAGAGGCGACCAACGGGATAGTGAAGTCAGGCTCGCTGACTTGGTTGAAGCATGTCATCGTTTCCAAATTGCGTGGATTGATGCTCATGATATCAATCACTGGATTGTCTGGTCCAGACTCGATTATTTACAGACCGCCGTCATTTCGCTGGAGTATTGCTGAGTGCGGCGTTTAACATCAAACAACAAGCCCACTAATCAATTTTGTAGGACATAGTAAATATAGGTAAAGTTACATAGACACAAAGATTTACCATTACAACAAAATGTTTCGGCACCCATTCATTGTATCAATTGTTCCCTGTGGTTATTGTTAATATATGTGCACATGCCGTTGCTACTAAATGCGTAAAGTGCAGTGTTGCATGATCGTGGATAATTCATAAATTGACTGATTATTGATACACGTACATGTACCATCCAATCAGTACGATAAAGAGCTTGTATCTTTCTAGAGACTGGCGGCACTGGTTCAGGCAGCAGAGGGCCAGTGGATTCCTCTTTCCAGGAGACACGGTGGTCCAGTCGTCGAAGGTGCCGAAATTCATTGTGCAGAGTTGTGTCCCTTGGGCACGTCAGGAACCTGTGATTGTGGGTTCGAATTCCTAAGTGGTAAACGTCTGAGCAATACATCACTTCGAGCTCTCTTCCGACATTAAGCTGGCACGCCGTGATACATCCGGAATACTAGTAAAAGCGGCGTTGAACTCAATTACTCTCACTCTGTCCAAGATTCTTTTTGGAGTTCGCCATCAAAGATTGTCAGTGATTTAGACAATAGCCATCACTACTCTGCCTTGTGCAGCCAATGGAATCTGTTTCGGCAGATAATCGAGACTGATTATGCTCTGGCGTTGCCGTTATGAATTATTACGTGCACCCGAAATATGCAAATACTCATTTCCATTTTATCGTGCCACGTTTCATGTTCCAAGATAATACAAACCAAGAAAGTTTGAAGGCGGGTATTCGTAGACATACGACAGGTTGCTCACATGAACAAAAAGGTCATCATTTTGTCTCAGCCGGATTGTAGCAGAGAGGTAGCTTGTGACGAACCTCTCGCTGACTTCCGGCATCGTCTTCGTAGCCATTAGAATGACAGGAGAGCCTATATTTGACAGGTGCGCGTTGGTCCTGTTGATGGTGTGGAGGATGAATTCAGGTCGGCGCCGGCGCTGTTTGGTCTTAAACGTGAAGAAGGAATAGACGTGGTAGAGGCCGGGCCTAGTGATATGAAGGTTTTGGCCATCACTCTCAATGTCGCTACTGATGTAGGCGGAGTTTTGGCCGTACTTCTGATTCCACGACATAGACGGTGCTGTAATTAGAGTGAGTTAGTGAGGTTAACGTCATTGTGAACTGCACGTCGGTTGTATCGTGCCTTGTCGGCAAATTTTATGTAGAAGGAAAGGCCAAACGAGATCATCGATTTTTACCATTTTGACGAAACCGTCAAGCATGGGTATGATGCTGACAAACCAAGGACAATGTTCAGTACAAAACTGGGATTCGAACCCAGGATAATCGGATTCCAGCATGACTAAGGGACTCCGCATTTTTTTTCTCAAACAAACACTGCTCCACTCAATAGAAACTACTGTTAGAACGAACTCAAAGGGACCACTAATTTTAATTCGTTATAGCCATAGTTTGTTATAAGAATATGTTCGACATATATACAACACCTGGCCAGGACCAAGAACTAGTTCGTTATAAACGTGTCCGTTATAAACGTAGTTTACTGTATATACTCTGCTATAAAAAACCTTCAAAAGTAGTAAAATCGTATATATCCGATTACAATCTGTTGATTATTTACATAATATATAAAATATACATCTATTACACTTTTGCGTTTCTTTTTTTGCGGAGTATAAATAGACTGTACTTACGTTGAAGCTTTAAAGCTTCGCTGTCGACGTATAGGTGAGCTCCAGTTTGTTTCGGACTGGTTCGTGCACTGCTGCTGAAAGCATCACCACGTGTTTCTGTGTGGAATCTGTTCGCAAACTGAAAAAAAAGGGCTCCGAGATAAGCAGGCTCATTTGGGGGGGGTACGAGGTGTATCTGGGTTTCCCCATCAGAGGTCGAGGAGTAACTGATCATGAGCTTGAGAAGTATATCTCTAAGTATCCCTATAGATATTTTTACAATTACACCAAACCCTTGAAGATCCGGGGTAGAATAGGTTTTCAGCAACCCATGTTTGCCGTAACAGGCGACTATGCTTGTCGTAAGACGCAACTAGCGGAATCGTGCGGTCAGGCTCGCTGACTTGGTTGATGCATGTCATCGTATCCCCATTGCATGGATCGATGCTCATGATGGCAATCACTGGATTGTCTGGTCCAGACTGGATTATTTACGAGTACGGTGTAAACAAAAACAACATACAAAAAATTACACCTACATAAACAGTGACAAAGGTAATTTATATATGGTATTGATATCTCATGCAAAAAAATAATAAAAATTTGGGCAGGACAATATTATCTGGTTCATACGTACCTATATGGTGTCTAAAATTCAATAGATAACATTGGTAGATTGAACTGCATATCTAATGTTTCAATATGAACATTAATCATGTCATATGTCACATACATTTACCAGCATTTCACCAAAACCACCTGTATTTTTGAGTGATGACCGGAGGTGATGAAAGGTCTCAGACTTTTCCCACGGGTATGGTGCTGACAATCCCGGCATCATAATCAGGGCGAACAGGAATTCTAACAGTAGTGAGTGAGTGAGTATGGTTTTACGCCGCTTTTAGCAATATTCCAGCAATATCACGGCGGCGGACACCAGAAATGGGCTTTACACATTGCACCCATGTCAGAAATCCAACCCGGGTCTTCGGCGTGTCGGGTGAACGCTTTAGCCACTAGGCTACCCGACCGCCCAGCAATATCGTGGCGGGGGACCCCAGAATGGGCTTCACAAATTTGACCCATCTTGGGAACCGAACTGGTCGTACTTAAGGATCACTAAATTGCATCGGGCGGTAAGGCTCAGAGACTTTGTTGATTGTGTGACATCAAACTCCGACGAGTTGGCCCGTGGGACGATATTCATGATATCAATCACTGGTTTGTCAAACGGGTAACAATCAAATAAACAAACAAATATTACAACGTGACTTCTATAAGGTACGAGGTAGCAAACCATCCCAGATAACATATTCGTCAGCAAATTAACAGACCAATAATCTTTTTTTAAATTCTGAACTCACAATTGACGCAAGCCTCCACAATCCTTCTGCATTCCGCAAACAACATAAGGAGGACGAGCCAGTCACGTGATGAACGTGCAGTTCATGCAAGGTGGACTTTCGCCTGTCGAGATTGACACCCAGCGACCTGCAGTCCGTGCAAACCGTGTTTTCATGCCCACCAGAAACACGGGCCTCTGCGTGCGGCCTGGCGCCTGATTCATGCTGTACATAGTTCAAAACATACACCACAGCAAGAACATTGATCCCCAGAGATACAATCAGGACAACAGCCGCTGCATTGCGTTTACAACCTCGAGTCTTTCGTTCAAAGCCATCAGATGTGACGTCACGTGAGAGGTGCTTAACTTTACAATAGCTGGACTCTGAGTCCTCCATTTGCTCTGGGGCAGTGTCGCATATCTCGTAGTTGGTCTTCTGGAGATCGGCAGTTGATGTCTTTACCGCCATTTTTCAAGGGTCGTTAAACGTTTACGCTGTTTCCACGAAGCCGTTTTCTCGGAAACACTGGTGACGCGTGTTCGGCGGGTGAATAGCTTTGACCTACATAAACATGGTTGCTTATCGCCTGCCTGCCTGCCTGCCTGCCTGCGCTCTTTGTGTTTACTAACAATGTCACGTTATAAATAGTCACTGGTTTTTCCTGTGTGTGTTCCTTGTAATTCATATACACATTTACAGACTTCAGATCCGATGTGACTGTCACATGATCCAGTGTATTTGACCTCTGACCTCTAACGCTTGTTGTGAAGCCTGTGAAATACAATTTTCATGTGTTTTTCATTGTGTGCCATGGCCCGTTAAGATTCCGGGGTAGAATAGGTCTTCAGCAACCCATGCTTGCCTTAAAAGGCGACTATGCTTGTCGTAAAAGGCGACAAACGGGATCGGGTGGTCAGGCTCGATGACTTGGGTGATACAGGTCACCGATCCCAATTGCGTTGACCGATGCTCATGATATCAATCACTTGATTCTGGTCCAGACTCGATTATTTACAAACCGCTGTCACATAGCTGGAATATTGCTGAGTGCGGCGTGAAACAACAAACCAACTATGGGTTATGGGTTATGGGAGGAGAAATTTTTAAAGGACGATTAGCGTAAGGCTTGCAGTTAATAATTTCAATACTTGCAAGAAACAAAAGAAAAATATACAAAAAAAAAGAAATTTGTTTTGCAATAACAGAGGAGGGCAGATAAAATGTCTCGCCGTAAACATTTCTTTTCTAGTTGACTCCGCACAATTGGTAAATGCCTCTCAGCTGATGATGAAACTCGGGGACTTAAGACCATCGGCAGAAACTTCGACCCAGTAAAACGTGAACACCAGAGAATACAGGTCCATTAGGCGTAAAGGGAAAACCCATTTAAACCTTCACCTTCACAAATCCCCATATGCTGTGTCAATATTCACTTGCTTATGCAAACCTCCTTGCGCTACTAAGATAACACACACCATAGTTTAATCATATTTCTAAGTTGTAATGTGTGAGCAGGAAGTCTCATTTCTGAATAATCTCAACATTGGGTCATCTGTTAGTTTAGGATCGAAAGCGTAACCAATGTTATATTCATCGACCGCCTCCGTGGTCTAGTGGTAGAGCGTCCGCCCGGGGAAGGTCCGGGGTTCGATTCCCGGTCTCGTCATACCAAAAGACGTTAAAAGATGGTATTTATTGTTACCCTGTCTGACGCTCGACATTAAGGGGCTAAAACAAGGACTGGTCGGCTCGGAGTCAGTATACTGTGTCTGAGTGGGGTATTCATGTTAAACTGCGGCATGGTATCTCAGTGGGCAAGCACTATAAATCGGCATCAGTCCGGACTTGTACAAACAGCCAAACACACGTGCATCCACGTCGCTATGTAAGTGCAACAATCTTGGACGCGACGTTGAAGCCCATTTCGCCCAACCCGAAAATTCAATGAAGATGTTTTTATCCGCTTCATTTTTGAATTGCGGAAATTCAATGCCCTTTTTCAATGAATGCAAAGCGAAAGCCCTTTTTGAAAATTATTGTGTTTTTACGTGAAAGGAAAAATGTAGATACTTAATGTACTTTGAATGTTTATATAATAATTATAGGTGGTTCAAATGCTGCCCGGGGTAGAATAGGTCTTCAGCAACCAATGCTTGCCTTAAAAGGTGACTAAGCTTATCGTAAGAGGAGACTAACGGGATCGGGTGGTCTGACTTGCTGACTTGGTTGATGCATGTCATCGTATCCCAATTGCGTAGATCGATGCTCATGATGTCAATCACTGAATTGTCTGGTCCAGTCTGGATTATTTACAGCCCGCCATCATAAAGGTGGAATATTGTTGAGTGTGGCATTAAACAACAAACAAACATTCCTTAAAAGAGAATAATTAACTATGAAAAAATATTTAAAACGTCGGGGGCACGGGTGGTTCAGTCGTGAATGACGCCTCGTTTCGTTGTACAGAGTTGCTTCCCTTAGGCGTACCAGAATCCTTCGACAATGGGTTTGAATCCCAACTTCTCCCTGATTATACGTCTTGGTTTGTAAGCACAATTCTCGTGCTTTTGGTACGCGTCTGAGACCTCCATCACTTCAGGCTTTCCTCTTATATTAAGTTGACACGCCGTGATAAAACAGAAATGCTTTTAAAAGAGGCGTTCAACCAAACTAACTCGCTGCTTAAACCGTTTGTGTCTTTTGGGTATCGATGTTTGTACCTCTGCCCCAAACAAAGTAACCTTGTTACTGTCATCGTACTATTGAATTATCAGTGTGACATTATGGTATTTCGGTTTTATGTTATTTCGGTTTTTGTTGCAAGTGGAATTGATGCAAGGGGGCACGGGTGGCACAGTCGTCTAAGGCGCCGCGATTCGCTTCCCAGAGTTGCCCTTTGGGCACGCCAGAAACCTATGATTGTGGGTTCGAATCCCGGTTCGCCCTGATTATGTTTCTAGGTTTGTCAGCACCATACCTGTGCTAGTGGGTTTCACCGAAGTGGTAAACGTCTGAGACCTGCATCACTTCGGCTTTCCTCCAACATGAATCTGACACGCCGTGATGTAACTGGAATAATTTTAAAAGCGGCGTTAAACCCAACTCACTCACTCACTCATACAAACCTTAGTCATGTCAAACAAACACAGAGATTATTCTTCCTAAATGTGTGTGTTCCTTGTATGATGCCGTCAGTTATATTCCCGTTAAATAAAGGAATCTGAGCCCGTCACAACCAGTGGTTGATATTATGAACAACACCCCACCCTGTCGGGGAACGCAGCCTGACTACCATGAACTTATGTTATCGTGTCTTAGGGACCGATCATTTGATTATCCTTGGTGGTGATTTTGTATCGAGACTACATATTTTTACAGCTACAGCTATGAACAAGATATTTTTTAATTTAAAACTATGAGCCTATTTTTTTTAAACCAACACCTTGCAACAATACCATTTTTGGCAGGCAAATTCTATTTTTTTCAACACCCCGAAGCATAGCTATTTTGTTCATGAATAATTTTTTGACAACACCAGGCTCCTGCGAGCCGGACCCTTTTCTGTATTAATTTACAAGTACTACGAAACAGGGTATCGGTGAACAGTCAGGTACGTGTGCAGGGTCCTAAAGTATGAAGTTCTTTTCAAATATGACCCTTTGCGCTTTTTGTTACTTTTGACACCTTATCATGTGTGTCAAGACGTCTAAACATTTTTCAGGTTGTTATCTTCAATGTCATCCTTGCCATTAAATTATAGGCTCCAATGTCTGTATTTGTGTCTCGTAAAAAAAAGTTTGAAAATACTTCCTTCTCGGGTCGGTGTTGATAAAGCGACAAACACATTCCATAATCATGTCATAGGCATGTGTTGATGAATCACCATCAAAACCCTGTGCAACTTGAACGTTCACTCTCTGCCCTCACTGCCCAACAGGGGCGGTCGGGTAGCCTAGTGGTTAAAGCGATCGCTCGTCACGCCGAAGGCCCGGGTTCGAATCCCGACATGGGTACAATGTGTGAAGCCCATTTCTGGTGTCCCCCGCCGTGATATTGCTGGAATATTGCTAAAAGCTGCGTAAAACCAAACTCTCTCACTCACTCACTGCCCAACACGATACTTTATAAATTGTAGCAGGATCACTTGTGGTTCTTGGGAGTTTTATGCGTTCCGCGTTAGGTTTTTTGCCCCGAACCTTACAGAAAGGCGGAAGGTGTCCGGTGTACCAGCCTAATGACTTAGAAATGAAAATTGATTCTTTCAATAATTTTAAGAGTTGACAGCCAGGTTACAGGGTTTGACTACCCGACCCACATAAGTTGGCTCTAACAACTTTCTGGCGACACTGGGGACAAGCTCTTTCCTTACTCATGGACCCGTGAAGATTCCGGGTTAGAATAGGTCTTCAGCAACCCATGCTTGCCGTAAAAGGCGACTATGCTTGTCGTAAGAGGCGACCAACGGGATCGGGTGGTCAAGTTCGCTGACCTGGTTGATGCATGTCATCGTATCCCAATTGCGTGGATCGATGCTCATGATGTCAATCACTGGATTGTCCTGTCCAGACTTGATTATTTACAGGCAGCCGTCATATAGCTGTAATATTGCTGAGTGCGGCGTTAAACAACAAATCAACCAACCAAATCCTTACTAATTGTTTCTGAGTTGGTCAGACGCCATTTTTGGCGGACGCGCTAAATTAACAGGGCATTTGGGGGCTTGTCCCCCTCACAGGTCCTTGTAATTTAAGCTTTCGTAAGTAAATGCCATTTTCAGTTACCAAAGATAATGAAAAAAGCTATATTTTTGTTGACATGTGTCCCGATGCATGTATTGATAATGTTGCCGCACGCCATTATGAAACATATATTTTTTAGTAAATTTTCGAAGTTGATGTGTGATTTTCGATGTTCATGAATTGCTTGGATATTCAATTTCGAGGTGAAGCCATATTACACCATACTAATGCAAGTGGGGTAATTAAGCCTATTTTCGACTAATGACTATTTAACTGACTTTTCTACTTTCAACATTTAGGAAATTTAAAAACATGTGAACTGTCACGCAAGCCATTAGCATGACGCCGTGCATCGTGGTCATGTGAGCCCTTCATATCTATGTGGCATCGGGACCTGACTTGTGTGTTATTTTACTTCACAGTCCAGTGATTAATAGCATGAAGAACGTGTACGCCGTCGGTGTACTTTGACACACAATCAGCCAGGTGACCGCACGACCTTGAGGCTGCCACAATGTGTAGGGGATCCGCTACTTGTTACATCAGTTCCAGTGCAGTAACACTCATCTGTTCATTACGCGATAAATATCAGAATAAATTCATCATTAGATGGTTGTGCTGTTTTGCATCTACGGGCTTGTTTCAATAATGAATGCAGAACTGTAATGAAGGGAAAATGGATCCCTTTCCCCGACTATAAGAACTTCTGTACATTCTGACAAAGGCCATAATAATTCTGAAATTCCTGGACGAGTCTGTGTTGATAAGGGTGAAGTGATCCACCATGCTTTTGTTATTGTTTGCGTTTATGTGTGAGTGAGTGAGTTGGGTTTAACGCCGCTTTTAACAGTATTCCAGTTATATTGCGGCGTGTCAGCTTAATGTGGGAGGAAAGCCCGAAGTGATGCAGGTCTCAGACGTTTACAACTTCGGTGAAACCCACGAGCACGGGTATGGTGCTGACAAACCTAGGAACATAATCGGGGCGAACCGGGATTCGAACCAACAATCATAGGTTTCTGGCGTGCCCAAGGGACGCAACTCTGCATAGCGAATCGCGGCGCCTTAGACGACTGTGCCACCCGTGCCCCCTAACACTCATTGTGAGTTGTACCAACAGCAATGCCCGAAGCACACATTGACAAAGACTCATCACAATAGTATCATTTTCTTTTCTTTCTCGACGTTTTCTGTTCATGGTGTTTTTATCTGTTTTGTAAACACAATTAATAAAGTTTAGTACTCTCTTAAATGTGTCTACATATTGTCCTTTCTTTTCGTTACACGTTACTTTGAGTGCTCTTTGTTCCTTGAATATGTCAAGCCTGAAAAGCCCATTTCTGGTGTCCCCCGCTGTGATATTGCTGGAATATTGCTAAAAGCGGCGTAAAACCATACTCACTCACTCACTCAAGCCTGAAAGGGTCAGTTTGGGGTTTCTTCAGTGTGGCCCGACCTTTTCTGTTGTAGGTGACGACAGGTATTTGGCAAATAGTCTGACCAAAGATTCCATCATGGTACTTGAATTAGCATTGAAAAAAATATCTGTCACAACTCATAAAATAAATGTAACGTGTAAATGTAATAATAGTGTTAAATACTTTCTCAGCAGAAGAGCGTGATATGTTTCTCGACCAGCTCGCGTCATTTACCGCGTCATTTTAATTCGTACACGAAAGGGGGGATAACTCGATAAGCATTTCAAAGGAATAGCCACATGCGTTTTTTCTCTTGCACGCGAACGTGTATGTTATTCGATACTTTCAATGCTAAGGGTTAAAAGAAAAGATTTTGATCTTATACCGAGGACAATAAGACGTTGCTGGTGCTCTACTTCCTTGTCATTACGGGGAGTTTTACGGTGCTCTTTTTCCCCTGAATATGTCAAGCCTGAAACGTTCTGTTTGGTGTTTCACAGAAATGACATATCTGATATAGCTTTCAGAGAATGTGGCCAATGGACAGTCACGAATCAAGGAGGCTTATGATAAGGTATTTTATTAAACGTCTTCCCGATTCCATGTGGGTATTTCCAAGTTCCTTAACATTGATATGGTAGTTTATAATTCGCTTCTTCAAACACATTTTATAACATGAATATAATGTGAACAGTGTCCATGTGTTCAGATGTATGACAATGTTCTGATTTCTGACGGGTTATAACGAGGGAACGTTTTGGTCCCATGAAATTGAAAAAATAAGAGTGGAAAACCTTTAACAATGCAATGTAACCGGAAATCATTCTAAATGTATGACAAATTCAAATATAGATTGGTGACTCATATGCATGAAAAATACAATTTTATAAAATGTCTGCTTAAAACGGTCAAGTCGTTTAAGAGAGATTGTCATCACATGTCTGCACTTTGTTCACCGCGTGGTAATTCCAGGTTAGAATTATAGATCCACAGCAACCTATGGTGGTCGTAAGAGGCGACCGAATGGATCCGGTGGTCAGTCTCGAGCTCGGTGACTTGGTTGATTAGCGGGTCATCGTACCCCGAACGCGTGGTTCATTCTTCGCTGGACTTTCTGGTCGAGACTCGGTCATTTGCAGGCCGCCGCCATGTAGCTGGAGACCCGTGAAGATTCCGGGGTAGAATAGGTCTTCAGCAACCCATGCTTGCCGTAAAAGGCGACTATGCTTGTCGTAAGAGGCGACTAACGGGATCGGGTGGTCAGGCTTGCTGACATGGTTTATGCATGTCATCGATCCCAATTGCGTGGATCGATGCTCATGATGTCAATCACTGGATTGTCTGGTCCAGACGCGAATATTTTACAGACCGCCGTCATAAAGCTGTTATATTGCAGAGTGCGACGTAAGACAAGAACCACAAAAACTTGTGTTATCTATACAATACCTCAGAAAGCTGCTACGTGCTCGCGTTAAGAATATATTGTCCTAGTTTTAAACTAGCCTTTCATTTTCATCAGTCACAAAATAATTGCGGACAAGACAATATTTTTTATTCATATCATTAACCGAAGGACATACGAGCTCTTAGTCATGTGAGGAACTTTCCTAATAATGTGCCTCATTTTCAATTCTTCTGCAAATTCGAAAGCATGCATGGATCCATGCCCTTTACAAAACTACATCTAGTCGTTTGTCTGCCTTTAGGCTTTCAGATAAGTCATCAATCAGATCTTTTATACAGTCTACTGTCCAGTGGATAGATGGCCTGCTCAGAGAGTGGAAAGTCGTCCTTCGATACCCTGTCCGCGTCATACCAGAATACGTTAAAAATGGTACTTGTTGTTACCCTGCCTGTTGTTGGGCATTAAGGGTCGAAAACAAGGACAAACACCTTATCTTTTTTTGTTAAATGATTTGGAAGGAGTGATCTTATTTCTTAATTCCGCTCCCGTACTGACAAGGTAAGTTCCTGCAGTGTTCGCGACAAAAATGTGGGACTTGCTCAATCAATGTAAAACCTTTTTTCAGCTAAAATTCTGATTGTCAGGGCAGACAAGGAGGCCAATAGCGACAATTGTTCATTTCCTATTTAATGGTGACACAATGACTGGTGGGGCAAAAGTCATTATGTTTACAGGGCAGACGCAATGCTTACATGTAGGTCAGAACAGTTAGGATGGGTGGTCTTCGTTTGGGAAAAGAGTAAATATGAGGACTGTTTTCATCTAGGAAAACGTGAGATGTAGTCATGGGGGTACATTAAGATCTGTGAAGATTGGTTTACGCCGTAGTCAGTTCTGTAAATAAGCAATATGAGCAAGCGAACCAGTCGCTGACAGTCTGAACAGCGATGCACGCCTTTGGATACGATTTGGAGTGAGTGAGTTGGGTTTAACGCCGCTTTTAACAGTATTCCAGTTATATCGCGGCGTGTCAGCTTAATGTGGGAGGAAAGCTCGAAGTGATGCAGGTCCCAGACGTTTACCAGTTCGGTGAAACCCACGAGCACGGGTATGGTACTGACAAAACTAGAAACATAATCGGGGCGAACCGGGATTCGAACCCACAACCATAGGTTTCTGGCGTACCCCAGGGACGCAACCCTGAACAGCGAATCGCGGCGCCAAAGACGACTTGGCCACCCGTGCCCCCCGGATGCGATTGGATGCAATCTGACTGGTCCCACTCATTGTGGACACCGAATGTTGGGACTGACGACTTGTTTGTGATACTGAGATACTAAACTTTTATTGTTAAAAAAACTAAAACAACAGTGTAATTAATCATGTTTAATAAACATAAACATGTGGTAGAATTGTTCATGTGTAAATCGCATAATTACATAATATGTTCTTGTTTGGTGTACGCAACTGATATTTATTAATAAGGGAATTTTAAAAACATATTAAACTAATTATGTGTCTCATTTTTTTAACTCGGCTGTATGTTTTATCCCGAAAATTGTACGGAAATTTAAAATTAATTCTTGAAGAGGATTTTCCACATTAGTTTTTAATAAAAACAATTAAATCGTTAATTTGGGGACATACCGTTAATATTGCATTTTTATTTATTCTTATGTCTCATGATGTGCCCCGTGTGCGATTACCGGAAAGGTCTTAAACTCTAAACAGTCAGCTGTCTAGCTTGAACAGGCCAAAATAGTTAGATGGTGCGAAAGCATACACTGCTGAAACGGGTTCAGCTCGTACCCACAATTCATCTCCTTTCCTCAGAACCAATGACGCTCCGAGATAGGTCGTGGCGAACTTCTCGCTTTCTCTCGCGAGACTTTGTTTGCTAAACAGGAGAAGCTGGTTCTTCAGCTCTGGAAACCTTGGGTTATAACGGGTGACTGTGTGAAGAGCGTTATGGCTCTCGTTGGTAGTCTCGCGAGTTTTTAGCGTGAAGAAGGAGTAGAGGAAGTATCTTCCATCTTGTTTGATCTGTAATCTCCCGCTGTCCATCGCCATGCCGTGTCCAATGTATGCACACCCGTACCCAAAATCAGTGGTCCAGACCAGCTTGTCATCTGCAATGTGGAGTGGTCAGCGTTTTACTGTAAACGTCTTCACAAATATTAACTTTAATTATTAAGATATGGTTATAAACTTGATATTAGTGAATTTAGTTCAGATTGAATGAGAAGTACTTGCAGGCTCTACTGCGGTCAAAATTTTATTCGGAGTCTTTGAAGACATTAAGAAATCATTCGACATTTATTTACTTTATTGTTTAGTGATCATGTAAGTGTATTAAGAATTACCTTTCAGATAACTTCTATCCAGAAATAAGTGAGCGCCATGTTTGATTTGCTGCGGGACTGTTAACACCGGTTTGGTGTCATTCCTTGCCATATCTTCATGGTCCCCGAACTGAGCTGAAAACTACACACATGTGACACTGAAGTAAGGAAGGACGCGGATATCATTAATGGACAAACATACATTTAAATACATATACGTATGATGGGTAATATTTGCACATACATGGTCATGCGCATTGAACTTTTTTCCGACTTGATCTGATATTAATATAGATGGATGGGCTGTCAGACGGCTGATGGATAATGCATGATGATAGATGAGTGCGTGAGTTGGGTTTAACGCCGCTTTGAACAGTATTCCAGTTGTATCGCGGTGTGTCAGCTTGATGTGGGTTGGTTTCTTTCTTGTTTAACGCTATATGACGGCGGTCTGTAAATAATAGAGTCTGGACCAGACAATCCAATGATTAATATCATGAGCATCGATCCACGCAAATGGGATCGATGACATGCATCAACCAAGTCAGCGAGCCTAGGCCTGACCACTCGATCTCGTTAGTCGCCTCTTAATGTGGGAGGGAAAGGATGCATGTCTGAGACGTTTCAAACTTTTGAGAAACCAACGATCACGGGCATGTTGTTGACAAACCTACGAAAATAAATTCAATCCGGGCGAACCGAATCCACGATACCAAAGGGACGAAACTCTGCACAGCGAATTGAGGCGCCTAAGACGGCTGGGCCACCCTTGTGCCCGAAGATAGATGGCGTCTGGCATGATGGATAGATGATGGATATACTGACGATGGATGATGGATGGGTTGAAGGGCGGCTTGATTACGGATGGATGATGGATGATGGATAAAATATGAAATGTCGGACAGATGATAGTTAAGAGACGTGGATGATGGATGAAAAAGTATAAATGATAGATTATGGATATATGTTGCTGGAAGATGTGATGGATGGTAGATATAATGGATGGAAGATGGATGGATGATAAACATGCGGATGTATGCAGGGATTAAAGTACAGGCGGACGTATATGATTTAATCGACCGCTTTGGGGAAATTTGTTCGGCATGACATTAAAAAGATGAAAGAAAATTTCATTGAATATAAAAAAAACACGCAAGGTTCTATTAACATTAAGGGTCGGTCGGGTAGCCCAGTGGTTAAAGCGTTCGCTCGTAACGCCGAAGACCTAGGTTCGATTCCCGATATGGGTGCAATGTGTGAAGCCCATTTCTGGTGTCCCCGCCGTGATATTGCTGCAATATTGCTAAAAGCGGCGTAAAGCCATACTCACTCACTCACTCACTCACTATGAAGGTCTATAATGAGACACAGCGAGTTTTCGTGGACGCTGAAGCGATGTAACGATAACACGCTATGGCAGCTGCACATCGGCTCAGCTTTCACAAAGGAAGATGGGAGTTTCTTTGTTGATGTAAACAGATCGGCCCAGGATACTTGAAGATGGACAAACAAGCCAGTGCATTCTTAGAAATGTAGAATTATAAATACCTCCTTTAATTTCTTAATATCACTTTTACTGAGTTAAATACCAGTCCTTCTATTGTTTGCGTCTTTTCAAGTGCCTTTGAATTGAAATATGTCTAGCCAATCTTTTATTTAGACGCTGTTGAATTATGAGACACGTGATCGACAGGTGGAGGATGTGAATTTGTGTTCGTTTATAATCAGTCCACATTGTCGTTATTTGTAACGCATATGTGTTGAAAAATATGTTCACATGACACATTGACATTTTAAAATACTATCTTAGGAATCATAAGTTATATCATCATACAATGAACACTGCTTTTAGCAGAGATTTCTTATGATAATAAAAAAGGGTGTTGTCGCGTTTATTTATCTACAAACATAAACTTCATATGTGTTGTTTAACGTACTCTGCAATATTTAGCTATATGACGGCGGACTGTAAATAATCGAGTCTGGACCAGACAATCCAGTGATTGACATCATGAGCATCGATCTACGCAATTGGGATCGATGACATGCATCAACCAAGTAAGCGACCCTGACCACCCGATCCCATAAGTCGCCTTTTACGACAGGCATAGTCACCTTTTACGGCAAGCATGGGTTGCTGAAGACCTATTCTTCCCCAGATCTTCTCGGGTATCTTAAACGTGAATCCCATTGTTAAGGTGTAATCAACAAGTATAAGATTGTTTATGCTTAAAAGTAAACATTTTGATGCTGTTGTTGTACTTACCACTGTAATTAGTGTTTGCAAATAGCCAGTGTTCCTGAGACAACAGAAGGAGTGTTGTGACATGTTGATGACAATGACATCCTTCCGTCCATTCATCGCCCCATCCTCGGCATTGATACCAAGACTTGAACACAAGACGCAAACACACGTGCTGAGATCTTCTGAAACGTCCAAGACTTCCAGGATGGACTTATGAGACATTCCATATATCGGTATCGACAGCACCAATACAATCCCGAGTATGATGTTAACACACATAGACAACAACAGGACGACCACGCCCAAACGTTGTTTTTTCAATCCACATTGTTTTTCTTTTTTGTTGCTTTTCTCTTTGTTCCTTGGTCGTTTTTTCTTCATTTTTTGATCGGCGCGATCTTTGTTGATATGACTAACATGTAAATATGTCGGGTCATTGTAATGATCAGTACCGTCCATCAGATGTACTTTTGTCTTTAGGAGGTTATTTTTGAGAGATGAGTTTTGAGTTAACCAAACCATGCTTACCTAAACAAGCGGGATTTCTCATTTCTCAGTAATCATGTTTAAAGCGGGAATAAAAGCTGAACCCGGATTGGCTTAAAACCGGATTCACGGTTACCTGGCAACCAACCACAGTTGCACAACGTGGGAATACAAGGGGAATCCCCTGGCAAGATATGATATCAAGGAAAGACATATCGCTATTTACTGATTTAAATGTTCTATTACTTAGGTATTTGTAATGTTATTTGTATATGTGTTTGTTATATTTATTCACACTCCATTTCCCTATTTATTCATTTAATCGAGATCAGTTTCTCCACATCGCGGCATTCTGTCATTCAAAGTAAGGATCGATCGCGTGTGATCTCTGGCGACACATCTGATAGTGCCACAATCTGCTTACCAACCAGGAAGTGACGTGTCGTGTTTACCGAAGCAACGATGTCACGATGTACACACAGGGCACCCCCTTGATCCGGATTCCTTCTATTTCGGACACAAAGCATCCTGGACCGATATATAACATTGTCTGTTAATAAAATGAGTGAGTGAGTATGGTTTTACGCCGCTTTTAGCCATTTTCCAGCAATATCACTGCGGGGGACACCAGAAATGGGCCTCAACACATTGTACCTATTAGGCTACCCGATCGCCCCCCCCCCCCCCCCCTCCCGTTATTAATAGTACGAAAAGGCTCATTTGAGCAGAAAGCGATCGCCTACCAACCCACCCACCCACCCACCCACCCGCCCTCCTACCTACGTACGTACGTACCTACCTACCTACCTACCTACCCACCCACCCACCCACCAACCCTCCTACCTACCTACCTACCTACCTACCTACCTACTTAAACACCCACCCACCTACCTACCTACCTACCTACCTACCTACCCATCTACACACCTACACACCTACCCACCCACCTATCCACCTACCCACCTACCCACCCACCTACTCACCTACCCACCAACCCACGTACCCACCTACCCATCCACCTACCTACCTACCCATCCACCTACCTACCTACCTACCTACCCATCCACCTACCTACCTTCCTTCCTTCCTTCCTTCCTACCTACCTACCTACCCACCTACACACCCACTTACCCATCCAGCTACACACCTACCTACCTACCTACACACCTACCTTCCTTCCTTCCTTCCTTCCTTCCTACGTACGTACGTACGTACGTACCTAGCTACCTACCTACCTACCTTCCTTCCTACCTACCCACCTACCCACCTACCCACCAACCTACCCACCTACCCACCTACCCACCTACCCACCTACCTACCTACCTACCCGCCCACCCACTCACTCAGGCCTTGTGTTGTTGTGTGGGTTGGTAGTGTAGAGTGGAACCTCTGACTGAGCGAGCTGATTCTCCAATTCTATTTAATGTTGATATACGCGCAGTGTGTGTCACAATTCAACGTAAACTGTCGGGCAAAAGAAAGTACACCCCCTGTTTAATGGTGGCTGAAGAGGAAACAAACAAGAATGGTTATTCGATGGTGATGTATTTGATACGGGTAGCATAGACGATCTTATATGCATCATATCAAAGAGTGAGTGAGTGAGTGAGTTGGGTTTAACGCCGCTTTTAACAGTATTCCAGTTACATCACGGCGTGTCAGCTTAATGTGGGAGGAAAGTCCTATCAATGAGGATCTTACAACAGGTCACGTGCACATGACGTCTCAAGGAACATGGGGTCGCAGTTCCACAGTACACAGTAATGTTTGTTTGTTTGTTGTTTAACGCCGCACTCAGCAATATTCCAGCTACTTCTGTATATGACGGCGGTCTGTAAATGGTCGAGTCTGGACAAGACAATCCAGTGATTGACATCAGGAGCATCGATCCACGTAATTGGGATCCATGACGTGCATCAACCAAGTCAGCGAGCCTGACTACCCGATCCCGTTAGTCGCCTCCTACGACAAGCACAGTCGCCTTTTACGGCAAGCATGGGTTACTGAAGACCTATTCTACCCCGGATCTTCACAGGCCGTACACAGTAATGACCAGAGCGAAGTGTGCATTTTCAAGAATATACTTTCCTTTTTCCTAAGATACTTAACGCACCTTATACACGTATTTGTACGTTCTGAATGGCGTTGAGTACGCCCGTAGGGCTAAAAACATCAGTCCTAATTCCCGAGGAATCTAGCCTTGACTGTCAGGTCACACGTAACGTACCTCTGTGTAGCTGCTGGGTGATGAGGCTGAAGTCGGTCAGTTCTCGGGGAACACATGCATAGGTTGTTCCCCTTATCACTTGTTTTATACCTGTCGATGACGCCGTAATTCGATGTGCAGAGTTGCGTCCCTTACAGGTGCCCGAATTCTATAATCTTGGGTTCAAAATCACGGTTCGGCCTACTTTTTATATTTCTCGGTTTGTGAGTGCCATGCCCATCCCCGTGGGTTTCACGGAAGTGGTGGATGTCTAAGATTTACTTCACTTTTGATCTTAGACTTGCCTCCCACATTAAGCTGCCACATTGAGTGAGTGGGTGGGTTTGTTTTAACGCCGCTTTGTGATACAATTCAAAGCCACGTTAAACCAAACTCACTCTCTCAATCACTATGCACATACAGTAAACTACGGTTATAACGAACACGCGTATAACGAACTGACCGATATAACGAACTTACTTGTTAGCCCCGGCCATGTGTTGCATTTATGCTGTGTATATGCTTATAACGAACTACGGTTATTACGAACTAAAATGGATGGTGCCTTTGCGTTTGTTATAACCGTAGTTTACTGTAGTGGAATAGTTATAGGTCAGAAATACTTACTTTGATGACTTAGTAATGATTTCATGTTGCTGTTGTGTATTTTGGGCGATTGCCTAGTCGCCTAGGGTGCTGCTTTCGGGTTCGAATCTCAGATTGTGATTTTGATTCATGCCTGTCAACACCATACCCATATAATTGCCATATTATTGTGGTGAACGTCTGAGACCTGTTCCACTTGGACTTTCCTCCCACATTACCCTGGCACGCTGTGATATAACTAGAAACTCAAATCGACGTTTAACCAAACTCCCCCATTCACTCTTTTTTATTTCCGATATCACTGTCCATAACATTCACCACCGAGAGACCCGTGAAGATCCGGGATAGAATAGGTCTTTAACAACCCATGCTTGCCGTAAAAGGCGACTGTGCTTGTCGTAAGAGGCGACTAACGGGATCGGGTGGTCAGGCTCGCTGACTTGGTTGATGCATGTCATAGTATCCCAATTGCGTGGATCGATGCTCAGGATTTCAATCACTGGATTGTCCAGACAGCAACAAATAGAGAAACAAACAAGGTGCGGCGTAAACACTCACTCACTCACTCACAAACTGACTCGGGGCGGTGGGCAGCCTACAAAAAAAAATTGTTCGTTCTGCTGAAGACCCGGGTTCGATTCCCGACACAGGCACAATGTGTGAAGCCCATTTCTGGTGTCCACCGCCGTGATATTGCTGGAGTATTGCTAAACTCACTCACTCACTCACTGACCCATCGTATTCACATACAATTCACATACTATTTGGTGACCACTGTTCTTGTAATGAAAGACATATAACTAAAAAATGTAAGTTTATTTTACATCACATAACAAAACTTGTTTTCATCATGAACACATTTACATTATTCAACATGCACGTACATTGACAATTAAACCTCGTTAAAACGAATTCCCAGGGGAATCGGTTATATTTCGAGTTATCCGTACTTCGATTTAAAAGGAGTGTGATATAAGACCAGTGTCGATAAGGATTTTACTAGGACCTTATGCAACAACGCCTTAAGGATATCGCGATAACTACGTTCGACTCAACGATGCTTCGGTGTAATAATGCATTCGTAACACCGGTATATACCGGTATATCTCTATCATCAGTAGCAAATCATGCTACGTTGACTAGAAACCAATTCATTGGACAGTTCAGGTCAGGTTACCTTGATATATTCCTGAACGTGACTGGATTTTGCTTATTGTTTGGCAAATGTCTCGTTTACATCACCAGGATTGTAATACCGTTCTCCTGAGCCGGCATTATGCCACCAGTATAAAATTTAAAAAAAATAAAATCCTAATTACACTTTCATAACACCAAAAAAATTTGAAAGCATCCTTTTTTCAACTAAATCATAATAATTTTCCGACATTTTCACATGGAGGCGATCTTGTCTGCGGAGCTTCACAATGGCGGACAGAAAGGACGTTTGCTGCGGAGCTACTGTCCATCTGAATGACGTTTTAGATAAGAGTATTGGTTTCACACCCAGACCAGGGAGATTGGGGTTCTGTCGCTGTATCATGTGCAGGAAGGGGGTGTCTGAAGGAGCTGGTGACGTGATGAATGTGATGTGTGAGTACACGAGGTAGAGACCCCCTGCTGAGACAACAATGTCTGTTCCGTTACATTCGACGTTTGAACAGAATGACGTGTTGTAGGGATCGCTCGTTGTCCATGCTGGCGGCGAATCTGTACACATAACACGTTATGAATTAATAACAAAGCAAAAATTATATACTGATGCATCATTACAAGAACTGTTTGTTATATTTAAGGGCATATGTGACTGTGAGAATTTGAAATTATCACATAGAAAAAAATATTAACCACTGGGATGAACGACGGAATTTGTTATCTGCGGCGTAAAACATTATCTACACTCTTAATGTCGTACATTACCTGTGTGTGGCACCATGTACCGATGAGCCCACGTCGACTCCCTGGGACGACTCCATATCTGCTCATTCATCCCCCTGGTGAGGCCAACTGGCTCCCTACCTGAAGTGGGAAATTAGATACAATTTATGGTTATTTCCTTACTGTAGAGGCGACGTGTCGGTACAGATCATTATACCGTTGTCGAGCAAGGCTAATTACTTAACATGATACAGGATATATATAGAAGGTGGGGGATTAACAGTAACAACAATTGCATACAAGAGAGAGATTAACACGAGTAGGTTAAATAATGGTGAGATGAAATGGGGTTTAACGTCGCGTCCAAGATTATTGCAACTATAGAGCGACGTGCGTGCGAGCGTGCGTGCGTGCGTGCGTGCGTGTGTGTGGCTACTTGTACTACACTGTAGTCCGGACTGATGCCGATTTATAGTGCTAGCACACTGAGATACCTTGCCGCGGTTTAACATGAATACCCCACAGTATACTGATTCCGAGCCGACCAGTCCTTGTTTTAGCCCCTTAATGTCGAACGCCAGACAGGGTAACAACAAGTACCATCTTTTAACGTCTTTTCGTAAAAAGTTCTCCGAGCAGACGCTCTCCCACTTGACCACGGTCAGGTCAAATAATTAAATCAGAAGGAAAATGCATTGCTGTGTGTGTTTACATTATCAAAGAAGGTAATTTGATTTGGTGCAAATACGTTGTAGCTGAATTTGGAAGAAGAACTGATTATGGAAACACCGTGGGTTTAGGTTACATACAACATGAAGGATCTTAACTGAATATCATGAATAATAAATAAATAAATCATTGGCGTACCTGTAGACCGTCTGTAGTATTCATCACCTATTATCTGAAACAAGAATGAGACACGTGAAGAAATCAAATGACTGTGTGTTTTCAAAGCTCCTACAATTTGTACCATTCAAAGAGAAGCTGGCGTTCTAGCCTGTTGTCTATACTGACAGAAAGGCCACGGGAAGTGATATCACAGAGCGTCAGCTGAATATGAGAAATCCACACAACGCCTCAAGTCGGAAACAGTTATGATGTTCGACCTTGTTAAGGGTCACTATCTGGATTCGAACCCGCGATCAAATCCTGCCATAGGAAGAGACGCATCTCAGTTAATGATAAAATTGCGGTTCCTTAAATGAAAGCGCTACCCGACCGCGAACACTATTTGTTTGTTTGTTGCTTAACGCCGCACTCAGCAATATTTCACCTATATGACGGCGGTGTGTGTAATACAAGCCAGTGATTGGTAGTGTGAGCAACTATCCACGTCGTCGGGGTACGATGACACGCAATCAACCAGGCCACCTAGCCTGACACACAACCCTCCACGATATAGTAATCGATCGCAGCAGCACGGATGTAATTCTATAAGTACTGACAAGTGTTGAGAAAACCCGCAATGCTCCACGTCACAAACGACACGTCTGGCAAAACGAATACAAATTCCACAACATTCCTCTACTACTACTACTACTACTACTACTACTACTACTACTACTACTACTACTACTACTTCTACTACTTCTACTACAACTACTACTAATACTAATACTACAACTACTACTATTTCTACTACTACTACTACTACTACTACTATTTCTACTACTACTACTACTACTACTACTACAACTACTACTACTACTACTACTACTACTACTACCACTAATACTTCTACTACTTCTACTACAACTACTACTACTACTAATACTACAACTACTACTATTTCTACTACTACTACTACTACTACTACTTCTACTACTACTACTACTACTACTACTACTACTACTTCTACTACAACTACTACTTCTACTACTACTAAAACTACTACTACTACTTCTACTACTACTTCTACTCCTACTACTACTACTACTACTACTACTACTACTACTACTTCTACTTCTACTACTACTACTACTACAACTACTACTACTCCTACTACTACTGCGAGTGTTAGAGTCCCTGTTCGCCCCGCTTATGTTTCTAGGTTTGTAGGCACTATACCCGTGCTCGCGGGTTTCACCAAAGTTGTAAATATCTGAGACCCGCATCACTTCAGGCTTTCCCTTCTACATCTAAGCTGACACGCCGTGATATAACTGGAATACAGTTAAAACCGATATTTAACCAACTCACTCACTCAATACTTCTACTGCCACTGCTACCACCACCACTTCTGTTATTTTGTCCACTCATACAAGCACCGTTATCACGAATAATATTATCCACAGTTTGCATCAGTCCGGACTAGTAAAACAAACACACACACACACACACACACACACACACACACGCACACACACACACACACACACACACACACACACGCACGTCGCCGTATAAGTGCAATAACCTTTGACGCGACGTTTTACCTCACCATAATCATAAGAAATCCCTCCTTAGAGCGGGGCCCATAGTACGATTCTGAGTAGTATAATAATAAGCATGTGTTAATGAATGGATACTGAGGATACCGTGTGTTCGCGAAAATATGAGCGTATCCTGTCCCAATTTAACACATTAAAAAATCTGTCACTCTCTTGATATATATGGGTATCGCAACTGATCATGATAATATTTTCATCAACATAAAATGGTAAATAAGTAAAATAGAATGTCATGTGTATAATGCTAGCGTCTAATTACCTTATGGAATAACTTTGTGACGTCATTCCTCTGTTTCTGACAACACAGCGTATGTCCCAACGGCAATCGTATGACGTCATAGATCGTATCCTGGGATTCGACCAGCGGACCCAATTGATCACAGGTGAGACATAGTGGATCAGCAAACCCAAGCTGGTGATTCGACATGGAGGATAAACCCTCACTTTTGTGGTGATGTCCACGTTGTTTTATTAACATGTGGAAAGTCACTACCACAACGAGGATAACATTGGCAGTCAGAGAAATGGCGACAACGGCATAGAACAACACATTGGTACGACGTCGTCGTTGTTGGGAAGGTGGAGGCGGTGACGTTGCTGTGTCAGTGGATATGAAGGTGGAGTCAGGTTCTGCCATCATGGAAGAAGAAATCCGCGGCCCGAGTTAAATCGATGTGTACGATGATGCCTGTCTCCATAAAATTGTTTCACAGTTGTAATAAACACTAGTATATCTATCTAGGTCGAATCCGTCACAGCTGATAATGTCTAGCCTTCCGCTGTCACACATATACTAAACCCGTTCGAAACATGGTTGCAGATATCAAGCCTTGCTCTGAGAACATGTGGGGCTATCCTATGACTTATCGTGGGTTCCCTGAAGTCACAGTTTCTATGGGAAATTCCCTGTGTGACCTAGTTTCTCTTTCTGAATAGCCACGAGCCGTGCGAGTTGCTGCGTCCCTCGGCGGAGGTTTCCTTGCTTTTTGTACTCTCTTAGACTAACATCTAGTCTCTGAAATGAACATATCGTACAGAAAAAACAGTTGCTCAGTTATCTTAATAAAAATATAATAAAAAGGGAGCCCAGTGATTCTCTTCATTTTCCTGATACTGCAGTAATCTAGACTTGCCAAACATTATAGACTTGCATGGGCTGTAGTTGATATATTTGTATCAGGGTCTGTAAGACAGAGTAGTACTCACTCCGCGTCTGAAATTCCCTGTGTGACCTAGTTTCTCTTTCTGAATGGCCACGAGTCGTACAAGTTGCTGCGTTCCTCGACGGAGGTTTTCGTGTATTTTCTCGCACTCAGCGTCGGAAATTCCCTGAAATCGCAAGCCACTCGTGTGGAGGATTTAAATTCAGGACACCCGGATGAGTGTTAGACAGTCTCCTTATCACCGGACATCGTCTCTCATGCCTTCCACTTACCACCTCCTGACCAGAGTGTGGCGTTAAACAACAAACAAACTTTACAGCCCAATATTTATATTCATAACTGGAGAGAGATATATCAAAATGGTTGCCCGTATCTTTCCAACGATATCAATTACTATCTTTTAAAATTTAAGACGCATTTGTTATAAATCGGAATCCCATTTAAATCCTGTACAGTCATTGTGTGTGTATAGTCATAGTATTATTTTACATGTACATAAGCGTTGATAAAAGCGACATTACCATTTTCATAATCACAGAGACCCGTGAAGATCCGGGGTAGAATAGGTCCTCAGCAACCCATGCTGGCCGTAAAATGCGACTATGCTTGTTGTAAGAGGCGACTAATGATCGGTAGGTCAGACTGGCTGACTTGCTTGATGCATGTCATCAAATCCCAATTGCGTGGATCGATGCTCAAGATGTCAATCACCTGATTGTCTGGTCCAGACCGCCGTCTTATACCTGTAATATTGCTGAGTGCGGCGTTAAACAACAAACCAAAACCAAATCACAGAATCCATTGTACGATTCTGACTAAGCTTATGCTAACATGGAATATTGGTATTTTTGGTCTCACTCGTTCAACCTCATTACATTAAAATCAAAGTTAAAACAAACTTCTGTATTGTTACATATAAAGTGCCTTGTACATTTGTAAACTGTCATAAATATGTCGTTAGCCAAACGGGAAAGTCGCCATCGAACTGTCACCGCAATTTCACAAAAAAAATTGAATCCACCCTGACACAATTTATTTAAAGAAAAACGATATGAAAGATATTAGGTAGTCTTAGAAAGAAACCGAAAGCGTGACTTTTAAAAATCTGTTTACCAATACCTAGGCTGTAAGAATGGTATATATAGTATTGGGACTTATGACTTTCCTTCTCCTATAACCTCACTTTGTCCTGACTGTAAACATAGGGTTTCGCTCGAGACGTGGGCAGAGAAACGATAGTTTCATTTTCACAGCTATACAGGCTTATTTATATGTCATGAGTCGATCATCAGCGGCCATCAGTCAAAACATTTCACATAGTCCAATAATAATAGCGAACACAAGTTTGACGCTTTTGTGTGTTGGGACTTAACGCTTCTATTTCAACCTCCGCCCATACTGCAAAACTGTACCAGTACTCGCCTTTCACACTACAGAAAGTGGTATATCACCATTTAGCATTTTTCATTAGTCTAAAAACGACAAAAAATATATATAGATGGCGGGCTGTAAATAATCAAGCCTGGACCAGAGAATTCAGTGATTGTTATCGTGAGCATAGATCTATCCAATTGGGAGACGATGACATGCATTAAACCAAGTCAGCGAGCCTGACCACCCGATCCCGTTAGTCGCCTCTTACGACAGGCATAGTCGTCTTTTAGGGTAAGCATGGCTGCTGAAGGTCTATTCTACCCCAGATCTTCACGGGACCACCTTGACCTGAATTCAGTGCGTCGGATTGATCCATGAACAAAAGCATCCTTACAAAAGTGTATTATCAACTATTGCATTCTTAACGGATCGTTTAATGTCATTATTTTCCGTACGAAGTCTTCTATTGTTGCCTATAATACATTGCTGTTGGCTGTAGCGTTTAGTCACTTTACCGGAGTTCCGGGGTCTACCCTAAACGGTACAACGTGTGAGGCCTGTTCCTGGGGTTCCCCTTTCCTGATATGGCTGCACCATTGTAAAAACTCACCAGCTCAGTCACAGATCTGTTTCTCTGAATGCTAACACGCTGAAGGATATCAAGTGAGTGAGGGAGTGAGTGAGTTGGGTTTAACGCCGCTTTTAACAATATTCCAGTTATATCGCAGCGTGTCAGCTTAATGTGGGAGGAAAGCCCGAAGTGATGCTGGTCTCAGACGTTTACCACTTCGGTGAAACCCACGAGCACGGGTAAGATGCTGACAAACCTAGAAACATAATTGGGGCGAACCGGGATTCGAACCCACAATCAAAGGTTTCTGGGGTGTCCAAGGGACGCAACTCTGCACAGCGAATCGCGGCGCCTTAGACGACAGGGCCACCCGTGCCCCCCGAAGGATATCAAGCTAGAAATAATAAGCACAACTTGCCAAAATGTCTGTCAATGATATGCACAACAAATAGAACAAGGACATACACGGATATAATATATTCTCTCTTGAAATCTTTGGACTTTCATTATAATGATTATAGTGATTGTTTTCTACTAAGTGTACTTCCTGGTGCCTGGTGACAATCATGCTGCGTGACCAACACGCGGCTTGCAACACTGTCGCGAACAGAAATAGACTGGGGCCGTGTGGTTACTTCCTGATTGGTTAATTATGTTTTTTTCCAAACCTATTTTAATAATGGTTCATAGTAATATTATCTCACGACTAAATAAAACTTTACATCACGGGTAGGCCCGTGGGAAGTGACAGATGACTGGGTAGCCACCCCTGTGAGTCGTGACGGGTATTTGGGTAGACCCATGATAATGTGGCATGTGAATAGGAAGTAACGTGACGGGAGGTTGTGTTGTCCTGTGGGTGGTGACGGGAGGTTGTGTTGTCCTGTGGGTAGTGACGGGTGGTTGTGTTGTCCTGTGGGTAGTGACGGGAGGTTGTGTTGTCCTGGGGGTGGTGACGTGAGGTTGTGTTGTCCTGTGGGTAGTGACGGGTGGTTGTGTTGTCCTGTGGGTGGTGACGGGAGGTTGTGTTGTCCTGTGGGTAGTGACGAGAGGTTATGTTGTCCTCTGGGCAGTGCCGTGATGTTATGTTGTCTGGTGGGTAGTGACGGGAGGTTGTGTTGCCCTGTGGGCAGTGCCGCGATGTTGTGTTGCGCTGTGGGTAGTGACGGGAGGTTGTGTTGTCGTGTGGGTAGTGAAGGAAGGTTGTGTTGTCCTGTGGGTAGTGACGGGAGGTTGTGTTGTCCTGTGGGCAGTGACGTAATGTTGTGTTGTCCTGTGGGTAGTGAGGGAAGGTTGTGTTGTCTGGTGGGTAGTGACGGGAGGTTGTGTTGTCTTGTGGGTTGTGACGGTAGGTTGTGTTGTCCCGTGGGTAGTGACGGGATGTTGTGTTGTCCCGTGGGTAGTGACGGGAGGTTGTGTTGCCCTATGGGTAGTGACGGGAGGTTGTGTTGTCGTGTTGGTAGTGAAGGAAGGTTGTGTTGTCCTGTGGGTAGTGACGGGAGGTTGTGTTGTCCTGTGGGCAGTGACGTAATGTTGTGTTGTCCTGTGGGTAGTGACGGGAGGTTGTGTTGTCTGGTGGGTAGTGACGGGAGGTTGTGTTGCCCTGTGGGCATTGCCGGGGTGTTGTGTTGCCCTGTGGGTAGTGACGGGAGGTTGTGTTGCCATGTGGGCAGTGACGGGAGGTCGTGTTGTTCTGTGGGTAGCGACGGGAGGTTATGTTGTCCTGTGGGTTGTGACGGGAGGTTTTGTTGTCCTGTGGGTAGTGACGGGAGGTTGTGTTGTCCTGTGGGCAGTGACGTAATGTTGTGTTGTCCTGTGGGTAGTGACGGGAGGTTGTGTTGTCGTGTGGGTAGTGAAGGAAGGTTGTGTTGTCCTGTGGGTAGTGACGGGAGGTTGTGTCGTCCTGTGGGTAGTGACGGGAGGTTGTGTTGTCTTGTGGGTTGTGACGGGAGGTTGTGTTGTCTGGTGGGTAGTGACGGGAGGTTGTGTTGTCCCGTGGGTAGTGACGGGAGGTTGTGTTGTCCCGTGGGTAGTGACGGGAGGTTGTGTTGCCCTATGGGTAGTGACGGGAGGTTGTGTTGTCGTGTTGGTAGTGAAGGAAGGTTGTGTTGTCCTGTGGGTAGTGACGGGAGGTTGTGTTGTCCTGTGGGCAGTGACGTAATGTTGTGTTGTCCTGTGGGTAGTGACGGGAGGTTGTGTTGTCTGGTGGGTAGTGACGGGAGGTTGTGTTGCCCTGTGGGCATTGCCGGGGTGTTGTGTTGCCCTGTGGGTAGTGACGGGAGGTTGTGTTGCCATGTTGGCAGTGACGGGAGGTCGTGTTGTTCTGTGGGTAGCGACGGGAGGTTATGTTGTCCTGTGGGTTGTGACGGGAGGTTTTGTTGTCCTGTGGGTAGTGACGGGAGGTTGTGTTGTCCTGTGGGCAGTGACGTAATGTTGTGTTGTCCTGTGGGTAGTGACGGGAGGTTGTGTTGTCGTGTGGGTAGTGAAGGAAGGTTGTGTTGTCCTGTGGGTAGTGACGGGAGGTTGTGTCGTCCTGTGGGTAGTGACGGGAGGTTGTGTTGTCTTGTGGGTTGTGACGGGAGGTTGTGTTGTCTGGTGGGTAGTGACGGGAGGTTGTGTTGTCCCGTGGGTAGTGACGGGAGGTTGTGTTGTCCCGTGGGTAGTGACGGGAGGTTGTGTTGCCCTGTGGGTTGTGACGGGAGGTTGTGTTGCCATGTGGGCAGGGTCGGGAGGTCGTGTTGTTCTGTGGGTAGCGACGGGAGGTTGTGTTGTCCTGTGGGTTGTGACGGGAGGTTTTGTTCTCCTGTGGGTAGTGACGGGAGGTTGTGTTGTCCTGTGGGCAGTGACGTGAGGTTGTGTTGTCCTGTTGGTAGTGACGGGAGGTTGTGTTGTCGTGTGGGTAGTGAAGGAAGGTTGTGTTGTCCTGTTGGTAGTGACGGGAGGTTGTGTTGTCCTGTGGGCAGTGACGGGAGGTTGTGTTGCCATGTGGGCAGTGACGGGAGGTCGTGTTGTTCTGTGGGTAGTGACGGGAGGTTATGTTGTCCTGTGGGTTGTGACGGGAGGTTTTGTTGTCCTGTGGGTAGTGACGGGAGGTTGTGTTGTCCTGTGGGCAGTGACGTAATGTTGTGTTGGCCTGTGGGTAGTGACGGGAGGTTGTGTTGTCGTGTGGGTAGTGAAGGAAGGTTGTGTTGTCCTGTGGGTAGTGACGGGAGGTTGTGTTGTCCTATGGGCAGTGACGTAATGTTGTGTTGTCCTGTGGGTAGTGACGGAAGGTTGTGTTGTCCCGTGGGTAGTTACGGGAGGCTGTGTTGTCTTGTGGGTTGTGACGGGAGGTTGTGTTGTCCCGTGGGTAGTGACGGGATGTTGTGTTCTCCCGTGGGTAGTGACGGGAGGTTGTGTTGCCCTATGGGTAGTGACGGGAGGTTGTGTTGTCGTGTTGGTAGTGAAGGAAGGTTGTGTTGTCCTGTGGGTAGTGACGGGAGGTTGTGTTGTCTGGTGGGTAGTGACGGGAGATTGTGTTGCCCTGTGGGCATTGCCGGGATGTTGTGTTGCCCTGTGGGTAGTGACGGGAGGTTGTGTTGCCATGTGGGCAGTGACGGGAGGTCGTGTTGTTCTGTGGGTAGCGACGGGAGGTTATGTTGTCCTGTGGGTTGTGACGGGAGGTTTTGTTGTCCTGTGGGTAGTGATGGGAGGTTGTGTTGTCCTGTGGGCAGTGACGTAATGTTGTGTTGTCCTGTGGGTAGTGAAGGGAGGTTGTGTTGTCGTGTGGGTAGTGAAGGAAGGTTGTGTTGTCCTGTGGGTAGTGACGGGAGGTTGTGTTGTCCTGTGGGCAATGACGTAATGTTGTGTTGTCCTGTGGGTAGTGACGGAAGGTTGTGTTGTCCCGTGGGTAGTGACGGGAGGTTGTGTTGTCTTGTGGGTTGTGACGGGAGGTTGTGTTGTCCCGTGGGTAGTTACGGGATGTTGTGTTGTCCCGTGGGTAGTGACGGGAGGTTGTGTTGTCCTGTTGGTAGTGACGGGAGGTTGTGTTGTCGTATTGGTAGTGAAGGAAGGTTGTGTTGTCCTGTGGATAGTGACGGGAGGTTGTGTTGTCCTGTGGGTAGTGACGTAATGTTGTGTGGTCCTGTGGGCAGTGACGTAATGTTGTGTTGTCCTGTGGGTAGTGACGGGAGGTTGTGTTGTCTGGTGGGTAGTGACGGGAGGTTGTGTCGCCCCGTGGGCATTGCCGGGATGTTGTGTTGCCCTGTGGGTAGTGACGGGAGGTTGTGTTGTCGTGTGGGTAGTGAAGGAAGGTTGTGTTGTCCTGTGGGTAGTGACGGGAGGTTGTGTTGTCCTGTGGGTTGTGACGTAATGTTGTGTTGTCCTGTGGGTAGTGACGGGAGGTTGTGTTGTCTGGTGGGTAGTGACGGGAGGATGTGTTGCCCTGTGGACAGTGCCGGGATGTTGTGTTGCCCTGTTGGTTGTGACGGGAGGTTGTGTTGCCATGTGGGCAGTGACGGGAGGTCGTGTTGTTCTGTGTGTAGCGACGGGAGGTTGTGTTGTCCTGTGGGTTGTGACGGGAGGTTTTGTTGTCCTGTGGGTAGTGACGTGAGGTTGTGTTGTCCTGTGGGCAGTGACGTGAGGTTGTGTTGTCCTGTTGGTAGTGACGGGAGGTTGTGTTGTCGTGTGGGTAGTGAAGGAAGGTTGTGTTGTCCTGTGGGTAGTGACGGGAGGTTGTGTTGTCCTGTAGGCAGTGACGTAATGTTGTGTTGTCCTGCGGGTAGTGACGGAAGGTTGTGTTGTCCCGTGGGCAGTGACGGGAGGTTGTGTTGTCTTGTGGGTTGTGACGGGAGGTTGTGTTGTCTTGTGGGTTGTGACGGGAGGTTGTGTTGTCTGGTGGGTAGTGACGGGAGGTTGTGTTGTCTGGTGGGTAGTGACGGGAGGTTGTGTTGTCTTGTGGGTTGTGACGGGAGATTGTGTTGTCCCGTGGGTAGTGACGGGAGGTTGTGTTGTCCCGTGGGTAGTGACGGGAGGTTGTGTTGTCTTGTGGGTTGTGACGGGAGGTTGTGTTGTCTTGTGGGTTGTGACGGGAGGTTGTGTTGTCTGGTGGGTAGTGACGGGAGGTTGTGTTGTCCTGTGGGTAGTGACGGGCGGTTGTGTTGTCTGGTGGGTATTGACGGGAGGTTGTGTTGTCTGGTGGGTAGTGACGGGAGGTTGTGTTGTCTTGTGGGTTGTGACGGGAGATTGTGTTGTCCCGTGGGTAGTGAAGGGAGGTTGTGTTGTCCCGTGGGTAGTGACGGGAGGTTGTGTTGTCTTGTGGGTTGTGACGGGAGGTTGTGTTGTCTTGTGGGTTGTGACGGGAGGTTGTGTTGTCTGGTGGGTAGTGACGGGAGGTTGTGTTGTCCTGTGGGTAGTGACGGGAGGTTGTGTTGTCTGGTGGGTAGTGACGGGAGGTTGTGTTGTCTTGTGGGTAGTGACGGGAGGTTGTGTTGTCTTGTGGGTAGTGACGGGAGGTTATGTTGTCCATGGGTTGTGACGGGAGGTTGTGTTGTCCTGTGGGTAGTGACGGGAGGTTGTGTTGTCCCGTGGGTAGTGACGGGAGGTTGTGTTGTCCCGTGCGTAGTGACGGGATGTTGTGTTGTCCTGTGGGCAGTGACGTGAGGTTGTGTTGCCCTGTGGGTAGTGACGGGAGGTTGTGTTGTCGTGTGGGTAGTGAAGGAAGGTTGTGTTGTCCTGTGGGTAGTGGCGGGACGTTGTGTTGTCCTGTGGGAAGTTACGTAAGGTTGTGTTGTCCTGTGGGTAGTGACGGGAGGTTGTGTTGTCTGGTGGGTAGTTACGGGAGGTTGTGTTTTCTGATGGGTAGTGACGGGCTGTTAGCTTCACAACAATGTCAAAATATTTTACTAATTACATTAATGTTGCAGCTGCTGACTCCTATTCTGTTAACTCAGATGAACGCATCAAATCTGGTTTTCAAACAGAATTGTTTCCTCAGGAATTCCCACAGCGGGATGAGTGAGTGAATGAGCTGGGTTTAACGCCGCTTTTAACAGTATTCCAGTTATATCGCGGCGTTTTAGCTTAATGTGGAGGGAAAGCCCGAAGTGATGCAGGTCTCAGACGTTTGCCACTTCGGTGAAACCCACGTGTACGGGTATGGTACTGACAAACCGGGGCGAACTGGGAAAACGAACCCACAGCCATAGGTTTCTGGCGAGCCCAAGGTACGGAACTCTGCACAGCGAATCGCGGTGCCTTATACGACTGGGCCACCCGTGCCAAGCTCTCTCTCTCTCCCCCTCCAAGACAAGAGGAGTTGAAGTTAAAAGGTTTAAAAATGATGGTTTACATTTAAAGGATCTAATCCAGTAAAAAACTGTTAATATATCATTTTCAGACTGTCAGGGATGAATTTTATCTTTTGCACAAGAAACACATGAGTCAACACCGACTAGACAACAGGAGGCCCTATATGAGCACAGTATCGACCTGAGCAGGTCATTGGTGTTGATGGAAGTATAATTTCAAGAAGACGAAGTGATCGCGAAATAGAAAAAAATGACATTGAAAATTTATAATGTAATAAACTTAACCCTTGTGAAATCTGAACAACATACATGTAGGATGGAATCTAATAGCGTTACAGATTTAGAACACGACTGTTTACATATCCCGATAACCTTGCCGAAGTTGTGCAAGCTGTGGCTGGGGTAAAGAATCACAAGGCTGATTTGTTCTACCACGTTCGCTATCAGTGTGCAATGTGCAGGGTAAGGCTTCTAGAGCTTAGTTCGTAGGCCACCACATGACCCTCGTATCATGATGACGCACAGAGTTGACGTTTTCCTGTTTGACGACGATTTCAAATTCTTCAGGATTCGGCTTGACTCTGTCCAGACTTGTGCATACTGCTTTTATCTGTTTCATCCTGGTTTCAAATTCTTCAGGATTCGGTTTAACCTTGTCCAGACGTGAGCATATTCAAACAATTCCATGTGAGGAATTGTTATTCTGGGTCGTCTTGGGCACTCCAGCAACCTATGATCGAATCCCCGTTAGTCCTGATTATGTTTCTAGGTTTGTCAGCACCATGGCCATACCGGTGCTCGTGGGTGTCACCAAAGTGATTAACGTCTAAGACCTGCATCACGTCGGGGTTTTCCTTAACATTAAGCTGATACGCCGTGATATAACTGTAATACTGTTCAAACGGCGTTAAACACTATTCACTCATGATCATCATTACTTTCGGACAGCAGGTAAATTTCTCCATATCGTTTAGAGAGTTGAACTGAACACAAAACTGTTGGTAGAATTACTCATTTTTTGTATAATGTACATACGTTCATTTAACATGATAAATCTCTTAACCACTGGGCGCTTGGAAGAAAAAAACCTGCATTCAAGAATGGAAGGCGGAGAGACTCTCGGTTCTAACAGTTTGATATTCGGGGATGATTTGAGGTTTGTGAGTTTTGTTGTTTGTTGTTGGTGGTTATGGGTTGTGTGGTTGTGGGTTGTGTGGTTGTGGGGTGGGGTTGGTTTAAGGGTTGGTTAAGGGGTTTGGGTTTTGGAACCGGTCTACAGAGAGAAAATAACTGCATACATGGTTTCAAGCAGTGACCAAAATATATCCTGTTCCCTGACCTTTCCCACATATTAAGAGGTCGGACGTTTAGTGAGAGAGTGGTGAGGTGAGGTGAGGTGAGGTGGGGTTTAACGTCGCGTCCAAGATTATTGCACTTATATAGCGACGTGCATGTACGTGTGTGTGTTTGTGTGGCTGCTTGCACTAGTCCGGACTGATGCCGATTTATAGTGCTAGCTCACTGAGATACCATGCCGCAGTTTAACATGAATACCCCATTCAGACACAGTATACTGACTCCGAGCCGACCAGTCCTTGTTTAAACCCTTTAATGCCGAGCGCCAGACAGGGTAACAACAAGTTCCATATTTTAACGTCTTTTGGTATGACGCGGTCGGGGATCGAACCCCGGACCTTCCGCTCTCCGGGCGGACGCTCTACCACTAGACCACGGAGGCGGTCCAGTGAGAGAGTGAGTTAGTGAGTGAGTTGCGTTACTGCCACTTGGAACAATATCGAAAACCTTCGAGTTCTTGTTATTGACAAACCAAGAAGCAAGGATCCAATCCCACGATCATCGGATTCTTGCTCGATTGCGGGTCAGCTCATCGAATGTGGACATCTTGAACGACTGGGCCACCTGCGCGTCTCAAGTATGGTCATTTATGCAACTCGTAGTGGGAATATAGAATCAAACGCATGCAATCAGATTTAATGACATGATATTTCTGCCGTTAAGTCAACCATCCAGCTTCAGTCTTGGAAGATTGAGAGTCAAATGCGCGCCGCCCGATGGAGTGGGATGGTGCTTACATTATCAGTCACCACATACGCGGAGCCAAGAGGTTTGCGCACGTGACGAGTGTGTGTGTGTGTGTGTGTGTGTGTGTGTGTGTGTGTGTGTGTGTGTGTGTGTGTGTGTGTGTGTGTGTGTGTGTGTTTGTGTGTGTGTGTGTGAGTGCGTGCGTGTGTGTGTGTGTGTGTATGTGTGTGCAGGGTTGCGCAGCCGGCGACTATTCCCAGGCCGCAGTTATACCCGGATAATTTTATTTATCTATACGCCAAAGACTTAAGGATATTTATTTACAAATATGGTCATCGCATGTTTTAAGTTCAGAAAAATGCAGTTATTACAAGCTTTTTAAGACAACTATTTCCCCAGAATACTATTTGTTTGATATAAATTTTTAATGATTTAGAATCAATTCAGCGCAATTTAGATGCAGATCTCATAGACTTAGGATCGAAGTAGGCAGACATAGAAACAGATCCAGAGAATTGAGAATATGTGAACAATGTGGTTTAAATGTGATTAAAGATGAGTTTTATTTTCTGTTAGTCCGTCCAACATACGACCATCTAAGAAGTATTGAACTGCCTTTTTATGTACATCCCACTCAACAAACATTTATATCGATCATGTCACCAACTGATAAAGATAATCTAAAAAGCTATCAATGTTCATTTATCATGCTATGTTAATTAGAATAACTATCAATGTTCATTCACGCTATGTTCATTAGAACAACTATCAATGTTCATTCACGCTATGTTAATTAGAACAACTATCAATGTTCATTCACGCTATGTTAATTAGAATATGACCTGTTAAACATATCTGCAACCACTGCCGAAAACATAATTGTACTGTAGGCCCGAGGCCTTTTAGTATGGAATAAAACCTCTCCTTGCTTGGAATGTGCTGAGTGTGGCGTTAATAACGACCAATCAAACACTCTTGACATACATGCATCCTTATAGATGGATAAGTGGCACACTGAAGGGAATGACGGATCACTCTAAAGTTTCCTTACACCGAAAAATGTAAGCGAGGACTGTTTGTGAACTGATAAGACATCAGAAACATTGACGGCGATTCGGTCATTTTTGCGCATGACCAAGATGGCTGACAGGAAGCTGGATTGATATATCTCATGTGTCGAGTAGCTATTCTTGGTAACCAGAAGAGTGACCTCCCCTAACTTCGGCTGTCTCGGGTGTTCACGGGTAATCTGATGCAAGAACGTCTTGCAACCATATGTGTCCTTATTCTGCTTGTAAGTCACGTGGGAATATACGTGATATCGACCATTCGACGGTATGTGTATTTTGCGATCTCGATACTCAACGCCAGACATGAAGGCGAAGTTGTTCCGTCCTCGGTCATTCCAGGTCAGCGTGGAGCCTGAAACGAAAATATGAAATGTCTCAAAATTAATTTTTATTAAAGAGTGAGTTAAGCATTAAAGTTGCATCGACAATGTTTCAGCCATTTAGCGACCAGAAATAAGCGACCATGTTCTGACATAAAAGAACACCACAGATGCTGTCAAGATATCTACGGAAGATTTTAGGGCCATTTGTTTTTAATTTTAAAAAAATACTTTCACTATTTTGCCTTTTACGCCCAATAGAATTTGTTTCGGCAGATAATCGAATCTGATTATTTTCTGGCGATTTTTATCTAAATGTGTTCATATTTCCCCCGAACGCTCCAAACATACCTATCGCATCAGAAACGTGATCACATCCTCCCCGCAAGGATCCTGACAGTACCGATTTCAAACGTCATTTCTGAATGCGGGGCGGTCGGGTAACCTTGTGGTTAAAGCGTTCGCTCGTCACGCCGAAGACCCGGGTTCGATTCCCGACATGGGTACAATGTGTGAAGCCCATTTCTGGTGTCCCCCGCCGTGATATTGCTGGAATATTGCTAAAAGCGGCGTAAAACCATACTCACCCATTTCTGAATGCAACCATTCCGCAACCATACCCGTTTACTGTATCTACAAGACTTCCTGGTTTTACCATTCCCGGAACATTACATTGAGTAGTGTACGTAGTACTTGGAATTTTTCATGACACAATGAAACGGTACCAACAAGGATCATTCAGTGTTGAACAAGGAAGCGTCAGGTACGATCGTGGTCACGAAGACACCGACGCCGGGAAGAAGGAGTACTATTTATAGCCACGTGTGTGTATCAAATAATATCTGAAGAAATAACATAGTTTTATGAATGGATTCTATTTAAAGAATACTTCAATACCAAAGCCGTACGTCATGGGTGTCTCTTTGGTAGAAAATCATGACTCAACCTGCTCAGCAACGGTAATTTGTTACCGGGACCTATGAATGCGTTGTAACATTCAAATCAAGTTGTCATTGTTTGGTTGTTGTTTTTTGTTTTTTGTTTGTTTGTTTGTGATTTTGGTTTTGGTTTGTTTGTTTGTTTGTTTGTTTTGTTTTTGTTTTTTGGGTTGTTTTTTTTTTGGGGTGGTGGTGGTTTTTTTTGCTTTTTTTATAAACTGATGGGCAAATGAAAGTATACAGTTGAAAAATGGAGTTGACCAAACAATTACAAACGTTATCACAGCGTTAATAGTCTGAAAACAGTCGCCGAAACAACACAGCAAACGTAAGGTCCAAAACATAACTATGGTACCCGCATCAAATATATCACCATCGAATAACCATTTCTTGTTTTTGTTTTTATTTTAGCCACCGCCAAACTTGGGTAAATACTTTCTTTCCCCGTCAGTTGAGTTGCATACAAAACCTATTATGTTTGTTTTCCGTCTGGTGATTAATACCCTCGTAATGCATCGCTAATGAGAAGAAACAGGTATGGTAACCATAGAAACAAACCATTTATTGCTGCCGGGTCCAGATACAGAAGTGCTCCAGTGGCACCCCTCATCCACGGGGCGGCGACACTGGGAGTGAGAGGAGCATCCGCTGTAACAGACAGGTAGTTTTGTTTGTTTGGTTGTTTGTTTGTTTGTTGTTTAACGCCGCACTCAGCAATATTCCAGTTATATGACGGCAATCTGTAAAAAGTCGATTCTGGGCCAGACAACACAGGGATTGACATCATGAGCATCGATCCACGCAATTGGGATACGATGACATGCATCAACAAAGTCAGCGAGCCTGACCACCCGATCCCGTTAGTCTCCTCTTACGACAAGCATAGTCACCTTTTACGGCAAGCATGGGTTGCTGAAGACCTATTCTACCCCGGATCTTTACGGGTAGACAGATAGTGAGAACCATAGTCACCTTCAAACATGATTTTGTCCTTTAGACCAGGAAGAATAATCGTGGGATAGTTTTTCTCAAATATGTCTTCTGACAACAAAGTTCGTGAATTATTTTTACAAATATTAATCTGAATTTATTTTTATACGCCGTGAATCATGGTCTGGTTCACAAGATCATTAAATAATTTTGTAAGAGATAATAAAAAAATTCTTGCTATATCATATAGAAAATAATTAATAATTTTATATTGGCGTGAGTATTTATTTTTACATACCTTTTCCTTTATATATAGCTTTAGCCATCTGCGAAAACAATATTAACAATCTGGCTTATGTTGCAGACATATAGAAATGACTTAATACACTTATCTTATAAAAATACATTGGTAAACAAATTATTATTTCTAATAGTACCTCCGATGTTGCTACAATGCGTGTGATCTTTTGTTGGTAAAATCGTTTAATCTGTTACATAAACACAAATAGTCATAGTAGTTGTGAGTAAGTGAGTATGGTTTTACGCCGCTTTTAGCAATAATCCAGCAATATCACGGCGGGGGACACCAGAAATGGGCTTTACGCTCTGTACCCATGTCGGGAATCGAACCCGGGTCTTCGGCGTGACGAGCGAACGCTTTAACCACTAGACTACCCGAAAGCTCCTCATAATAGTTGTGAGTTGTGACACTAAACTATTAAAACATTCATGATCGTTAAACGCACGGCAGTTTCCATTTAATCGAGACTTTTTGTTCTCTGGCGTTACCTTTTTATTTATTGGTTTACCGCCGCTTTGAGACCCGTGAAGATCCGGGTTAGAATAGGTCTTCAAAAACCCATGCTTGTCTACCCGTATAGATCCGGGCTAGAATGGGTCTTCAGCAACCCATACTTGCCATAAATGGTGACTATGCTTGTCGTAAGAGGCGACTAACAGGATTGGGTTGTCAGGCTCGCTGACTTGGTTGATGCATGTCATCGTATCCCAATTGCGTGGATCGATGCTCATGACATCAATCACTGAATTGTCTGTTCCAGACTCGATTACTTTCAGACCGCCGTCATATAGCTGAAATATTGCTGAGTGCGGCGTTAAACAACAAACAAACAAAACCGCCGCTTTGAACAGTATGTCAGTTGTATCAAGTCAGGGCTTCCTGTGGGAGCAACGCCCGAAGTTATGCACTTTGGTGAAAACTTAGAACGATATGGTAACGTTCAACTCCTGCTGCGTACAAGTGCAGAGATTCTCGGCTAACGCGCAAAGAGAATCACCTGAGAATCATAATAGTTAAAAATTAAGTAAGTTAAAGGTATCTGTCGTCTATATGATTACGGACGTTGACGTCAGGTGAGATAATTAACTGACATGTTGATGTTGTGTATAACTTATCTATGTCGTGTCGTATGTCAACTACTATCGCATGATATCACTTCCTTCTTGTAACACGAAGCACAGATACAACACTGATAAACACGATAAACAGGGTTGCGATAAATGCATCCGTGCAGCAGAGATGTTTGTTTGTTTGTTTGTTTGTTCTTTAACGCCGCACTCAGCAATATTCAAGCTATATGACGGGGGTCTGTAAAATAATCGAGTCTGAACCAGACAATCCAGTGATTGACATCATGAGCATCGATAGCAGAGATGTAAATATTTGCAAAATGTTATGACGCCATACAGTAGGAACATGTTTTGAACACATACAATAATATATTCCGCTTTACACTCTTAAAATTAAAAAATTCAGTGAACTTTTGTAAATATAAACGACAAAACTCTTTCAGTGCTCATAAGAGAAAACTCCGTTAAAAGCAGACTCGAATGTACGATTCCGAATATATCATGAGCATGTGTTTAATAATTATCAAATGGTGATACCAGGTGTCCTCGAAAATATGAGCGTCACAAACATATGCAAAGGCAAGTCAATCACCCAACTAAAAACATAGGATACGATTCAAACTAGAAACACACACCTGTTCAAATGCAGGAGTAAGTTCATCCTTTTCTTTAAGGCAGCAAAACGTGTGGTTACCTCCCTTGGCCAGTCTGAAGAGTGTGTCATGGGATTCGATCCCGGAACCCAGATAATCGCAAACAAAACACACAGAGCCTGTGTCAGGATTGGGTAGGGGCGTATCTGTATCATGTTGTAGCACTACGAAGAAGATCACCAATGTCACAACAGCTACATTGACAAGAAGGGATCCCACCACACTGACACGGACACACACAGGTCCAAACAGGGGCACATCAGCTCTGTTGGTTGTAATGAACCCTGTCGATTCCGACATGTTGGATGTAGATGCGCTGTGAACTGGCCGATCGCGTGTTCGTACAGATTATTCTACCTGATTGTTGACAAGACTTCCTGGTCAATCGGGATTTTCAAATACCTGGGCAACCCCCTTCTTTTAAATAGAAACGCGCTTACTTGCTAGAAGTCCTCCTTGAGGCCTGGTTTAGCATTGTGTACCGATAGAGTGAAAGTCGGTACGCAGTATGCCATATGTTTTGAATACAGTGGCTAGTCTATCAGAGGCATTGACTATGTACGGTTCGTTATATGCTGTTATCAAATATAGAGACGTCTCTGTTACTTAGAATTTGCATTTCTTGGACGAGCTACTTTCCTTTTTCAATTCGTCGTGTAATCCTTCTGACGGGTATTCAGAGACACACATTACCGTAACACCAAAAAAAGGAAGTCACACAATGCAGGGTGGCCATGCAGAGGTCACATGACCAAACATGCATTCACACGGAGAACGTACTGTTCTCCCACTGAAGTACTACGGGCTAAAGCTGACGATATATATGTTGAATTATCAATACTGTTATGAGCGTCGTGGGGCCACAGCACTGATAGTCATGAGGTAATGGTTCTGTGTGCGTTAAGATTTCTCGGAAATGGTTTTGTTTACAGATCTTGTTATCGCGCTTCTGATTTTACTTTCGTTATTAAATCTAGATTTCTGTTTTATTTCAGGTGTAAGTATCTTTGATATTACATCGAGAGCTGACGTCCATGTAATATTCGGAACGGGATGGGCGGGAAATGGTTGGGGATGAGAGAGTGGGGATGGTGGGTGATGAGGGGGTTGGGGATGAGAGAGTGGGGATGGTGGGTGATGAGGGGATTGGGGGTGAATGGGTGGGAGGTGGTGGAGAATGAGTGGATGGGAGGTGGTGGGAGATGAGGGGATTGGGGGTGAATGGGTGGGAGGTGGTGGAGAATGAGTGGATGGGAGGTGGTGGGAGATGAGGGGATTGGGGGTGAATGGGTGGGAGGTGGTGGAGAATGAGTGGATGGGAGGTGGTGGGAGATGAGGGGATTGGGGGTGAATGGGTGGGAGGTGGTGGAGAATGAGTGGATGGGAGGTGGTGGGAGATGAGGGGATTGGGGTTGATGGGGTGGGATGTGGTGGAGAATGAGTGGATGGGAGGTGGTGGGAGATGAGGGGATTGGGGGTGAATGGGTGGGAGGTGGTGGAGAATGAGTGGATGGGAGGTGGTGGGAGATGAGGGGATTGGGGGTGAATGGGTGGGAGGTGGTGGAGAATGAGTGGATGGGAGGTGGTGGGAGATGAGGGGATTGGGGGTGAATGGGTGGGAGGTGGTGGAGAATGAGTGGATGGGAGGTGGTGGAGAATGAGGGGTTGAGGTTGAAGGGGTGGGAGGTGGTGTGTGATGAGGGGGTTGGGGTTGAAGGGGTGGGATGTGGTGGAGAATGAGTGGATGGGAGGTGGTGGGAGATGAGGGGTTGAGGTTGAAGGGCAGGGAGGTGGTGGGTGATGAGGGGGTTGGGGTTGAATGGGTGGGAGGTGGTGGGAGATGAGGGGTTGAGGTTGATGGGGTGGGAGGTGTTCGGTTATGAGGGGGTTGGGGAATGAGGGGATGGGAGGTGGTGGGAGATGAGGGGTTGGGGTTGATGGGGTGGGAGGTGTTCGGTTATGAGGGGGTTGGGGAATGAGGGGATGGGAGGTGGTGGAGAATGAGGGGATGGCAGGTTGTGTTAGGGCCTGTGTCTGACTCTCCAACTATTCTGTCTGGGCCTATGTCTGACCCTCTTACTATTCAGTCAGGGCCAATGTCTGACTTCAACTATTCTGTCTGGGCCTATGTCTGACTCTCTAACTATTCAGTCAGGGCCAATGTCTGACTTCAACTATTCTGTCTGGGCCTATGTCTGACTCTCCAACTATTTTCTCTCAAGGGCTATTTCTGACTCTCTACTTTTCTGTCTGGGCCTATGTCTTACTCTCTAACTATTCAGTCAGGGCCAATGTCTGACTTCAACTATTCTGTCTGGGCCTATGTCTTAATCTCCAACTGTTCTCTCAAGGGCTATTTCTGACTCTCTACTTTTCTGTCTGGGCCTATGTCTTACTCTCAAACTATTCAGTCAGGGCCAATGTCTGACTTCAACTATTCTGTCTGGGCCTTTGTCTTAATCTCCAACTGTTCTCTCAAGGGCTATGTCTGACTCTCTACTATTCTATCAGGGCCTATGTCTGACTCTCCAACTTTTCTCTCAAGGGCTATGTCTGACTCTCCAACTATTCTGTCTTGGTCCGTGACAAATACAGGGTTAGTTTGAACCATTTCACTTAGACAAGAGTATGTTTGTTAGGCGTTGTATGGGCAGCAACAGTATTGCTTCCGTTTATCTCATTAACTGTTCTTCAAAAGAGACAATGAATCTTTCATGAAATACAGCACACATAACATATACATTCTGAATATAGGTTTTCCATTTCTGTTGATTGTGTTTATGATCGTGGCTTGATTGTGTGTTCATATGACACTCTTGTCCTCACTGTGTGAGTGAATGAGTTGGGTTTTACGCCGCGTTTAACAGTATTCCAGTTATATCGCGGCGTGTCAGCTTAATGTGGGAGGAAAGCCCGAAGTGATGCAGGTCTTAGACACTCATTGTGAGAAATAAAAATACAAAAATATAATTTTCTCTTCTGTGTCCCACACATAACCAAAATGATCAATATATCGGGTGGTCTGGCTCGCTGACTTGGTTGACCCTTTCCATGATCATAAGAAATATCTGCCAAGAGCAGAGTCAATTGCACGATTCAATCTATATCACGAGAATGACCTTATGAATCGCTTTCAAATAGTGACGATACCAGGTGTTCGCGAAAAGGTGAGCGTATCCTGCCCAATCGGCCACGCCAATCACAAACGCACGCAAAATTGCAAGTAAATGCGGGCATATGGTACAAGTCGAAATAGGGAATAGCATCACAGTAAACTACGGTTATTATGAACTCAAAGGGACCCCTTATTTTAATTAGTTCGTTATAACCGTAGTTCGTTATATGCATATATACAGAATATATACATCACATAGACAGGACTACAAAATAAGTTCGTTACATCGGTCAGTTCGTTATAAGCGTGTTCGTTATAACCGTAGTTTACTGTATGTACACCAAATTTACAAATGTCCTCCGCATGTTTACCATAAAACGTTTTAAAAGCTTTACTCGGGCTTTCAATGGTGGAACCCTGATAAAGCAACAGCTCTTTGATTTCTCTTTATTAGAAGACCATGCTAGATTGTACCTTACAAATAGTGAAATAAATCACCAAAGGCTGGAGCTGCTGGAATATTGCGAGAGATAAAGGGGAAGTTAACTATTGGAAGGCTGAAGTCAACAATCTCGTCATACAAACTTGTTAAGGCTTTTTTGCCACTTTGAATATTTATTCATAGATCTAAATATGAACATATGAGACGGTCACACTGGTCTCCGTTATTTCTAGTTGAGGTGACCGCCTCCGTGGTCTAGTGGTAGAGCGTCTGCCTGGAGAGCGGAAAGTCCGGAGTGCCCTCCCCGACCGCGTCATACCAAAAGACGTTAAAAGATGGTACTTGTTGTTACCCTGTCTGGCGCTCGGCATTAATGGGCTAAAACAAGGACTGGTTGGCTCGGAGTCAGTATACTGTGTCTGAGTGGGGTATTCATGTTAAACTGCGGCATAGTATCTCAGTGAGCTCGCACTATAAATCGGCATCAGTCCGGACTAGTACAAGCAGTCACACATACACACACACACGTGCATGCACGTCGCTATATAAGTGAAATAATCTTGGACGCGACGTTAAACCCCATTTCACCTCACCTCTAGTTGAGGTGGGTATATCAATGGAAAGAATTGGCTATTTGACCGTTATAGAACGATATAAGGTTATCGATATAACCGAATCTTAAGTCAAACTTCTCGAGCATATTCCCTTGTTTGAAATATAAAGTACTGTTTGAAGAAATGTCAACCTCTGTATCCCTATCCCTTAAAAGGGATTGTCTACATGACCACTTAACAATAACTACGATGCGTTTGTCATCTGGAGAGACATTTCAAAAATGTACAGTCGAATAAATAAATAACAGTATGTAAATATACCATCAACAGTTTATTTTCTGACATTTTATGAATAACACTGATAGAGATATGTTCCGCTATTTTGCCAGTTACGCCTAAGTTAATTTGTTTAAGTTACAGTTTATAATGATTCCATATCAACAAATAATTTCTTACACGACATACAATGTTAATTATTTCTCATTTACCCTAATTGGTGTACCTTGGCAATATTATCGTCTAACCCTCATACAGGAACACATCATTGTTCCAATTTGTTATTGGTATATGGAAGAAATATCTACAGACGATGCAGCCCGAAATAGCTGGCTGGTGAGAAGTTGTACACGAGCGATGGATCCGAGAATTCCACGAATATTTCGTCGTGTCGTCGCAATTTGAGATTTGCTGCTAAGAAACTCGTTCTCCTCTCGTGGTTGTTGAGCGACATCTTACTGATGAGAAGGAGCTGGTTCCCAGTCTGCGGCAAGTGGGGATTATACCTTTGTACACAGTGAACAATGTCAAGGCCATCTGTGATGTTGTCAGGGGAGATGGTCACGTGAGAGTACAGGAAGTAGACGCCATCTTGGTGTACCCGCAGTGTACCGTTTGAATATCTCACGCCACCAGTCGTGTGCGCCGTTCCGAAGCCTGTGTCCACAACCCACGTCAAGCGATGATTTGCTGTAATATTAAAAAATAAAAATTAAATGATTAAAAAAGGCTCTGATATATCGTTATCATTTCTGTTATATTGGATACTTACATGTACACCATGGACCAGTGAATATCCTGGGTAGAAGAGGTCTTCATGCTTGCCGTAAAAGGCGACTATGCTTGTCGTAAGAGGCTACCAACGGGATCGGGTGGTCAATGTTAATATCTGATTTTTCTGGTCCAGACTCGATTATCTACAGATCGCCCTATTGCTGAAATATTGCTGGGTGCGGCGTTAAACAAAACAAAAATAATCAAACTCACATCATTAGGCTCGCCGTTTGGGATAATGTTCAAATCAGCGAGACAGGCGACTATCATTATTTGTAACGAATATCAGTAACGACTACGTTAGCCGATTTCAAATACAGCTTTAAAGTTACAAAATACTGCGTAATCGGATTTGCCGAAAACTTAAAAAAAGAACGAGAATCTGTAACTTCTTTCTGTGATGCCCGTGCTGCATTTGAACCAACACTTACATAGCTGAAAGTAGGTCAATTAACAGCGAATTCGCTGCAAATAATCTGCGGTTGAAACAATAGTGACGTCATTTTAACCCCTTTGTGAATATCGTCATGTAATTGAATTTCCATATTTTAAATGGCTTCATAACGCTAACGGGATCGGGTGGTCAGGCTCGCCGACATGGTTTATCCATGTCATGGTATCCCAATTGCGTGGATCGATGCTGATGATATCAATCACTGGATTGTCTGGTCTACACTCGATCATTTACAGACCGTCGTCATATAGCTGGAATATTGCTGAATGTGGCGTTAAACCACAAACAAACAAACCAATCATAACGCTGTAGAATAAGAAGACGGAAATCAATAATATCTGCACCATCCCACGACAAATATAACGTAATTATGCATACTGACTGTATATTATACCACAAACATAACAAGATTATGCATGCTGACTGTATTATGCCACAAAAAATGTGTTCTTTTAGCAGAGATAGAGTTCTTATGATGATGGAGATGACTTTTATTCATCTCCAACACAAACAGTGTCCAAGAATCCAGTCATATGACAAACCTTTATTTCTGTGTACGTCGAGGTAAAGATGGGCAGAATTGTTGGGTCTGAGACTGAAAGCTTCTGTCCCCGTGGCACTCTGGCTGTAGTGATAGTACTCCCCTACAACCTGTTATATACGGGGACATCACGATCAGTTACATTTCATACACGAAAGAATTTACAAATACAAAACAAAGACAAAGGAGAAGCTATATACAGACAACGATAACGACAAGTCACGTACGTATTTAATTAATAAAACTAAAGTAGAATACTTAGAATGACAACGACAAGTCACGTACGTATTTAATTGAATAAAACGAAAGCAGAATAGTGAGAATAACAATGACAAGTCACGTACGTATTTAATTTAATAAAACGAAAGTAGAATACTGAGTATGACAATGACAGGTCACGTACGTATTTAATTAAATAAAACGAAAGTAGAATACTGAGTATGACAATGACATGTCACGTACGTATTTAATTGAATAAAACGAAAGCAGAATAGTGAGAATGGCAATAACAAGTCACGTACGTATTTAATTGAATAAAACGAATGTAGAATACTCAGAATGACAAGTCGCGTACGTATTTAATTGTGAATAAAACGAAAGTAGAATACTGAGTATGACAAGGCCAACAAAGTTTCTCAGTCGAAACGAAAGTGGAACATTCGTGTTTGATATATCCCTTAGGGCTTAGGGACCGACCAATATATATTCTCGGGTGGGAGTGGGGTGGGAAAGGTTGCAACAAGATGTCTCACTGATAACAATATTTAGATTTTTTTCAGCTGAAATAATATCCATCCTCCACGCAAAATCCCAGGTCTTCCCTAGAATATCAAATGATCGGTCCTTACGTCCAATATAACAGTGAGAATGTTACTTGAAGTTTTAAACGAAGCCAGGATCACCTGGATTATTTTTTATATACTACATATGAAATCATTGTGTACATATATAGTCTTATGCATATAACCTCCGTGGTTTAGTGGTAGAGCGTCCGCCCGGAGAGCGGAAGGTCCGGGGTTCGATCCCCGGCCGCGTCATACCAAAAGACGTTAAAAGATGGTACAAGTTGTTACCCTGTCTGGCGCTCGGCAATAAGGGGCTAAAACAAGGACTGGTCGGCCCGGAGTCAGTAAAATGTGTCTGAAGGGGTATTCATGTTAAACTGCGGCATGGTATCTCAGTGAGCTAGCACTATAAATCGGCATCAGTCCAGACTAGTACAAACAGCCACACAAACACACACACGTACATGCACGTCGCTATATAAGTGCAATAATCTTGGACGCGACGTTAAACCCCATTTCACCTCTTCTGCTTAATGTATATACATAGATGCGAGCATATATTATACTTACAAGGTTGAGTAGAGTTTGTAGATGTTCGGAATGCTGCAAGCAACACAACGAGGATTTCTGACCCAGATCTATGACCTTGACCTTTGATATTAACGGCGAATTGTCCGGTTCCGGGAGGTGAAGAGAATCGCACCTCACGCATATAGAGTTAGACATATCAGCATCAAACTGAACCTCGGCGTTCGTATTCCCGTTCAGTCTTATGTACATGTACCAACTCACTAAAGCAACGTTGATAGCCACTGATACCAAAAGGACAACGACACAAAGGCATGTTGATGGCCGCTGGTTCTGTTTTCTGGCGATCCCCTTCGTTGGGTCTGGACACACGACAGGCTGATAGACCCCGGTGTGTGATGTGGTAAATACCTTGACTTTCTTTCTTCCAAAACTGTCGAATCCATTCGGGAGAAGCCTCTCACAGACAGAGGAAGACATCGTGGGTTTCCTGCTTGTAGTGCCTCGTCAAGCGCGAGTTACTTCCCCTTGTATTGCGTGGGTCTATTTATATCTACATCCTGGTTGACGGGGTTTTTAACTGTATGGGATAATTTTAGACACACGCTGGCTTCCCAGAACTACACGACTCATGTCGCATATTGATTACGTACAAAGTAGCACAGTGTCTTGTCTGTGTTCGTTGTGTGAGCTTTACTTGATACGAATCTCGCCTGACCTCAAAGCGCGTATAGAGAGACCGAGGCGAGACTAACTACACAACCCGGGCTTTAAGTGACACCATAAATGCGGGTATTTGCAGTTCAGTTACACGGGTTGATATGTAATACTATGCATTCGTAAATGCATACTGTGATTGTTTTCGTGACCCGTGAGTGTAATCGCCATTTAGTAGTGATTCATAAACACATGCTAATAGTCAATCTAATTAGTGAGAAAGCGAGTATTGTTTTACGCCGCTTTTAGCAATATTCCAGCAATATCACGGCGAGGAACACCAGTAATGGGCTTCACAAATTGTACCCATGTCGGGAATCGAACCCAGGTCTTCGGCGTGACGAGCGAACGCCCTATCCTAATCTATTTAGAATCAAATCCTAGTTTTAGCTTCCGCCAAACAAAGGTCTGAAGTTATCCCATTACGGGTCGGAATCGTACAATGGAATCTGCTTTTAGTACAGATTTCTTTAGAATATGGAAATGGTTCTATTCATTTATTTGTATCACGACGTCAAAGCCTCAGGCGTAAATCATATCCGTGAAAAGAATTACAAGAAAGCAGCGAGTTCATAGAAATCTGTCCTCGCCTATGTGTATGCATCCCCCGCCCCTGACTATTTAAAAGCCTTACCAGTATTTATAGCGATTACTCCGGAGAGCGGAAGGTCGTAACAAAAGACGTTAAAAGTGGTTCTTGTTGTTTCTCTGCATGGCTCTCGGAGGTTATGAAGGTTTGCAATTGGTTGGTTGGTTCGTTGTTTAACGCCGCACTCAGCAATATTCCAGCTATATGACGGCGGTCTGTAAATAATCGAGTCTGGACCAGACAATCCAGTGATTAATATCATGAGCATCGATCCCCGCAATTTGGATCGATGCCATGCATCAACCAAGTCAGCGAGTCTTACCACCCGATCCCGGTAGTCGCCTTTTACGACAAGTATAGTCACCTTTTACAAGCATGGGTTGCTGAAGACCTGTTCTACCCCGGAATCTTCACGGGTCGCTCACGGTATGAAGGGATCGAGCAGGGACTGGTCGGTTCGGAGTCAGTATACTGTATTTGAGTGGGGTATCAATGTTAAACATGCGGCATGGTATCTAAGTGGACTAAACCGGTATTAGTCCGGAATAGTACAAACAGCCACACGCACGCACCCACACGCATGAACGCACGCGCACGCACACACATGCACGTCGCTATATAAGTGCATCAATCTTGAAATATTAAACCCGATTTCACCTCACCTCACGGGCTGACGCGATATACATGACTCACAAGTTAAAAGAGTATTAGTTTTTAAATACCTGCATTGACACACAAGTTGTATTCTTCCTCTTCATACACTAAAAGAGGAACACTAGTTTTGGAAAACCTATCATAGATGTGTATCTCTTCCTGTAATGAATTAGGGCAGCATTAGTCACCATTAACCAGGTAGTTGTGTAATGTAGGGGTAAAAACGTCCTGCAGTTACCGGAAAACCCTTTCCGCTCTCTGTGTCCCGTATAAAATATCTTAAGTGTTCATTGCAGTCTTCAACAATGTTATCAACCATATATCAGCAGTTTATTACAATATAAAAACAAACACGGAAGCGTGTGTCCAGTGACGAAGGACTGAAGTTAAAGTAGCGTTACAATGATTGTACCTCCCATACGTTTAACACGACAGTCGTGCGATAAGGTATCTTTGTTCAAGTGAAGGGAAAGTACCCGTCAACAAAATGTCGATAAAGTTGATCGACGCACTGCAACCTGTCCCAGTTACCTGATTGATAGCGGGTCACGCTACGGCGTGATCAGTATATCTAATACAGTAAACTACGGTTATAACGAACTACGGTTATAACGAACTCAAGGGACTACTTTTTTAGCTCGTTATAGCCGTATTTCGTTATAAGCATATATACAGCATAACTACAGCAAATAGACGGAACTAAAAAGTTCGTTATATCCGTCAGTTCGTTATAAGCGGGGTCGTCATAACCCTAACTTACTGTGATATAATTGATCACTGGCTTGTCTGATCCAGACTTGATAATTTACATGCCGCCTTGGTGTACCTGAATTATTGTTTGTTTGTTGTTTAACACCGCACTCAGCAATATTCCAGCTATATGACGGCGGTCTGTAAATAATCGAGTCTGGACCAGACAATCCAGTGATTGACATCATGAGCATCGATCCACGCAATTGGGATCGATGACATGCATCAACCAAGTAAGCGAGCCTGACCACCCGATCCCGTTAGTCTCCTCTTACGAAAACCATAGTGTCCTTTTAACGACAAGCATGGGTGTTTGAAGACCTATTCTACACTGGATCTTCACGGGCCTCCTGAATTATTGCCAATTGCATAACAGAAGATAAACGTATCACATTGCCGGCATCCCCAAGAGGGTTTCTCTTGGCAAAACATATTGGTGTAATATCTTACTGTTTTTGCGATTAGTTTGAGAACTGTTTTGTAATCTTTTTGTGGCAATTATTTTTGTTTCTTTTTTTTAGTACGCTGTTGCACCAGTTCAGCAGTACTTACTGAAACTAAAATTATTTCAAAAAAAATGAAAAAAGGTTTACCAGAGAGATTGGTAAACTAGTCGTAAATTATTAAAAACTACCATATGTGTGTAGAAATGTGAACCGTCAACGATAGAGAATAACCAATCTTCCTTACCCGCAGAAACAGATTCCATTGGGCGTAAAATGCAAATAGCGGTGAAACTTACGTGAATGGATCACTAAAATTCAAATAATGACATCAGGTGTAAACCTACCGATAGCACCGCCACAGTTTGCAGAAGGAAGGAAGTGTTTGTTGCGTGACAAGTGTTTTTATTTTTTTGGCCGCATACGACCATAAACCCAATTTCACAAAACAAACTTTCATCATCTGAGAGAAATATATAAAACAACAGCTGTATGTTTTTCAATATTATTTATTTCTCATTTTTTCGGACATAATTCCTGTACGTTGGATATATACAAAGCTGTGTATTAAAGTTTCGTGCTAAGCTGACGAACACCAAAATAATTTGATGAAGAAAACCGATAAACATATGAATAGTTAGATAGGTGGACGGATAGCACATCTCCTTGCCGCAAGGAAAAGTTTTCCTCTAAGGTAGCTGCAGTGAAAAGTCTCTCTCTGTGAGGAAGAGTAACATTTGTTATCAGTAAAATATCAGACACAGGGGAATAACGTGCATTGTGGCGTAATAACGAATATGTCACGTATCCATTTGTGATGTCACCATCACGTACTGTAAACGTCAGAGAGGAATATACGAAATATAAACCATCTTTTTGTACGAATATTGAGTTATTTTCCATAACTATGACACCAGTTACATGCGCAGTTCCAAAACCAGGCCTTGTGCTCCAGACAAGATGGGTTCCTGCAATATATTCAGTATTTAAATGATGATGGCAATTATGGTAATGTCAGCTACTGAAATAAATGTCCGCTTTTTCGATTTTATATTTTTGGTTTATCGTTTAATACATACATACATACATACATACATACATACATACATACCCACAAGTATGATCCAATTGCAGAAGAGAGCGCTCAATACAAAGTAGAACATAAATACAGATTTGGATACACTTTCCTTATATCATTTTGCAACTCTGAGTTTCACGCACCCATGGTATTGCGTACGATCATCAGGCATTTCCACCTGTCGCCATGGTAAACCCTCAAGCCGAGCAAAAAAAAGGGTCATACTAAAAACCATGTTTCATTATGCCTGATAATCGTACGCAATAACATGGGTGCGTGAAACTCAGAGTTGCAAAATGATAAAAGGAAAGTGTATCCAAATATATAAATATATATATATATATACATATATATACATGTGTATATATATATATATATATATATATATATATATATATATATATATATATAATTTACTTGATGTGTTAATAAAGAAAACAATCTTAGAAACGTAAACAAAGAACTGGTATACGTGAATTTCTTTTCCGCAAGCATGGATAAATCACTGCAGAACAGACCCGTGAAGATCCAAGTTAGAATTGGTCTTCAGCAACCCGTGCTTGTCGACATGTCATCGTATCCCAATTGCGTAGATTGATGCTCATGGTGTCAATCACTGGATTGTCCAGACTCGATTATTTACAGACCGTCATCATATAGCTATAATATTGCTGAATGCGGCGTTAAACAACAAACAAGTAAACAAACAAACACTACCGAACTTCGGCGTAAATACAACTGGGAACACTATATTAATGGTAAAGAGTTGTACCCTGAGTGAGTGAGTGAGTTTGTTTTTACGCCGCTTTTAGCAATGTTCCAGCAATATCAGGGCGGGGGACACCAGAAATGCGCTTCACACATTGTACCCAGAGTTGTACTCTGATATTCTAAAGTGCTAACAGCAAGTGTTAAACGAACATTTATCCAACAGAGAGGAACATTATGGTTTAAACAGAATAACATAATAACATTATAGAGCTCTTGTCATTCTCCCACAAAACACAATTTGGACAGGGCGGTCGGGTAGCCTGGTGGTTAAAGCGTTCGCTCGTCACGCCGACGACCCGGGTTCGATCCCCGACATGGGTACAATGTGTGAAGCCCATTACTGGTGTCCCCCGCCGTGATATTGCTGGAATATTGCTAAAAGCGGCGTAAAACCTCATTCACTCACTCACACTTTGGACAGGCCTATACCTATTCGTACCTTTGAATGCGCCCTGATCGAGGAACAGGTGGGCAGAGGGCCTAGTGTAAGGCTGGACATCGTTTTGGTGAGAGTGTCGTGTCCTGCCCGAGTCAGTTTTGGATCCTCTATGCTCAAAGTAGTAGCCTGACATCTGTAATACGGATGCTCATTAAAATACGCCATGTATCAGAACATTTAAATGTTGATGGACCAATTTCGAGCATGGACCAATTTGATTAAAATCAAATATTTTACACCGATACAATTCCTCTCTCATAAATTAGATCGTCAAAGCTCACAACTTAAACATGTAACAATTGCATCAAGTTGGTCTTCTAATAATGCTTTTCACAGAATAAATCTTCAGACATTAATGGTGACATTGGAAGGTCAATTTCTGGACTTTTTAACACTGAAATATTCAAAGAAAATCAAATTGATGAGAGTGTATCAGGCAATAGTGTTGTTGGAGATCGGTAACTGTTGTATTTCACAACAGTTGATTCGAATTCCAGATTTGCTCTCATCATGTTTCTAGTTTTGTCAGCCCTATTCCGGTGCATGTGGATTTCTCCAAAGTGTCAAACGTCTGAGACCTGCATCACTTCGGACTTTCCTCCCACATTGAGCTGACACGCCGTGTTACACCTGAAAAACTGTTCAACGGAACTGGGGCGGTGGCGTAGCTTAGTGGTTAAAGCGTTCGCTCACGCCAAACACCCACCTTCGATTCCCCACATGAACACAATGAGTGAAGCCCGTTTCTGATTTTACTGGAATATTGCACTAAGCGGCGTAAAACCATACTCACTCATTCACTCAACGAAGCGTAAACGCAGCTCACTCAATTTAACTTGCCATGTTTCAAGATATTACACGTTACCTTTCTTTTAATCAATTCAAATAGAATTTCGCTGCTAATACATGACTTTAAATACAGTTGTCACTTTACTTACAAGCTGAACAAGATGTGTTAAGCCGCCAGCATGTCTCAGACAGCACATCCGACGTCCCTGAAGATGTACCACATCTACATCCTTGGACGGTGGCAAGGAACGCTCCTCTCTCCTATCCCTTTCACAGAGAACACACAATGATCCTTGCCCAATGTGTTTTGTTTCTTCTGTGACTGCAGTGTTGCTGTGACCGCGAGAGACTTTATTCAGCACAAGCAGAACAATCAGGGGTATGTTCAATGCTGCTGACATGACTAAAGTCAGTATACATATTGTTGTGACAGCTCGGTGTCCACGGTTCGGACAGCGCGTGTGCTCCATGCTAATGATAGGACTGCGGGTGATATAATGATATCGCAAACTACACATACATTGAGGTAAATAGACCACTGATGGTTCAGATTAAGTGACCTCGTTAACAGGACTTCCTGGTAGTGTGAGTGTGTTCACGTTTAAGAATACTCCGCTTGAGTAGTCACCACATTGCCGTATTGCATGGCGTAGTGTATAATGCAGCCATTGCTCGAGGTTCCACGTAGGTAATTGTTCTCATGTGACGTGAAGAGAAAAGTAGTGTGAGGTGATGTGAAATGGGGTTTAACGTCGCGTCCAAGATATTGCACTTATTTAGCGACGTGCAAAATACGTGTGTGTGTGTGTGTGTGTGTGTGTGTGTGTGTGTGTGTGTGTGGCTTCTTGTACTAGTCCGGACTGATGCCGATTTTATAGTGGTAGCCCACTCAGATTCCATGCTGCAGTTCAATTAATAAATATCTGTCATGGATTATTCCCCTCAGTACACAAATGAGTGTACAAAGTTGTGGACACGGTAAAGTAATGTATAAGCTAAGAACCCGTTTTAACGCAAGTGGCGGATGCTTCGTTTTGGGAACGATTTCGGCTGTCATTCTTTTCGTCTTTTTTACCTTTTTTTTTCGTTTTACATATATAGCTTTGGTCAAACATGTGTTATTAGGTATTCCCTGAAGTATTATTGTTTTTTTTAAAGTTGCAGTGTTGGGTTTTCTTGCCACGAAACGTGTCCAAACGTAATGACCGCGAATGGGGGCGGGAGTTTTGGGACATCTCTTCCAGTAACAGTAACCATATATAGAGCCTCAAAATAGAAGTCTCCGCCTTCGCTGTATTTTCGTTCCAGCCTTTGAAATTGATAGAGGACTAAAGTACAAGTTCGCGCCGCTTTCGATGTTTTGAATACACTATTTCCATCAACGATGTTGTGATTTATCCAGTCCTGAAAAGTTGTACCTGCCCTTGCACTTGCACTTTTATGCATCAAAACATTTCGACATTGCATATTGTACACGCCCAATTTACCAACAACGACATATCCATTTGTTTGTTTGATAAATAAGTCATGCTTTCATGTGTATAAGTTAATTGTATCAAATTTTGATATCACATTAAAGTCCACATTTTGTGTGTGAATTATACTATCGTGGTAATACTGTTACATGTTTGGTACCTTTATTATCAGATGACAGTAAGAAGTGGCTAACGGGATCGGGTGGTCATGCTCATGACTTGGTAGATGCAGGTCATCGTCTCCCAAATGCCTGTCTGGCGCTCGGCATTAAGGGGCTAAAACAAGGACTGGTCGGCTCGGAGTCAGTATACTGTTTCTGAGTGGGGTATTCATGTTAAACTGTGGCATGGTATCTCAGTGGGCTAGCACTATAACTCGGCATCAGTCCGGACTAGTACAAGCAGCAACACACACCCACACACACACTTACACACACACACACTTACACACACACACACACGTGCACGTGCACGTCGCTATATAAGTGCAATAATCTTGGACGCGAGGTTAAACCCCACCTCACCTCACCTCTCCCAAATGCGTACACCGATGCTCATGATGTCAATCACTGGATCGTCTGGTCCAGACTCGATAATTTACAGACTGCTCTGATATGGCTGGAATATTGCTAAGTGCGGCGTTGAACAACAAACAAAACAAACAAATTCTGAAGATAATATATATTTTATTATATTGACATATTAGTCACCATTTACCAGGAAGCTGTGTAATGTAGGTTTAAAAAGGCCCTGCAGACACCGGCAAACCCTTTCCGCTCTCTGTGTCCCGTATAAAATATCTTAAGTGTTCATTGTGGTTTCCAACAATGTCATCAACTATTTATGAACATTGATGTCAGTGTTAGATCAGTCAAGACACGTTGGACGTCACAGGGAACACTCATAAATGTGAGTGAATTGGGTTGAACGCCCGTTGACTTGTATTCCAGTTATATCGCGGCGTGTCAGCTTAATGTGGGAAGAAGGCCCGAGGTGATGCAGGTCTCAGACGTTTACCACTTTGGTGAAACCCACGAGCACGGGTATGGTGCTGACAAACCGAAAAACAAAATCGGGGCGGACAGGGATTCGAACCCACAATAATGGGTTTATGACACGCCGGAGGGGCCGGACATTGTAAGTGGAAGGTGCGGGTTGAGGGAAAGGGTGAAGTCAGTGACACGGGGTTCAACGTCGCATTCAAGGGAGGATTTGTAGACTATGACGTGGACTTAAACACAGGGAAATATTCATATACAAACGTTATGAAACCAACCATGTGATCTATCATAAGTGATACATGTAAATAACACAAATACAAGTGGTATGACATCATCTACCTAAACTCCAGTGATTGACATCATGAGCATCGATCCACGCAATTGGGTTACGATGACATGCATCAACCAAGTCAGCGAACCTGACCACCCGATCCCGATAGTCGCCTCTTTCGATAATCATAGTCGTCTTTTACAGCAAGCATGGGCTGCTGAAGACCAATTCAATCCCGGATCTTCACGGGTCTGTTTACTCTGCTTACTTGCAGGATTTGATCATTCTGACCGTCATCTGCATTCTTATAAATATAAATTGTTGTCAATGTATCAGAGTATCCGCCGTAACAGATTCCATTTGGTGTAAGGGCAAAATAGCTGTGAATAATATATGAATGGACCACTGATAACACCAGATGGTCGCGAAAAGAGTAAGCATGTCCTGACCTACCGGTAGCAACCGCCATTCACACAATCTGAATGAAAAAAGTACGCCTTTCACTATTCGCTGTCCACATGCTGGCTTGTTTGTGGTGCAATCGGTACACACTGTTAAAGGGAGGTAACTCCAGTTGGACTATTTCATAAACTTCACATCGTAAGAAAAGGGCAGAAAGAGTGATGTGTCGAAGGGTGATGTGTTGAAGGCTATTATAATATAAGTTGTCAATCGATCACGAGGAGCGGGCGACGGAAACGATCCGAGTTACTTCCGATTCATTGGGATAAACATGAGTACATTTAAAAAAAAAAATCTTTATGATACTTTAAGCAATTTAGCCAAGATGTTTTCCGATGGATTTCTCAGCGGGCTACATGGAAAATAACTGTCCGTTCCTTAACTAATCCGAAGCTAGTATTTCATATAAGATAAGATAATACTCTCACATATATAACATGAGTGCATATTCATAAGGTTGTATATGATGTATAAACAAGAATGCAAATACTATATGACAATGGGTTCATTGTCTTGATATACAGCGCGTGAATTGGTGAATGCCCTTTTAAAAATAATTTGAAGAGTAATAGCTCGACCAATGGGACTCAGCTTAACTACCTCTAGGTACACCGTATTCTGGCATAGCTAATGGAAGCAAATCTGCACAGAACGTTTAGAAGGGACCATGCTGTGCGGATATCAATAGAAATATGTTCTCTGGTAGGCCAAAGCCAGCAAGGCAGCAACTGTGGAAACAATGATAATTCTGAAGAAATAGTTTGCTCCTGCACCGTCCGGTGGTTGGACATTCCTCATTTGCTTAGCATAGTGACCATGTTCTACAGCATACTTGATTGCTTTCTTTGCTCCACTCCAAGTATGCGGCCCCCACAGTCGATAGTGGTATGGGAGAGCAGGCCCGTAGTAGTAGAGATAGGCAATTCGAGGCCCCGCCTTGATCAGGTCCAAAAAGGAGGGGGTCACGCCTAGCTCTTCTGCCACTTCGTCTCGGAAAACAAGGTTGGGTATCTGAAATATACAATATACATTTTATGGTACCAAACACCAAATTTAAGTTTAATTTTGTTGTACTGTTGTGTCAGCAATAATCTAGGGACGTACCAAATAAATAAATCTGTAAAAAGTCTGCACCCGACAAATAAGGAATGGGGTACGATGACTCGCTATAATCACCCAGCTTGACCACCCGATTCATTTACTAGCCTCTGACGATACCTTGCATGGGTTGATGTTCTAACCCAGAATTCCCACAGAAGCATGTTTGGCGTAATCGTGCTTGACTATGCTCAATCTTTCACAATATGTTCAGGATATGAATCACATTTCTGCTCAAGATTTGGCAAAATACAAGAAGTTTACCTTAAGCTTCAAGAATGTCGATAATCTTATATCGTTCAATAACCATGAAAGAGCCAATGCCCTTCCGCTTATTCAGGCACCTGAACTAGAAATAAAAGACAGTGTTTGTTTGTTAGTTTGTTTGTTGTTTAACGCCGCACTCAGCAATATTCCAGCAATATGACGCCGTCTGTAAATAGTCGAATCTGGACCAGACAATCCAGTGATTGACATCATGAGCATCGTTCCACGCAATTGGGATACGACGACATGCATCAACAAAGTCAGCAAGCCTGACCACCCGATCCCGTTAGTCGCCTCTTTCGACAAGCACTGAGCCTTTTACGGCAAGCATGGGCTAGTGGAGACCTATTCTACCCCGGATTTTCTCGGGTCGAGAGACCAGTGAAACAGCGTCATCTGTTTTATATTTCGATCTTTGCATAATGTTTAAGGGTGACGAGAAACTTTTCACAAGAATTGTATGACAACATGGATGACTTCAACTTTCCAACAGTCAACTTTCCCTATATGTCGAGCAATGTTCCAGCAGCTCTAGCCAACTTGTCTACATTTCACAACCATTCGGGCACATGCTCTTTCTACGAAGATATCAAAGAGCATCATATGACTCCTGCTCAAACGTTTTGTGATCAAGGTAACAACCTTCAATGCTTAAGTTAAGCTTTCCAACTATTTTATTGTAGTCGAGCGGAGGACATTTCACACTTTCACAAATCGATGACCAAAATTATGTCCGGTGTAATTCACTATTTCACTTGCGTCATTACGTTCGCATTTAATGGTACATTTGCTTGGCTGTTACTAACCAGATATTTGTAGCGTCCAAATCTTTCAAATAAAGAGGAGTTTCTCTTTTCCACTTCAGCCGCCATGACCTTCAAGGAAGGCAGTCGATGATTGCCGGCATATACCCGGGCTGCAAGGCGGCCCTGTAACTCAGCTAGTGGAGGAATGGCTCCATCAGAGTCCACGCAACCAATCACCGACAGGGTGTGATGCTGATGAAGTGGGAACATCATCTTGTACAGACTCAACTTGCCATCATCTGCAAACAGGAGTAGTACAACAATATCGGGGCCAAATTCTCAGACAGCTGCTTTTTTAAGACAAACAATTTATTTCTCTAAAAGAAAGAGCGGAACATTCGTTTTTAACGATATATTTATTCGCATGATAGGACAGCTCGTATGACCATCTTTTTAAAACAAAAAAGGCCTTTTTTAAATTGTTTTCTGTAATAATTGCTTTAAAACAATTCCCGGCCCCTTTATACCAGAATATCATGGTCAGTCTCTAATTTATGGATGTAAAAAAGAACCATGCGCCCCAATAATGATCCAATTGCGATCAAAGGTCCAAACATTACTGCCATGACATATTGTGTAAAACTGAGATAGTGTCTATGTCTTTAGGGTAATTGTCAACTGCTAGATTCTTCTAATAATATTTGACCATACTAAGTTGGCTTAGAGGATCTTGATTCAAGCTTGCTACAGTTAGGACTGTAAATTATGGCAGTCAATAGAAAATGCCAAGCTTTGTTTAACATTTTATTAGTCTTACCCTCTTGTAACGGCTCATCGAGGAAGTCTATCAAAAGATCATATCCGGTAGCAAACAAAATGGCGTCCAAGTTCTTGATGATCGTGCCATCGTCAAATTCAGCTTCGTGGGGTCCAAGACGAGTCAGTCTATTGACAACTTTAATCCTCCCACTCATGACTTTATACTGAACTCTATCGTTGAGCATTACTCTAGTCTTTGACGGGGGAGTTGTGGGGGTGAACCCTGCATGCCTGTGGTCAAGACGGTCATTGCACAAGTCGACCACTAACTTGAAGAACTTGACTGGATTCCACATGTTGGCCCTCCTAAAGACAACCAGGTCCCACGGTTGCCCGTTTTTGACACACAATGGCATCATAAGCATACCTTCTCCTACACTGTAATATACCTGCAAAAGAAAAAAAAGAGGCGTATTAATAAGTCTGCAAACCATGCTGTTGATCATGATTAGGTTTGCACAATTCTTTTTTTATGAATTAGATAGACACAAAATATATACTATTTTTTTTGTTTAATAGAGGAGAGTGAGTGAGTGGGTGAGTGAATATGGTTTTACGCCGCTTTTAGCAATATTCCAGCAATATCACGGCGGGGGACACCAGAAATGGGCTTCACACATTGTACCCATGTCGGGAATCGAACCCGGGTCTTCGGCGTGACGAGCGAACGCTTTAACCACCAGGCTACCCGACCGCCCCCTTAATAGAGGAGAAGAATGTCTCCTGGACCGTACATCAATGACGTCACTTTTTACAATTTGAGACACAGGAACAGTACACTTTATTAACGTTTTGTTTGCTTTCCAAATGATAATTTAGAACATTAAAGCACACGAAAGCAAACGCTATTCGAACTATTTACTACCAAGACAGATTGGCCCTTATATCATATTAATGAGATTTGTAATTATGACAAGAGGGGATTTGATTTATAATTGTTAATACCTAGTCATTTGACGTACCTGTTCTGCATAAGCTGAAGACTCAGCTGACATATCTCCGGAAGAATGGGAGTTTCCTTAAGGTTAAAAAATGAAAATATAAACTAGAGAAAGGTTTGCATAACAATAGTGAACCACAGACATTGTGTGTACCGCCTTTTAACCATGCTTGGATACGGCGTAACAATTGATATTATGATCCTGATTTGTTCATAAACATGACAGTATATATTACAGATGCTTTAAACAGTCTCAAATTATTCAATGACAATAGAAGACGTTAACTCTGTCTTTATTGACAATGCCACTGCTCGTCATAATAACTGTAAAATTTATATCCGTCCGTATCGTAAGTATTAAAAAAGGAATATAAATTGTATTACATGGGAATTTGCGATACAGAAAAAAACAAGAGGAAGTGATTTCGTTATCGTCCAGTGACATTCTTAAAACAGTCGATGTTTAAGATACATTACTTGAATGAAGGGAGCATAAACATAATGTCCACATTTATTCCTTTATCGTATTGAAAACACTATCTATATTTTTAACAATACGTGCAACACAAATCACTTACCAACTACAAGTACAGACTTGCCCTTGTATTGCACAGCATCTTTGAACCTCATAGAGTGTTCAATAGTTCCTTTGAAAGTATCCAGTCCTTTTATATCAGGTATGCGAGGCTTCTTGTAGAAACCAGTGCAGATCATAACGAAATCAAAGATGTCCCTTTGGGTCTTCTTCTCTGAATCCATCGTTTCCACCTCCCATCTTCCCGTAACGTTGTAGTCCCTTGACTTCTTTATGTTATTGACCCTGGTGTTGAGGTGGATGTATTTGCCGAGTCCAAACGTCTCACAGTAGCTCAGGATGTAGTCGTAGACCATGGTGCGCGGCAGGAATGGCGGAAGATTGGGAGGGTAGGGAAAATCGCTGAAGCCAAACATCTCCCTACTGATGTTCGTTGTCAGACAATCAAAGGCCCTTGCACCCTGCCCTTCTCTGTATTCTTCCGTGTAGTACCAAACACCACCTTATTATAAACGTGACAATATGTTAGTTAACCCTTTATCCTTACAACGTCGCTTGTGTTGTGCCTACTTGGAAATAAGGCTTAGCAACGATTTCTTATAAAAAAAAAAGCAACATTCTTTTTTTTAAGATGAATGTTTATGATATGATTATTAATGTATAACGTATGATACTGATGTCACCTCGAAAGTGTTACACCTTACCACAGTTGTCATATTGTTCGAAACACACAGGCTCCAACCCTTCTTCCAAACACGACTTGATGGCCGCCAAACCGGCGAGCCCTGCTCCCACAATGGCGACTCTCTTCCTTGCGGCCATATCTTTGCTGGAAGAGAGAAGGTTTAATAATATAAAATCAATCGAGATTCACAAAATAAGACAGAAAGTACAAGGGGTATGGGGTTCTATCTGACTTGGTGATTATCTGGGAACGACAATATGTATGTATGTTTGTATGTACATATATAGAACAATGAAAAATGAGGCGTGGTTTTATTTCACGGTAAGAAATTGTTTTATCATGACGTCATTTCTGGAAACGCTCTTCTTTGCGGCCATATCTTTGTTGGAAGAGAGAAGGTCTAGGTACACATAATTAATCGAGATTTACTAATTATTTAACAAGATGAAAAATGAAAGGGTTTAGGTGTCAGGTTCTATCTGACCTGGTGGTAAATATATATGGGTCATTATCAAAATGTGTATCCCTTTTGATCCTGTTGAATAAACAAATTAAAAGTGAAAATTCCAACTTTTAGTCATTTAGCAAGAAACATCAAAACTTAAAAAAATAGGTTAATTATGCCAACACAAAGAAACATAATTTTGTCATATTTCAGATATATCGGAGAAAAAGTAGAAATTTATTGTCCTTGGAGTAACCATTATAGTTACCGATCTTTTGCTGAAAAAATAAATAAATACAATATTCCTTTCAGGGTATTATTGTAAAACTATTTTTTTACCTCAACCATGTTTTAAAGCCTGGATCATCACTCAATGTGAGAAATAAAAATACAAAAATATAATTTTCTCTTCTGTGTCCCACACATAACCAAAATGATCAATATATCGGGTGGTCAGGCTCGCTAACTTGGTTGATGCATGTCATCGTATCCCAATTGCGTAGATTGATGCTCTGGATGTCAACAAAAATCAATCAAACAAAACCTGTTTTTAAACACCTTCCAACAATGAGAAATTAAACTTTTATTTTCTATATAGTTTTATTTCTAAAATAATTGGATTCATAATTGAATCATTGTGTTGCTTTCTTTTTTCTTTTTTTAAATTTTTTATTCAGTAATTGTGTTGCTTTCTTGTCTGTCATTCAATGCACGTGTTCAAACCCCTAAACTTAGAATATTTGATTTTTCACAAATGGTTACGTTAGTGAGTTGCCTCGATCTCTGGTTACCTTCTCACACGAACAGATTAAAATAATTTGTTTGTAATATCATATTTCAGTTTGTTTAATTCATAATACGGAATTAATATTTCATTTATCACAGTATAGATCATATTCGTTTATATCATTATCTGATGTTAAGGTTTTATTGCAGAAATTATAATGAATTCAAAATGTAGAAAGATACACAATTTGCCAATATTTGAAATGCAATATTTCTCAACTTTTAAACTATACAGAGTATAATATAATTATTAGAATACCTATGACGGGCACTGTTAAAGAAAGAAATCTTAGTCGATTAGTCCGATTTTCCAGATATGCGCTTCAGTAGTATTATTGTATATCTCCAGACAGATGTTTACATTGTAGTTCTCATTATTTGTGGATAATTCAAAAAGCAACATAGAAAATATATATTCTACAATGACGAAAGAATACAGAGTATACAATAACTCGCAATTGTTCAAAAAGAGATTTCAAATCACAATAACATAGATATAAACAGACTTGTGTGAGGTGGTAATGCTTTAATCTCTACATTGTGCCCTTGTTCGTAAGCTCTTGTTCTATTCACAAACAGTCCAAACTCGAAACTCCATAACATATCCGATTATACTTACTTAAGCTGGCCCTTGTGGAATCTCTCTACACGTCAGTTCTCCATGCGATACCGACACCCCAGACCATAGAGAATAAATTTAAAAGGAATCCAGCTCAAGTCTAGAACGATTTGGCAAGCCTAGATTGGCTCAATTCTCTCCATGAAAGTAAGCATTAATAAAAATATTGTTCTTGGCTCCTTTAGATTATATTTTGTGGATACATTTTTTTAACTACGAACATTTTACTGACACCGGTACTGTCCCTATTGAAGCTATTTATAGCTCAAATAAGAATGTTGAATTGGCGTCCATTGTTCGATGTCAGTACATCGATGACAGGTGAGGATATCATATAGTAATCGTTGATGCCGCACTACACTATAATTAAAATTATAATCAAGTTGACTAGTATGCATATTACTACAGTGAACATGTACATGATCATGCCCTTCGTAATATCAAAGACTAATATATTATTGTGTTATGAATTTAACTGGATCAGTGGTAGCACGTGATATTAATACACCATCAATTTCTTTCCTGGTTGGTCTATCTATGTCTACGAAATAAAAATAATAACATTAAAAAGGAGCACAGTATACGTACAATTCTTAATTTCATGCTAGAGCTGTGGAAATCTAGACTTTCCCAATCATTGTAGACTTGAGTTGGTCTCGTGTTTTACTTTATTCTCTTGGGTCTACGTCACAGCTCATACCACACAATAACAAGACCAGCCCCCCCCCCCCCCCCCCCCATTGGTTATATCATCTTACATGGCCAACTCTGCTCTTCAGTAAACAAGAACCTAATCAGTGAGGGGACCCTGTATCACCTCTATTTGACTGCTTATAAAATCTGATATCTCTCCTCACAGCTGGCTGATATATATTTCTGCTGAATATTCGAAACAGAGTGAGTGGGTTTGTACTACATAATAATGTATACGTTTCTATTTTAAATGACTGCAGCGCTCCATTATGAAAACAAATTGTTTTAACGCCGCTCTCAGCAGTATTCCAGTGATATATGACGGCGGTCTGTTGTATAAGAATAAATGCAAATTGAATCTTGAATCTTGAAAGTTGTAACTTTTCCACAAATAAGTATCACATGCAGTATGCAGTATATCATCTGCAATATACTGTATACAACATGCAGTATACAGTGTGTCGCGAGCTCCGCGCTGGGCTGGAGCACCCATTTCCTACCCATCTCCCTTCGGCAAGCACCTCATAGGGGGTGTAACTAGGTCACAGGTCAGGGGCGCACTCGTCAGTTGTCTGATACGTCAAGAGTAAGATCTTCCGGACGTCCATTGGACTAGAGGTACATGTATGTGGATTGTTGATGAGGTACTACGTGTTTGGAACTGGGAGTTGAACAATAAGCACTTAGAGAGAAGAGCTCACAATAAAACGTTATTGACTCGCGGACGGACTTGTGTTTTCAATTCAAGACGTACATGTATCAGGTTGACCTTCTACGACAGATGTAACTTGGTTACCGCTTCCTGACTGTACATAAACTGAACCTTACGCCTTTTTTACACATTTGTGATGGGGTGACAATGCGACAACGAGACATATTTTGACCTTGTAAATGTCGCGTTACGGCATCGTCACCCTTTGATAAATAAAGAAAATGATTATTCAAAGAGCGACAATGCGACGTGTTTGGAACTGGGAGTTGAACAATAAGCACTTAGAGAGAAGAGCTCACAATAAAACGTTATTGACTCGCGGACGGACTTGTGTTTTCAATTCAAGACGTACATGTATCAGGTTGACCTTCTACGACAGATGTAACTTGGTTACCGCTTCCTGACTGTACATAAACTGAACCTTACGCCTTTTTTACACATTTGTGATGGGGTGACAATGCGACAACGAGACATATTTTGACCTTGTAAATGTCGCGTTACGGCATCGTCACCCTTTGATAAATAAAGAAAATGATTATTCAAAGAGCGACAATGCGACAAATGGCCAAAATGTCGCGTTGTCGAACTGTCGCGCTTTGGTTAATTTTGACACTTTTGGCTTTGTTGTTGTAAGGGCGTCAGTGGGACAATGCGACGAAACGACAAGGCGACAATGTCCCTTCCAAGATTCCATAATGATCTCAGCAAATAAAACTGAGTTACTAGAAGTCTAACATGCCAATTAAAAGATAAAGTGTAAAAATGCGCTATTGCAGCTTCTGATTTCATTGCTCTTCAAGAAGGATTATCAATAATGGGATGGGTGATGAGTTCAACTGTATGCCGCGTGTATACGCTGTGATTAACAATAATACTCTGAGTCAATACATTTTGTCAAACGTAGCTCGTTAATAGTGAGGACGGGCATCATTGTGTGTTTCCGTGCTTTGTTCAGGTGAACAATTGACTTGTCCCTGCATGTGTTTGTGTGGCAGGATACGCTAACCTTTTCGCGAACACCCGTTGGATGGCCTGAACCACTTCGGATTTTTATCCCACATTAGTCTGATACGCCGTGATATAACTGAAATAGTGTTCAAAGTGGTGTTAAATGCGATCACCGTAGTGTGTTACTGCAACTGTCCAAATTTTGTGTCGTGATGTCATGTAATATGTAAAAGAAAGCATATTCAATTATCCAATTGATTTGATTAGAATATACTTGCGTCAGTGTATTTTATTAACCCCCCAACTGGTTTTTGTTAAACGCATATAATAACAGATCATATACACGCATGGTTCCTTGACTTAACTACTAGCTTTAATAGGCCACCCCGGAATAAAATAGTTCACCCAAAAGCGAGGAACATGACGCGATGCATTGTGTTTAAGTTTGTTTACAAGAAATGTATTCCAAAAGATATCCTCATTAGATAGGAAGGTCTGTAAAGAACTACCTCAGTAAGTCAATCACAATGACAGAGCGTCGTAAACATTTACATCAAGTACAGGGGCGGTCGGGTCACGCCGAAGACCCGGGTTCTATTCCCGACATGGGTACAATGTGTGAAGCCAAGTTTTAGTGTCCCCCGCCGTGATATTGCTGGAATATTGCTAAAAGCGGCGTAAAACCATACTCACTCACTCACTTTTTGGGGGTTTGTTTTCTCTAGGATGGGTTGTAGCGAGGGTATCCTTGACGGGCATGCAATCAAACTCTCTTACTTATCCCAGAGTATGCTAAGACGCTACGTTCAAAATTAAAGGGTTTAAATGATGGGAAACAACGCTTCTGTATGAATTCGTGCTATGGAATTCCCCGGGTTTTCCCTAGGAAAGTGGAAGTAATCAGTGTTTACGTCATTTCAAGAATACAGTCACGTGAAAAACGTCATGTGACCGACTTCTCGTCCTATGGAAAAGCCGTATATCGTGTAAACTTCACATTAATAAATTTGTTACTGTTATAACCAAATCACACACAACCCATTATCCGATAGAGGTAACTGTGCATAGCGGAGGGATATGTTATGTCAATAAACTTGGTAACATGGTTTGGTTTGACTTCTTGGCGCTTATCTGAATTCCATTAACATGTTACATATCCTAAAACTGACTAATCAGCAAATCTCGCTGCACTGCGCGCGACAGATACCAGAGCAAGGCATGCCAGAAATACGAAACATAACGCTTCAATAAGGAAGTCGTGGACATCACGTGCGTCGGGTGACCAGCGCCATCTGATTGGCCGTTAACAGTTGTACAAGTTAAGGCGAAGCAAAAAGCATCGTTTTCCGGTCCATTTTACGCTTGAAAAACTCGAAGCTTTTCCGGACACTTTCTAGACGCTCACCAATTAATCAATTTTAATGATTTTTCAGTCGTTGTTTTCCTTCCAATGACCATACACGGGAAAAAACGACGTTTTCGTGTTTGCGGTGATAATCTCTAAAGTCTTTATTTATTGAACATGTTCATTGTACTTGTTGAAAATCATGCTATCCAAAGTTTGTTTACCTGAATCATTTTCAGAATTTCCTCTTGTAACACCAAAGACCTTACCATTACTCATATCGACTTTTCTTTCACGTCACAATAATCTATCAGTAGGAAATGGCTGAACAATAGCTGGTGTTATTATATTTGCAATGACATCAGACATTTGTGTTTCAAAACGTTTTCTTTAAAGTTAATACTGCTGACTTGTAGTAACACCCAGGACATATTAAGTAACAAGTAACAAGTATGAGATGTAATTACAATGGCACAATATACACGTGTTACCCATTAAACCTGTCTTCAAAGTTATTACTTGCCGACTTGTTGTAAGGACATGACATAAAATCTTAAATATGTCCGCTTAAAAATAAAATCCTGGTGATTAAAGCCTTCGCTCTTCACGCCAGCCCCCCCCCCCCCCCCCCTCCACTTTCTGTATTGACAATACAAACTGACAAATAAATCGCTATAACCTTGAAGGGAGTTCAGCATATTTCTTCAAGCCTTGCAATCCCAGCTGTTGCGTTATGAAACTTTACGCATGAAAGATGTGATTATGAAAGAGCGTCTGCGAAACGATCATACAAACTTTTATACAAGTAGTACAAAGTCACCTGTGTGATCCAAGCGAGGAGAGCGAGAAACATTCAAAGTTTGTTGTGGAATGCTGTCAGTCAAGTAAACTGGGGACAACTATCTGGGTGTGAAGACCGGTTTGAAGTTTTTTCAAGTTTGATTGCGCTGAAGACGGGTCTATGGGCCTTCGGATGATTCATGGTTTTTTAAATTAAAATTTACACAAATTCGTATCATGCCTTATATTTTCTTCTTCTTCAGTTCATGGTGAAATGTCAGGTAATTTTCATTCCCAAACAGAGATGTACAGTGTGACGTTAATCTGAACAGTACCGTTTCTAAGGAAATCGTCCAGATACACAAGCTGCGCAGTCCCAATGTCTAAACATCTCACATTGTCCCATAAAGATCGCACGGAAAGATGGGGTTTCCGGACAAACAAGGTCCTGGCTAAGGTTTTACTGGACATATGATTAAGGGAAAGGGAAAGATGTCTAAGACACTGACATGATCATACACGTGTACATGTCACTATTTCATCAAACTTACCTTTTTGAAATACTGCACATATATATATATATATATATATATATATATATCATAGGTAGGTGGATAGATTTCTCGGCAGGATAAAGCCAACGGATAAAAACTATATCCGTTGGAGTCATATGCGGATAGAGATGCAAATAAGTTCTCCACAAATTAAAATAGTTGGATTTGGCCGAAATATCTTTGAATTGTTACCTTCTTTCGTTTTGTCGCTGTGTGTACATCTGACTGCACAAACGTTATGACAGGACAGACCGACTGTCAACAACGTCTGACCGTGGCCGTTACGTCTTATAGACCTCGGGTGGGCGCAAACCTCACCGCTTCCTACCAGAAAGTAGTACACGCATGCGCACAACATATACTTAAAATAGAAGTAGGGAAAAAACCCAAAGTGCACACACAGGCAAAACCACGTGTCACGATTTTCTTGAAGGTCAAAATGGACGCAGTATTTTGCGGATGAATGCTGCGATCCCTTTCAAGGATGGTGTATGATTTCGATAACATAATCGACGTGATTCGTGAATTTTTGTATGCCACATGTACGTCATATACACGGTTAAAAGATCAAGCAAGAAATTTGGAGAATTTGAACTTGGTAAGTATATAAGTGTTAGTATAAAAGGTATAAGACACCTATAATCCTACCTTCAAATGTAATTAAATAAATACTAAAATTGTCAAACATTGATTAAATAAATAAATTGATTCTAATTGAATTGATACAATATTAGTAAACAAATCTATAACCAAATCAGGCAATCAAAAGATCCAATTAAATTTGTGGTTATACATCCCACCTGGTGTGTACATGTATATATAATTTTCTGTCACTGTTATGTTCATATATAATAACAATTATCAAACCATAATCAAGTGAAAATGTGCAAGCCGGTATTTATATCTTAAACACTGCGAAAATATAGAACACACATTTTACTCTCATCAGCTTGCTAATTTATTGTTTTACATACATGTGTAACAGGAATGAAAGAATGTTAATTAATAATGAGGTGCCCCATTGCCAAATGGGTTCAAACCCACAGCCCAATGCTCTACCACTGAGCTATATAGATTTAAAGGGTCATGCATGTCCTGTCAGCAGACCACCTGGTTAGCACACTTAAATTGGTAGAGCATTTACTTTGAAGGGCTTTTTGGGATCAATATTACAGCTTCTTCCAAACGCAACCGCCTGTAAAAAACGTACAGCACAGGATCCTGCATTTAGGCATGCAGGCCCCCCCTTGCTGAATGGGTATAAAAATCCACATCAACGGCTGTTCATACAGTCCTTATAACGGCAGTAGAGGCGGTGACAGAATGCCAAGACTGAATGCAGCTCAACGGAACAACGCCATTGGGAGATTACAAGCTGGAGCAACTCAGCAAGAAGTGGCCAGGCACTTTGGCGTATCCAGACAGACAATCTCCGCACTGTGGACCCGATACAACAACACCAACTGAGTTGACGACAGACCAAGGTCAGGAAGACCATGGGTGACGACCCAAGCACAAGATCGATACATCCGGCTGCGACACCTCCGAGACCGCACTACCACAGCCACGTCTACAACCACACAGATCCCTGGGGTACGCAGAATATCAGATCAAACGGTACGCAACAGACTGAGGGAGGCTGGACTTTTTGCACGAAGACATGTTCGACGTCATGTATTGACCCCACGTCATCTGGCGGACCGTCTTCTTTGGTGCCAACAGAGGGTTTGAGGGGCAAGGCAAGGTAGAGAAATGTACTGTTTACTGACGAGTCCTGTTTCCTACTCACACGTGCTGATGGGCGCGCACGTGTCTACAGACGTCGGGGTGAACGTTACGCCCCCAGCTGTGTGCAGCAGGTTGTCCCATTTGGCGGCGGGAGTGTCATGGTATGGCCCGGAATTCATCACGGTGGTAGGACGACTCTCGTGCATGTGGCAGGTGCATTGGCAGGTGTGCGTTACAGAGACTTGATACTACAGCCTTACGTTCTTCCTCACGTCAACGTTCATGGCGGACAGTTCCAGCAGGACAACGTCAGGGTGGCCGCCATGACAACCTATAGAATGACTTCACCACCAGCCGTGGCCAGCTTGTGTAGCATGTTACAACATGGCCAGCCGTTCCCACCACTCCACCTCTACTTGTACAACACTTACAAACTAGTGTCTGCAAACAAAGTTGCTGGACCCTTTCATCAGTGATGCTGATTGACGAATTTCTAACTTTTCTAAAAATTACATGGTGAGACATGGCCTGTATTGGACGGCCCGTTAACTTGCGCGTATCAAGTGTGCAAATAAATAATAAAAGAAGCGTTTGTATCAACATAAAATTAAGAAATATGTGCCAACATGCATAATTGACCATGAAATTATCTGGGGCCATAAAGTGTCGTTTTATCAACACTGTGTTCATATTCTCCAACAGCACCCCACCCAGCCCGACCTACCCACTGCATTCCCCCTCATAACCACACACACACACTGGATTCAACAGAGCCCATACTAAGGTTTAAGGTCTATAATGAAAGTCATACAGCTGTAAACACTCATCAAGAGGCACATCATGATAGTATATGTTAAGAGGATGATAATATAACCACAAGAAATGAGTAGATATGTTTTACTTACACGACACAGGCACAACAAGAAGTCAGATATGGCCGTCACCTTGTTCAGGTAGAAAACGAAAACTCGGACTGTGACTGGCGCCTACTCACGTGACGCATTAAACACCTGTCTTCATTGGGTACGATAACTCGTCATAGTCAGGTTATGCATTCGGTGGCAGCAGGGGGGGGGGGGGGGGGGGGGGCTATACATATGCACGTTTACGATTTCGTGAGTTTCTGTCAATACATGTACAAACAAGTGTTGCTGTCATATAACTAAAATACTGTTCACAAGTGACGTTAAACTCCGACTAAGTCAAGGCTGAAGTGGTTCTATATAAAATAGTAATAGTCTTGCACATTTGAGCTATTTCCAATATAAATCTTATATAAACATGCATCCGAGATAATAAACAACTGTTCAAAACCAGGCACCCAGCATCTCAGTCATTAAGTAATAGTTGACCCTTCTTTTGTCACGTGACGAGTAAAACACGCGACTCATAATTCTTTATCTGCTGTCCTTTTGTAGTCCATGTTTACGATTCCCTGTGTATGTGTTTACAGGTACATGTATTTGCCACACGCGAAGGCAACTTTAATGTCAAGAGGAAGTGAGCTAGGTCTCTCATCGCAAACTGCAAATATTCTACCTCCAACCATCACCTATATCTCCAGGACTAGGTTTACCCAAATGCAAGCCGTGGGGATTCAGAGGATGCCCTCCAGCGTTCCATAAAGACAATCTATCTTAGGAATGTCTGCTTCAATATCCTAATCATTTACATCAATTCGTCTGTAGAAACCGATAGTAGTATTACTAGTATAAGCAGCAGTAGCAGTGGCAGTAGCAGTAGTAGCAGTAGTACTATTGCATAAATCTCTGGTAGTAGTAGTAGTAGTAATGCTAGTTGTTTAATAGTAGTAGTAGTAGTAGTGGTAGTAGTAGTAGCAGTAGTACTATTGCATAAATCTCTGGTAGTAGTACTAGTAGTAATGCTAGCTGTGTAATAGTAGAAGTAGTAGTAGTAGTAGTAGTAGTAGTAGTAGTAGCAGTAGTACTACTGCATAAATCTCTGGTAGTAGTAGTAGTAGTAATGCTAGCTGTGTAATAGTAGTAGTAGTAGTAGTAGTAGTAGTAGTAGTAGTAGTAGTAATGCTTGTTGTGTAATAGTAGTAGTAGTAGTAGTAATGCTAGTTGTGTAATAGTAGTAGTAGTAGTAGTAGTAGTAGTAGTAGTAATGCTTGTTGTGTAATAGTAGTAGTAGTAGTAGTAATGCTAGTTGTGTAATAGTAGTAGTAGTAGTAGTAGTAGTAGTAGTAGTAGTAGTAATGCTAGTTGTGTAATAGTAGTAGCAGAAGTAGTGGTGTAGTATTGCAGTAGTAGTAGTTGTAGTAGTAGTGGTAGTAGTAGTAGTAGTAGTAGTAGTAGTAGTAGTAGTAGTAGTAGTAGTAGTAGTAGTACTATTGCATAAATCTCTGGTAGTAGTACTAGTAGTAATGCTAGTTCTGTAATAGTAGTAGCAGAAGTAGTGGTGTAGTATTGCAGTAGTAGTAGTTGTAGTAGTAGTGGTAGTAGTAGTAGTAGTAGTAGTAGTAGTAGTAGTAGTAGTTGTTGTAATATCAGAAGTAGTAGCAGAGTGATTTGGTTGTAGTATCAGTAGTAGTAGTAGTAGCAGTAGTACTACTGCATAAATCTCTGGTAGTAGTAGTAGTAGTAATGCTAGTTGTGTAATAGTAGTAGTAGTAGTAGTAGTAGTAGTAGTAGTAATGCTTGTTGTGTAATAGTAGTATCATAGGAAAGGTATGTGATGAAAAAGATACTACATAATGTTACTGTATAGTTATTACTTTTATTTGCGGGGATTTAATTCCAATATATCGGGTCAACATAGTTATCGACCATATGTTAAACTTAATATTCTCCTCGCGAAATTAAACAACTATACAGTACACAACAATCGGGTGCTTGATGCATATTCCTTCCCCATTCTGCTTACATTCTCCCTCTCACATCCTTATATTATAAGTTCATTACTACAATTCCACTAATATCTGCCACATGCAAATCTACTAAGAATTTATACTCTCTCTGCAGGTCTATGAAACTATACATTGAATTGTTAGTGTAACAGGTGAGGTTTATACGTCAATCTTTTGGCCTTGTGGTTTGTGCATTGGATTTGTATGCCAGCGACCAGGGATCGATCCCCGACCGAGCCTGGAGATTTTTCTGTTATACATACATGTACTACTCGCTGCTGTTACATTAGTAATACATTTCTAATAATTGTGTACTTAACACTTTTTTATGCTATCTAAATAAAGTTTCATTTTATGCAGGCTGCTGATCTGAAAGAACCCATTGATGAGCGAGTTTTGAAAAAGATCAGGTTTCTTGTTGATGAAGGGGTTTTCAATGCCAAGGAAATGCAAAGATATTTAAAGATCTTTGTAAGAAGTGAACTGTTTTCTGGCAGAGAATCACCTCAAATCATCAACAGGAGGTACTTCCCTAGCAAGGAAGATATTCGGAAGCTCATTTACCACCAACGGAGGAAGACTATCCACAGCTTCATTGACCAGGACAATATTGTGGAAAAAGTGACACTACACGTATCTTCATTTGTTTGAATACCTCTAAATGAAGATGAAGAAGATGAGGATGAAGACTCATTCATGAAACTTGAGGATGACAATTTACTTGTAGTGTTCCAGACACCATGGCAAAGGAGACTACTAGATATATATGGGAAGGAACTGGTGTTTCTTGATGCTACCTACAAAACAACCAAATATGCCTTGCCTCTCTTTTTCCTTTGTGTCCAGACCAATTCTGGATATTGTGTTGTTGGAGCCTTCATAACAGAAAAGGAAGAATCTTCTTCTATTGCAGAGGCACTCCAGATTATAAAGGATAATAACCCCACATGGTACCCTGGTGGCTTCATGATAGATGCCTCAAAAGTTGAAGCAAATGCTATCAATAGTGCTTTCCAAGGTAAACCAATTAGGAAAAAAGCTAAAAGGGTTTTCCATAAGGGATAATATCTGTGCAAATATGTTTTTTTATGTGTTTGTGTGTGAGGTAGAGATGGAGAGAGGGAGGGTGTGTATATCTGTAGGAATGAGGGGAGAGGCACAGGTGGCAGGTGAAGTCACTCATGAAACCAACATACTACTAGTTAAATTTGGAGAACAATAATTATTGAAAATGTGAGTCTTTTCTATTTATGTGATAAAAATACAGAATGCAGGCAAATAACTGTTTCTGTCGGTTGTAACTGTACTGTAAGTCAAATCAATGTATGATTTTTTTTGCAGATTCCAAATTGTTCATCTGTGACTTTCACAGAAAACAGGCCTGGCAAAGGTGGATGAACACTCTTAAAAATGATGTCAGCAGACAAGAAGCGACCACGCAGCTGTTGAATGTAAGAAAATAATAACACATAAAATTAATTGGTATTTTTTTTTACTATAACAGCTCTGATTTGCTATTTTGTGGTGTGCTCATTCCAGGCTCATCTTTAATAGGCTAATTTATCCCCCCTCCAAAAAACTGAGCAAAATGGAGTAGTACTTAAAAAACTTGTATGTCCTCGTAACTTGCATTTTAGTTATCAATGTAGGCCTATACCTGAAATATTAACTAATGTTATTTATAGACTGTTATAAGCGAAACCTGAGTTTCCTAAAAGAGAGTGATGTGTGGAAAAGCCAACCAAAGCTACAACAATACATGCAGACACAATGGATCAGCAAACACAAAGTATGTATCTTGTGTGGTTTTGATGACAGTTTAGTATAAATTCTATCAAATGCATGATTAAATATTGCTGGGCTTTTATTTTTAAATAAAAACTGTAATTTTTGATGAATGTAAAAAAATAAAATCTCATTATTAGGATGAGTTCTAATGGTAATATATATATGTATCTCTGTCACAATATCCATTCAATCACAGGTTTTCATGTGATAAGGGCTTTCTATGCATAGAAAATATATACCCAATTTATTTGGAAGACAATCATAATTAAAAGAACATTATTGGCTAAATTTGACTTCTGTGTAATGGTAGTCCCTAATTGCACAGTTATCATGCAGACATGGGTGTGGGCCATCAGAAACCGCGCCATGACTTTGGTAGTCAATACAAATAATGAACTTGAGTCTCAGAACAAGGTGTTCAAATATGCGTACCTTAGTTCCCTTCCTGTGAAGGCTGTGTCCACTTTAATGACAGTCCTAGTTGAGGACTTCTTTGTTGATGTAGAACGCAAGTAAGTTGGGTTTTTTTTTATAAGTTATAAGGGTCTGAGATCATTCAAAATTTCTTTGAAGATAAGGGTCAGTTTAGGTTAAATGTAATTTTATATTGAATTTTAATAAAAATAAATTATAAAGCATATATATTTCATATGTAAATCACACTCTTAAAAGTATCACAATCATGATAGTTGATGATTTTTTTTTTCCAGTACAATATAGTGGTGAGTACAGTACGTAATTATCGGTGTGGTAACTGGCAGCTTTTGGTGTGAGCTTTGTAGTGTTAATTATGTTGTATTATAACACAATCATCATCATGATATTCAGCACAGAATGTACAGTAAATTGCTGTGGAATATTATTGTTATCGATAATTGCGATATCATTAAAAACATGTAAAGTGAATTTATGCTGAGTGATTATTGTTACATTTGTTTGTTATGTTTGTTTGTTGTTTAACGCCGCACTCAGCAATATTCCAGATATATGACGGCGGTCTGTAAAATAATCGAGTCTGGACCAGACAATCCAGTGATTGACATCATGAGCATCGATCCACGCAATTGGGATCGATGACATGTATCAACCAAGTCAGCGAGCCTGACCACCCGATCCCGTTAGTCGCCTTTTACGACAAGCATAGTCGCCTTTTATGGCAAGTATAGGTTGCTGAAGATCTATTCTACCCCGGAATCGATTATTGTTACATGAGGATTACAAAATATCAAAATAAATCCAAATACAAATATGCAACTTTACTGTACATTCAACATATAGCAGTACGTATAGCTTTTTTTTTATCTTTCTTACCTTACCACTCCTATCCTATTTTTTCTTTGCATATATGTCTTTGAGTATTTTATTAACTCAATTTTTACAAGCATTGAAGGTAAATAGTTAATATGCCTTTAGAAAATGGTGCTTGATTCTAAATATTTTCATAGCTATATATAATGACACATTTGTCAAATGTTATGCAGGATATGTAAATACACAGGTCATTGTTTCATTGTGATGCTATATATCCTTGAAGTACATGTATATACATTGTACATGCACTTGTACCTTGATAATACTTAAGCTAATCTGTACTTATGCTGCTTATCAACATTGTAACATCTGTGATAAATATTACACATTTTTTCTTCCAAAATGAAGAATATCAGTCTGAACCTGTTCATGTATTGTAAGACATCATCCCAGATTCAGTCTTAGGCTAGAACATCCTGCATGGTTATGGGGATTTCTTTCTTTTGTGCAACTCCATTCCAACTTCATTATCTGGCTGTTTGGCTCTATCACATCATTTAACTGAATCCATTCCTGTGTGGTCAACCCACCCCATGTTTTCCAATATCCCACTAAATTAAGGAAGGCAAAACATTTCAAAAACCTTGTTTTCAGACATTCTTAAAATGAAAGACAGTCCTGAAATGTAAGATCCTTACTGTAATTTGGTTTTCGAGAGATATTGAGATTCTTGTAAACAATAATTCAATTATAGATAATTATATTGAAATAGCAGGATAAATTTACAAAGATAAAACACCCATTTAACGAAATTCCACCAGTGGAGGGCTCCAAATGAGAATTGAACCTTTAACTTCCAGGTTTATAAGCAAGCTCTCAACCACGTGGCTAAACGATACGGACCAGTTAGACCAGCCAGTAGAGCGCACGAAAAGCTATGTGCAAAGAAAGCCGGAAGTAACTAGCTACTACAATATAATTTACTGTTTATTATTATTCTATTGCAGGTACTTGTTAAGCAATGTTGAAATGTCATCAGGTTGGCTAGAGGCATCTTTAACAGTGCCCTTTGATCTGCAACATCGTCCTGCTCACCTCATTCACCACATACGAGAGACAATGATGAAGGCATCTGACATCACCTCCACAATGATCCCTCAGAAAGGAAACCTTGTTTCTAGTGTCATAGTGATATCTCACCAGGTAGAACGAGATAGGGGTCTGCGGAGAGATATATCTAGTTGTATCTAGTGTCATAGTCATATCTTATCAGGTAGAACCAGATAGGGGTCTGCTGAGAGGTATATCTGGTTGCATATAGTGTCATAGTGATATCTCACCAGGTAGAACCAGAAAGGAGTCTGCTGAGAGGTATATCTGGTTGTAGCTAGTGTCATAGTGATATCCCACCAGATAGAACCAGATAGGGGTCTCCTGAGAGGTATATCTGGTTGTATCTAATGTCATAGTGATATATCACCAGATAGAACCAGATAGGAGTCTGCTGAGAGGTATATCTGGTTGTATCTAATGTCATAGTGATATATCACCAGATAGAACCAGATAGGAGTCTGCTGAGAGGTATATCTGGTTGTATCTAATGTCATAGTGATATATCACCAGATAGAACCAGATAGGGGTCTGCTGAGAGGTATATCTGGTTGTATCTAATGTCATAGTGATATATCACCAGATAGAACCAGATAGGGGTCTCCTGAGAGGTATATCTGGTTGTATATAGTGTCATAGTGATATCCCACCAGATAGAACCAGATAGGGGTCTCCTGAGAGGTATATCTGGTTGTATCTAATGTCATAGTGATATATCACCAGGTAGAACCAGATAGGGGTCTGCTGAGAGGTATATCTGGTTGTATCTAATGTCATAGTGATATATCACCAGATAGAACCAGATAGGAGTCTCCTGAGAGGTATATCTGGTTGTATCTAATGTCATAGTGATATATCACCAGATAGAACCAGATAGGGGTCTCCTGAGAGGTATATCTGGTTGTATATAGTGTCATAGTGATATCCCACCAGATAGAACCAGATAGGGGTCTCCTGAGAGGTATATCTGGTTGTATCTAATGTCATAGTGATATATCACCAGGTAGAACCAGATAGGGGTCTGCTGAGAGGTATATCTGGTTGTATCTAATGTCATAGTGATATCTCACCAGATAGAACCAGATAGGGGTCTGCTGAGAGTTATATCTGGTTGTATCTAATGTCATAGTGATATCTCACCAGATAGAACCAGATAGGGGTCTGCTGAGAGGTATATCTGGTTGTATCTAGTGTCATAGTGATATCTCGCCAGGGGGAATGAGACAGTGGTTCGAAATTTGATCTTTGTCATAACTCATTACGATCTTGTTTATTTGTATTTTTATATAGTTGTCCATATCGCAGGATGATACCACTGAAATATGAGTTAAAATCATTGAAATTAAAAAGAAATTGTATGAATATTATTTTTGTTGTTGTTTTTAATGGTCAAACATTCATTTTGTTTCTGATCAGAATAACGCAGAAATTAACCGTGAATTCCTAAACCAATGTTACATATTTAGAATTGTTCCTTATTATTCGTATCTTGGTATACATCGACAGCGATTCATTCTTCAGGTCCCGAAATATTTGCGGAAAAAGGGTTTTTTCATGTGCTACGGATTCGATCTCTTCAAAGCTAGAAAAAACATTGTTAACAGAATATTGAAGTACATGTATTGACAATAAGGACAACTTAGTCGTTTTCAGGACACTTTTCTAGAATATTCCGGCATTACTCGCCTTTGATATCACTGCTAAACCGTGATATGAGGATGGGAAAAGGCTGCTGCAGTAATAAGACGCATAATTCAGAAAGTTATTTAGAAAATTTATTGTAATACTTTATTCGTTTTTATATTTAATACATTTTCCTATCTATCAGGATTGAGTTGTCCAAACGATGATTAGCTTAATTTATAACAAGAGTTTGCCACTAACGTGGCTATATTCCCCGCCCCTGTTGCAGAATTTATGACATAATTAAATCTAAACAAACCCTAATTTTTTTTAACCGAGGTGGAACTTGTAATGAAAATTGTAAAAAAAGAAGAGTTTGGAACCTAAGTCCATCTTGTTGCCATGGACACGTAAAAAATTCAAATTTCTAAAATTTCTAAATAACAAAATGCACCAGTTCAGCATGTACCTGATAGACCTGCAAAGTTTCCTGAAAAAATATTGAACGGTTATTGAGTTATGCCCTGGAAACGAACGCTACCCTCACAGAATCTAAGTCCATTTTGTTTCCATGGAAACGTAAATAATAAAACTTTCTAAAAATCTAAATAGCAAAAGGCACCAGTTCAGCACGTACTTGACAGACCTGCAATGTTTCATGGAAAAAATATTGAACGGTTTCTGAGTTATGCTCCGGAAACGAAACATAATTACTAGTTTGCCTGCCTTGATCAGAAATGAAATAAATTCATTTGTCGAAAGTGTTTGTGGACTTTCACATCTGTAGAGAGATTGCAAAAGCACGCACCCTACTGTCACCACAAAGCTCAACGAATTAAAATGTACGAAAATTTGGGTTGGGTCACTATGGTAAAATGGTGAAAGCCCCCTTTATGATCTATTGTGATTTCGAGTCGGTCTTGGCTCTTTTAGAACATAATGAGACATCAGTGAGGAAAAGTCAGCATGGTCAAGAGCACCTTCCCTGTGGGTACAGTTATCAAATCATATGCAGGGAACCCGACTTGTACTCTTTCCCATTGAGAACCTATAGCGGGGATCGGGCTGCTGAACATTTTATGGAACACGTGTTGGTAGATTACGATCGAATCGTGGACATTTTAAATCACCCACTTCCCATGAAATTGACACGTGAGGAAAAGTTAGCTTTAGATTTGGAAACCCATTGCTATCTTTGTGGAGATGAAGTTTGACAGGACAAGAGACACATCGATCACGATCATTTGACGGGTCGTGTCAGAGGTCTGTGTCACAATCAATGCCATGTCAATGACAACGAATCCAAATTTGTGAATGTCATTTGTCATAATGCTTCAAGATACGACAATCCTTGATCCTTCAAGCTGCCGAATTATTTTCTGATCGAAAATTAACGTGCATAGGTCAAAATTCCGAACACTTCATCATGTTTCAAATCGATCAGCTACGCTTTGTGGACTCTTTTAAATTTCTAAACAACAGCTTGCAAACATTGGCCGACAATTTGAGAGACAAAGGTCAAATTGAATTTGTGCATTTGGCTCAAAATTATCCCCACCATGTGGATTTATTGACAAGGATACTGCCTTATTTCTATGAATATGTAGACAGTTCCGAAAAACTAGATGAAACAAACTTTCCAAGTCGCGATGACTTGTATTCTTCTTTCACAGAAGAAACCGTTTCCAAAGAAGACTGTCTTTGCTCAGCATATTTGGGATACTTTCAATTTCCAATCCGTGAGAGAATTCATGGAATTGTACGTTTCCGTGGATACTTTGACCCGTGAAGATTCTGGGTTAGAATAGGTCTTCAGCAACCCATGCTTGCCGTAAAAGGCGACTATGCTTGTCGTAAAAGGCGACTATAGGGATCGGGTGGTGAGGCTCGCTGACTTGGTTGATCCATGTCATCGATCCAAATTGCGTGGATCGATGCTCATGATATTAATCACTTGATTGTCTGGTCCTGACTCGATTATTTACAGACCGCCGTCATATATCTGGAATATTGCTGAGTGCGGCGTTAAACAACAAACCAACCAACCAACCTTAGCAAACACAGCAAACATTCATTCCATCTTGTCACAACATGTTTGACACGCATGCACACACGCAGACACGTACACACACACACACACACACACACACACACACACACACACACACACACACACACACACCTCCTCTGTTGACATGGGGGGCGGTCGGGTAGCCTAGTGGTTAAAGCGTTCGCTCGAATAGCCTACGTGTCATTTGTAATTGGATAATTCAACACGATTCATTCAAAATATGTCGAATAAACTTCAGTATAAAATTTTCACACTCATATAAACTCATAACCATACTTCTTTTTATCGTGTTATCATGATAAACATGCTACCACCACATGGGTGTACTTAATCTCGCGAGAATAGCAAATATTAATTTTTACTCTCTACATTCATCCCATTGAATTTCTTATCTTCAAAAAAACCTTGCATAGTTGCCAACACCACGGTACAACAATCAAAGTTGACACAGTAAGACCTCCCCTCTCATCTCTAACAGGTATGAATAATAAATTTTCACAAGGTTCTACCCACCATTGTGTTTAACCATTCACTCTTTCTATCTTTTTCAAAACATAAATCTGACAAGCAAGATATTGTTTTCACACTAATCTTGGACGATACAACAACACATTTTCGGTTAAGCATTGGAAAGAGCCCTCAAACGAACCACGTCTTAGACTACGAAGTGTCGAGTCAGTTGAAAGATATATTAATCTATTTTTTGTCAGAACTCGCAGTTTTCATCCATTAAAGAACTTGTAATTTCAATTCTGTGCACAATTGATATGGACTATCAGTGGAACGCTTTTCATTTGCGATAGACAGTTGAAAACTCTATCAATACAGAATAGGAACTGTGGGCAAATTACAATTTTAGATATTAGTGAAATTAAAGAATTCATAGAACTAATTATTTCTGGAGAGGCGACGATCAGGATTGCGGAGTTTCAAAGGATATTCCAACATTTGTGTTAAATCAGGTAGGTTTACAAATTACCATATTCATATATCTTTTTTTATAGGTAATGTCTGGAGCTCTAGTGTACAATCCGTCATTGGGAATAATTCTGACTATTGGCGATTGGTAAAAGTTTGTATGTCATGAAAAATTATTTTTTTATAATACTCACGATTAAGGGTTGTTCTTCTAAATAAACCATCGTTGTTGATTATCTAAAAAACAACAACCCAAAACATATTTTTAGTTATTAGTATAAATTTCAAAAGTTAAATAAGTAAAATCACTCAGAACTACAAGGTAGTATCTGCACTACGTGGTAGACTACTAGTGATGGACTATTACCAACTAGTTTCACTGTATCACTCGGAACTACGGTTTCAAATCTCATCTCAGAACTTTAAGGTAGTAATCTAATGTTTAACATTAAAGGTTTCTCTTTGTCATCTTAATTCCATAACATTTTTTTTGAAAGAAACCTTTAATGTTAAACATTAACCGCACTGTTTTGTAACACCACTTTGATTTCAAGTCCATTGTATGGAAGATTGAGAGTATGACACGTGTCACGTGACTCTACCGTCTCCCTCACTGTGAAAACAGACATAACACAACAAAATATTACTTTATCTCACTTTAATAAAAACTAGTACACTTCGTCGTTTTCCCATGGTGTACTTCGTTTTCCCAGTGTGTACTTCTTAATGAGGGGTGGTTGTAGACTTTCCCTGGAAAATATTATAAAAATAAACGTAAGTTTTACAAATGCATTCATCCTGTAGAAACAGACTATATCTTCTGCAGTGAGGGGCTTCTAATGTTATAAGGACGCAGGCAAGCGATTAACCTCGCCCGGGAATTGGCTATAGTATGTATCAAACAATTCAATTTCTTTTTTCATTTTACTTTAACGTGTAAATGTAAGAAGCAAGTATTAAGGAAAACTTATTTTCACAGAAGATAAACATTCTAACATATTAGTCATTATTTAGTCAAATTTGTGTTATACAAAAAAAATAAAAATAAAAAAAATGCATGCATAACATAACATAAAAGATATGCATAACACACACACACACACACAAACACACACACACACACACACACACACACAAACACACACACACACACACACACAAACACACACACACACACACAAACACACACACACACACACACACACACACACACACACACACAAACACACACACACACACACACAAACACACACACACACACACACACGTTATGAGGTGGACAAATAGAAAAAAGAGAAAAGAGATACACAAATCCGTGAAAAATCAATGCGTTTCATATTACTCACCTAAGACAGACTCTGTGTCATCGATTATGCATCCTCCTCGTCGTCTTCTTCAATGATGTCATCTTCGCTGCAGTTGAAGAATTTAATTTTATTGAAGGTCCGATTATTTTTGGATTGTCCTTGTCCTTGGAAAGTCATGTGAGTCGACTTTTCAAGCGCCTCTGAGTATTGCATGTTGGGGAGAACATCAAAGTCTTTGCAGCCTTCCTTTTTCACTGTAGGTTGGTTGGTTTGTTGTTTAACGCCGCACTCAGCAATATTCCAGCTATATGACGGCGGTCTGTAAATAATCGAGTCTGCACCAGATAATCCAGTGATTGATATCATGAGCATCTACCCACGCAATTGGGATCGAAGACATGCATCAACCAAGTCAGCGAGCCTGACCACCCGATCCCGTTAGTCGCATCTTACGACAAGCATAGTCACCTTTTACGGCAAGCATGGGTTGCTGAAGACCTATTCTACCCTGGAATCTTCACGGATCTTTCACTGTAGGAGACAGCATAACTTTCCATTTGGTCTTCATCCTTGATAGTCAAAGTTTCGTGTGGGACGATCTCCAACAGAATAGTTATGGGTAGGTCACTCACTCGACATCTGGAAGTCTGTTCTTGCAAGATTCCGTCGCCATCAATGTTCTTCATCAGGTCATGTCGGGAAAGAGTGATCACTTTTTATTTGAAAATTTTGTTTTCCGCGATGTTATCAGGTACTTCTTTGGAAGAACCAGAGACCATGTAATAGATTATTATATGGTCTCTGGAAGAACGTTTCCGAGACTTGGACATAGTTGATGGAAGTAGTTACAGCAGGGCGGGACAACTTAGGAATGGCCAGGAGTCCGAACTTGACCACACAGAAGGAAGCGAGCTACAAAAACATGTTTTATATCACTGGAAAGCTCTCGAGGAGTCGAATCCAAATAATGTGTGTCCCAGTGTGTTCACATGTTCACAAGCTCAAAAATTGGCTCAGAAAATGCATTACTGCAGAAATTTCTGGCCGAATTTTTTTTTTCTGCAGAAATTTCTGGCAGTATTTTTTTTTCTACAGAAATTTCTGGCCGAATTTTTTTTTTTTCTACAGAAATTTCTGGCCGAATTTTTTTCTGCAGTAATATTTAGCAGAATTATTTTAATTCAGGAGAAATAAGATTCAATCATTGGATAGTTTAACCTGGAGTTGCTTCAAATGACCTTTTTCCTCAAAACAAACATTTTTAGTTCACATGATTACAATCTTTGGAAAGTTTAAATTGAATTCAGCAATTGAAGATATCTATCTTGGTATTATATTTACCAAATTTATCAAGAAAAGTTGACGTCACTCGAATTAAACAATGGAACAACATGTTGGCCTCATACCTTTGTATACTAGACAGATGCAAATCATTGAACCTTGAGCTTACCCTATAATTATCTAAATTATTATGAGAATTTCAGTGACCATCTTCAATGGCCTTTTGACGACTTTGGAGTGTACAACATTAAAGGTGAATGTGATTCTCAGAAATTTCTGGCAGTATTTTTTTTTTCTACAGAAATTTCTGGCAGAATTATTTTTTTCTACAGAAATTTCTGGCAGAATTTTTTTCTGCAGTAATTTCAACCATCAATCTTTGGAAAGTTTAAATTGAATTCAGCAATTGAAGATATTTATCTTGGTATTATATTTACCAAATTTATCAAGAAAAGTTGACGTCACTCGAATTAAACAATGGAACAACATGTTGGCCTCATACCTTTGTATACTAGACAGATGCAAATCATTGAACCTTGAGCTTACCCTATAATTATCTAAATTATTATGAGAATTTCAGTGACCATCTTCAATGGCCTTTTGACGACTTTGAAGTGTACAACATTAAAGGTGAATGTGATTCTCAAAAAATAAACTTCATAATTATTCCATGGGGCCAACCAAATATATAATCCCCAGTTGGAATTCAAAGAAACAACCTACATGTGATATACGGTACTCTGAAAGTAGTTTAACTTCAGACATGGAAAAAAATAGAACACAACCAAGATTTTACAATATAACTGCATATATTGTTTCATAAATTTAATTGTGCACATCTCATCTTATATATGTATATATATATACAATTCTAAATACACAGCTTTACTAAGAAACAAAAACATACAAAGTACAAAACTCCTGCAATGCAATCCTCGGCAATATCTCAGCCACATAGCTTAGACAAAAAATATGTTCATTTCAGCAAAACTTGCGGCTCCTTCTTTATTGTTCTGATACTGACGCTTGTCTTCGGTGCTTTGTCAGAGTGATCTGAAAGTAAAGAAAAAAAATGTAAAGAATATGAGAACATAATTAAAATCACAGTGCATCTATACAATAAAAGCAAAAATAGTAACCTCATGAAGTTGGGTTGTTTCTCTGCCCACATTACACATATTCTAAGTAACGCTGACTAACCCTAATATTACACATCACAATACATATTTCAAAAGAAATGCAATATTTATTGAAATTACCTTTGATTGTTTTTGCAGTTTTTCATTGTTCTTCTCTATTGCCTCTTGAACTTTAGTTGGGAGGGTTGTTGCTTCCCTTGGGGCAGGCATGAAGGGCTTGAAGTCTGATAGCTTGGTGGTGGGTGTCCGGATGTCCCCAATCTTGAAGGAGGGCATCGCGGGTTGTTGCAGGCTTCTGTCTAAGTTCCCTTGCAAATACACTAAACGGTTGATCCACATCTTCATGCGTGTTCCCCACCATGAGAAAGAAAGTTTCACCTGAAAATAGTATTTACATCAGTATTATCACTATGAAAACAAATCAAATTGTACAAAACTTGTTTATTTTTACAGAATACTGATTTGAGTATTGAGAATATTGAGAGAAAAATCAATCTTGTGCATTTAAAAAGTTTCAACATTGTGTGCAGATTCTTTTAAACTTAGGATGAGCAACTGGACATGAAATACTTGCTTCAAAACAATTCTAATGTGGTTTAAAACAATTTACATAAATTATAAAAATATTAACCACATGTGACTTCAGCATTTACTTTGAATTGTATAGTATAGCCTCAAGGAATAAATATGCTATACATGATATTGTATGTGGAGTCATATACCAATAATTTCATTGATAACTATCTTCATGATAGCACTAAAAGTGATACCTTGGATTGCAGCGTCCACTTTTGACTGGCCGACAAAGTCTTGCAGCTTTACTGGTCCTGGAAATGACCAAATAAATATTTGAACAATACATAAATTGCAACTTTAATGTAATTGGATAGTCATACAAACATAACAATTGCCAATTTCCATTCTCAAATATCCACAATTCCTCCAAAATTAGACAAGCCTACCAGACAAACATTGAATTTATTCAACAGGCCCGTACCAAGCATTTAGCTAAGACAAAGATAAATTTCTATCCTTCTAAACGTGTGTTACAAATATAATGTACAAACAAATTTTTGGACATACATGGCACGATCCCATTACAAAACAAATCCCATTACATCCTTTACTAATAATATTGGACAAACTACAATAACGTAACCCATATATGTGCACTGTGGATACTAAGCTCCACTGGTTTCGAAATAAGAATCTACATAACTCCCTACCAATAGGATATGTAGACAGTAATATATGTTTTGGTTTGGTTTGTTGTTTACTGCCGCATTCAGCAATATTCCACCTATATGACAGCGGTCTGTAATTAATCGAATCTGGACCAGACATTTCAGAGATTCATATCATGAGCATCAGTGCAAGTCAGCGAGCCTGACCACGCGATACTGTTAGTCTCCTAAGACAAGCATAGAATTCACTGGAAACTGGAAAGGAGGCAACAATGCAGTTTACCGGGCGCAGCCCGAGCTCTACCATCCGCTCAATTGCCGCGCTATAGTACCACGCTGTCTCGTTATACCGTTACCGTGCCTCACGCTCTGGTGACTCTCGCTTCACGATCCAACACCCGTTTTCGGTCTTGGGGAAACTTACACGTCTTTACAATCAAACACCCGTTCTCGGTCTTAGGGAAACTTACACATCTTTACGATCAAACACCCGTTCTAGGTTAGAAATCTTTTTTTCATGTAAAGATACAAGGCATATTCCATCGTTCCAGATCTTCCAGAATGAACTTAAGTAGTTTTAGTAAAGCAGTTATTAAATGAACAGCATTTATGAGTGGGTATAAGACAGATTCTATAAATTTTGGTCTTCATGGCATACATTTGGCGCACTTTTTCAGATCCAATTAGCGCTGTTGGGGCTCGAACGCGCTTCGCCGACTCACCGGCTCTGCTAATTAATGCGTTAATTAGCCGACGCTCTACCACTGGACCACAGGCGCTATCACATGTAATCAGTGCTCGTTTAACAGGTCATTAGAATCGCCATTGACATGCATGTGTAATTCAGTAAACAATGAATTGCGCATGCGTGTGACGTCACGGCCCGCTCTCCCATTCATCTTTTCTTGAAACCACACCCGCAATTGTTTATGTCAACATGACCGACCAATAGGATTAACTGAATTAACGCTTGAAAAAGTAAGAATTTATGGCTAACCCTTGCCCAAAGCCAGCTAACCCTAATGACCGAAAAACGGGTGTTGGATCGTAAAGATGTGTAAGTTTCCCTAAGACCGAGAACGGGTGTTTGATTGTAAAGATGTGTAAGTTTCCCTAAGACCGAAAACGGGTGTTGGATCGTGAAGCGAGAGTCACCAGAGCGTGAGGCACGGTAACGGTATAACGAGACAGCGTGGCACTATAGCGCGGTAATTGAGCGGGTGGTAGACCTCGGGCTGCGCCCGGTAAACTGCATTGTTGCCCAGAAATTCGAGAAGAAAATTCGCGAAATTCGATATCGACATGTCCTCTCAAAACGAAGAAAGGGTTCTATCACTAGGTCCACGCGAGAGTATGTCTCGTAAACTTGCCTAGCCCTACGCCTACTGTTAGCACCACCGAGTAGACCGAGCCACCCACCAACTCGCACCCTAATTAAGTCATGGCCCTGTGGGCAACGAGGGCAACACTTACCTGGTATACTACGTATGTAACACCAATATAATGCCACGCGAAGCCATATATATATAAAGGCTACACAATCCGCGTATGTTCGCAGAGCCCTGGCTCTTCCGCTCTTCCTTTCCTAGCTCATGTTTACATTTTGATAAAAAAAAAACATGCACCGTGCTTTGATTCCGAAACGAAATTTAAATTGGCAACACAGTCGGTGGTGGTAAAAAAACCCAGCGCAACGAAGCCGATTGAGTACCTCACCCCTACATTCGCCGTACCAGTTTATTTTCGCGTTCGTAGCTCAACTCTACCTAATAGTGCCGATGCAATAAATGAACTATAGTTAACGACATTGCACATAAGCATTACTTACCAATTTCAGTGTTTTTCCTTTTGGGCAGATTTCTTGAAGAAAGATGTCTGCCTTGACTGTTGATGACGTTGGTAAGATCTGTAATAGGGTAGCAACATGTTCAGTGAATATGTTCATAAAGAAACCATGATCCAAACAGAAGGCAAAGGTTCTTCAAGATATATACAGTGTTTGGTGTACAAAAATAGAATAAAATGCCTTACCCATGTCAACGTTGTTGAAGCAGAGCTGGTGAACCCTCCTCAAGGCATCCAGAGCTTCTCACTGCGACCAGAACTTGGGTTTTCGATGTGATTTACCGACTTGTTGAATAGTTATCGTTTGATCGTCTGACAGAACGTTCTCGACGATTTAACGATATTTAACGATACCTGATTAGGGTTAAATCTATATATACCATTTTTATGGTCGGGCGTCCACGGCTGATTGGTATATCAAATCAAACACAAGGGTGTATATCATGCCCCTGAGTGTTCACGCATCACTGGGTGGTCACGTAATAAGGTGTGGCACCAGCATCTCGGGTTACAATTTGATATTAATTCAAGTACTCCACTGATAATGTACATAGGTAGTTAACTTAATTACATTCAGTTTTGTCCGACAAGGAGCGAGTTTACTTTTTTTTAGACACAGACTTTGTAACAGGCCCTTCCCCTGGAAACACATATATTGTAAATAAATATTTTGCCATTTCCATCAACCTTATCACGTGATGTTCTATAACTGTTGTCTTGTACACTATCCATAGTGTAAGTCAGCTGGCTCGAGGAATTTTCATATAGTATTATCATTAAACAACATACCCTATGCAACAGTTATGTTGCTACCCAGACAAAACTATTTTTATATTCTATGTTAAATGTAAACGATCAGTTTTTATTATAAATACAAAACCACCTTTTAAGCGGTAATACCTATCACGCATTAAACAACATATATGAACAACCATGTGATTATAAAGTCTCACGTTGGTTCCTCCGTGCAACTTCATGCCTGACTTACATTCATATTGTTCTTTCACCACACTTACGCTTCTCCAAATTTAGAAAGAAGCTGTGTACACAGCGTTCTTGCAAGTTACAATAACGCGTCCGGTTTGGCGGCAACTTCAAAGAGTGGACATATGGTTGCTCCTTCAGGTAGCTATAATTACCCTCTCTATAATGCAATATCGTATTATCCATTTGTAATGAATGATAGTAACACTAAATCGGATTGGATTCAGTTAAATCTACATTTCTCAAGGTCTCTAACATCGAGATTTGAAATATCTTTCATGTAAATACCTTCTTTGTCACGTGACTTATATATTCGTGTATATTCAGAATCTTACCTACGCACAATGTCTTTGCACAATGGCACAAGCAACGTGGTCTCTTTCTGTAAAACATAGCACTCTTTATTTCAGCCACAGCAAAGATCCCGAACCACGTGCAGTCAGCAGAGTTACAGCGTCTGGTTACCGTCTTGCAGTTACGATACAGGTAAGACGTCAAAATATTTATTGTTTTATTTCTGGAAACGCCGACCCTAGAACGTGGAATTTTGGTAACACGGTTATTTCATATAACAACAACCAAATAACAACCTGTACTCCAAACAGTGAATGTTTGGCTCTGCTGCCATGCGAAACGCGTTTTGTAAGAGTCTAATTTTAGTGTATTTATTTCTACCACTTTTGATAAAAAAAATACGCAAAAGGAGATATCTCCATCCCCTATGGTGTTATTGCGACTTGTATACTGTCTACATGTACATTGGGCAACTTATTGTAGCTGTATGGCGACACTTGTAGTGTAGCTATGTTACCATGAATTTGCCTGTGGTGATCAGTGAAAGTGAAAACACGGAAAATTACAAAATACCAATCCATGCAGTATTTTGATAATTTACATGCGAGTTTTCTATTATTTATAACGTTAGAAATATTTAGATATAAATAACTTTATAGACCCAATGTTTATTAATATAACAAATTGTTGTATTAATGTTTTCCTAAAATAAACATATATATCATCTTCTCTTATTGCCCCATCAAAGCTGGTGCTGAGACAATTTAGAATACCCAAACGCTTATGTTTACGTGCCGTGCCGCCAGACTTCCTGCCAACTTGGCAATTAAATATCCTCGGGTATTGTCACTTCATACGGTGATACATTGTCTCGCGCACGTGGTCGGTTGGTATTGTCTATCAGCGCCACGATCACGTGATCGTTTTGTTAATTACTCTGTGTTACGGTCTCGCCGATCCTAAACTTTCAAAGCCTTCAATAAAATTTATGAGATCATTATCTTATCTTTATTCCGACTGAATCCACCTTCAGACGCCCCCTCACACACACACTCCCAATGCAAATTCACTGAGGCTTGACCGTTACCAATTAACAGCAGCTGTCAATTAAACAGTTCGCATCTAAGTAGTATGTTATCGAATATATTGATAACCTTAAGCGTGCTACTTGGGGGGGGGGGGGGGGGGGGGGGGGGTAAAAGGAGGGTGTTGGTTGTTCACAGGGTCACTCGACAATCACAAAAAGTATACGGGTATTTCAATAATTGTATGATATATTTAGTACTTGGGCAGCCCCAATCTAAAAACAACAATAAAATCCTAACTCTCACCGACTCTCTTAGTGGACTAAAAGCCCTCCAAAACAAAAATACCAAAAAACGACCTAAATTAATAAACCAAATACTTAAAAGCTCCGACGACCTAAAAAAAGCAGGCAAACAAATAACCTTCTTGTGGATCCCCGCCCACGTAGGAATTTACGGCAACGAAAGCGCCGATAAAGCAGCTACATTATCTCTCAAAATACCAGTAATAAGCCTAAACCTACCCATCTCAAAATCAGAAATTAAAAGTGCAAACAATCAAAAAATAACCAAAAAATAGCATAATCAATATCAAAACTCAAATAGCCAAATCAAAAAAAGTGCTCAGAAAACCACTAGCCAAACCTGAAATCCTACACCTCTCTAAAAAAATTGACAGATTTATTACAAAACTCGAAACAGGACACACGAACCTAAATAACCACCTAAAAAAACTTAAAAGACACATCACAGGCAACTGCCCCCACTGCAAACAACCCGAAACCACAGAACACGCACTCATCCACTGCACCCACTACCAAACACACAGAACCACACTACAAACCACCCTCAATCTAAATAAGGTTCCTACTCTAGATGAAATACTAAACCCTCAAAATAAACTAGAAAACTTCAAGGCCCTAGGCGTATTCCTAATCAAAACAGACCTAATTAAGCGCATCTAAAAACTAATTAATCTACCAATCCAAAATCCAATAAACATACAAACACCCACCTCACCCGGCTCCCTTAGTCCCTCCTCCACCCACCTCGGCATTTATTCCAAATTTAAAAATTCCAGAAACTTCAATATAAGCAACCCCTAAAAGCCCCCTCTTGGGTTGCACACATCACTTTCACCCTTTTCGGAATACAATAAATGGTCCGGCCAGGCCCGTATGCGAAATACGCTACAGTCGGAAAGCGCACGTCAAATCTCCTATATCAGTCAGTCAGACCCCAGTGTTTCATATCATTTTCCCACCAAACTAAAAAAGAATACCCCCCAACTGGATATGTCAAGCGAACTAATTTTCGTTTCGTCTGTCGATTCATATTTTGGAAATTCAAGGGGAACCACTCCGGCTTATGCAGCACACACATTTGGGAAGGTTGCTTCAATAATAATAATACTTCTTACCATGGTTTCACAGTCGTTCGGAACTTTTTTAAGATCTGACACCAGATTATGCTGTCCGAAAATTTATCTATTTTTTTTAGTGGAGACAGGCCTATCGGAAATTCGAACTTGAACAGCAACGCCAAAACCACATTCCGCCGCAGTGACCAGCTGCTGATGACATAGACTAGGCTAGCTTTACACTAAGTCTTGTACCAGGCTGGCCCCTCTGGATAGTAGGTCTGGTCTCTCCTTTGTCCTTGGACCCCCTTTCCGATCATAAGGGTTGAGTACCCCTTGCCAATGAAACACGTGTTAACCATCCTTTTACTTTAGAGCACCCATTTACGACACATGGGGTTAGTTTTGAGTTCGGTTATGGTTTAGAAGTCTCTTGATATAAACATATTTATTTCCATAAAGTGGAGGGATTGGCAAACAAGCAAATTTTGCTTATCTGAATGCCTCTCCCAAACATGATACATAAGTCTCTTTTAACGAATTAATCCAATTTAATTTTCGCAGTATACTCACCCTTATATAATTTCAGCTTCATGACAGTGTGAACATTGAGTGCCCCCTACACAAGTATGCAGTCACTGACAACTGATGGAGTGACCTATACAAAACGGAAGATGCAGACGACTAGTACAAGCACGCACGCACACACATACTCACACGCACGCACGCACATGCTATATAAGTGCAATTATCTTGGACGCGACATTCAACCCAATTTCAACTCACCTCACTTATCTTACTTTGTTCATGTGCCTAAAGCTTGTGGAATGTGTTAATTACTGAAATGAAAAGCATTTTAATGTTTTTTTTCATATCTTTTCAGAATATGTGCACATAGCTTTCAATGACCAGACGAAAAAAAGAATTCATTTCAAGTATGTTGAGAAGAAAACGTAAGTAAAGCACACTATTTACATTCATAATACATTTTATTCCGCAGGCTCTATTGTAAAGTTAAACTCTAGCTGCGTATAGGCTGCCATTATCCATTATATTAGACAATATGGATCCACTCATCTATACATCTATTTTCTTTTGTGACAGGACCCATCTCTGAAAAAATCACCTCACCCAAGAAAATACGACTCATTCATGAGAATGAAAGTGCAAAGTCTCCCAAGAAATTGTCTTGTAATATAGCATGTGAATAAACAATTTTTTTAAATATCTCACGAAATTAGTTTTATTTTATTGCTTGTAATCATGTGAACTAAAAATGTTTGTTTTGAGGAGAAGGTCATTTGAAGCAACTCCAGGTTAAACTATCCAATGATTGAATCTTATTTCTCCTGAATTAAAATAATTCTGCTAAATATTACTGCAGAAAAAAATTCGGCCAGAAATTTCTTTAGAAAAAAAAAAATTCGGCCAGAAATTTCTGTAGAAAAAAAAAATACTGCCAGAAATTTCTGCAGAAAAAAAAAATTCGGCCAGAAATTTCTGCAGTAATGCATTTTCTGAGCCAATTTTTGAGCTTATGAACACGTGAACACACTGGGACACACATTATTTGGATTCGTCACCTCGAGAGCTTTCCAGTGATATAAAACATGTTTTTGTAGCTCGCTTCCTTCTGTGTGGTCAAGTTCGGACTCCTGGCCATTCCTAAGTTGTCCCGCCCTGCCTTAGTCTGTACTAGCCAGGAGGCTTCTGGCCGGGATCAAGCAGTAAAGGATCGGGACCAGCCACCACACCAGCTCGCCAGCCGACGCCGTGCCTTCCCACGCTTGACCCCCTCCCACCCACCCATGCCCAAACTTTTCCATATTAATTATTATTGTTATTCTTTTATTACCCTCTCCCACCCAGCCAAACCCCAACCCCTTAGCTTTATTAGATTAGGTCTGTAAAGTTTATATATTTATTGGTTGCACTTCTTTATTTATTCACTACGCCTTTTTTCCCCCAATAGTATAAGTGCTTCCCCGTGTGCGAGATACGCTAAATGTATTTTATTACATGCGGAAAGCGCACGTTAAATCTCCGAGTACATACAACTACTAATACTACCTCTACTGACGAGTCTCCTTTTTACCTCAGCCACAGCGATGGACATTCGAGTGTACCGACGTCGAGGTGAACGTTACGTCAGTCATTGTGTCATGGAAGAAGATCGGTTCGGGGGCGGCAGCGTTATGGTATGAGGTGGGATTAGAGCAAAACAGAGGACCCGTTTGATAGTGGTAGAGGGAAATCTCAATGGACAGCGCTACCGCGACGAGATCATCGGCCCTGTTGTTCTACCGTTTTTTCGTAGTCGTGACCCAGGCATTGCATTTCAACATGACAACGCCCGGCCTCATATTGCTCGACTTGGTCTGGATTCTCTTCAACAAAACAACGTGAATGTCATCCCTTGGCCGGCTCGCTCCCCTGATCTCTCACCAATAGAGCACTTGTAGGATGAGATGGATCGGCGCCTTCGACGTCAACCAGATGTTCCACAGACACTCCAGGAACTTCAAAACATGCTCCAGCAGATATGGGTAGATACCCCACAGGACTTTGTGCGACGCCTGGTCTATTCCATAAGACGAAGATGGGTTGCTTGCATCGCAATCAGAGGTGGACACACACGCTATTGATTTGTAAATTGACAGTTGGGCATGTTCATTGTTTTTTTTTATGAAATCACGCATTTTCCGAAGTCAGTATGGCAAATTAAACCAATTGAACACTTACAGGAGTCTTTTATCTGTTGCAAACCGAAATTGTTTCAGATTGGGTAAAAAACATAACTTTGCATTAAATCTTATTCAATGTCACAGGAACTTTTGCTCTGTCAGGTATGCATACATTGGCATGGCTTTGTCCAAATGTTGCTTCAGTAATTTGCCATTTATACGTGGTATGTCTGGCCATCCTGTTGCTTTCGCACACTCAAGAAGTGTGGACCTGAGTTTGTACGTCCAAGATATTCTTGGATGGGTTCTGTGCAACCCCCCCCCCCCCCCCCCCCCCCCACTCAAATATATAAAACAGTCATATATATATATATATATGTGTGTGTGTGTGTGTGTGTGTGTGTGTGTGTGTGTGTGTGTGCGTGCGTGTGTGTGTGGGCGCGCGCTTATCATGTCGCACGAGGAGAATGTGGTAGTTATCCATTTTATATGGTTGCGTTTAAACGAAGTATTAATTATTGGTTTGGATTGTTAAAAATGCCAGGTTCACCGTGTCCAAAATGTGTACCCACAATTTGACATTTTGTCTGTTCATTGAGATGCTGTCTCAAGGCATTTTAAGCGTGTGCATAGGTCATTGCATTTGGGATCGAGAGACCCGTGAAGATTCGGGGTAGAATAGGTCTTCAGCAACCCATGCTTGCCGTTAAAGGTGACAATACTTGTCGTAAAAGGCGACTAACGGGATCGGGTGGTCAGGCTCGCTGACTTGGTTGATGCATGGATTGATGCTCATGATATCAATCACTGGATTGTCTGGCCAAGACTCGATTATTTACAGACCGCCGTCATATAGCTGGAATATTGCTGAGTGCGGCATTAAACAACAAACCAACCAACCAACTAACCAACCAACCACATGCACAAACGTTAAGCGCCACCATATTCATAGTATTTTGATTTCACGTGTGGGAATCAGAAATACGAAATATGATGATGAATGACTGAATTAGGCTTCCATAGTTTCATGAACAAAAAAGTGTCCAGATACCACAAGGAAAGCGTGCTTTACGTGTTGCTGCAGTTCCCCTACCCTATAAATAGTGAAATTCAAGTTTCAGACACATGGTGAGGAGAAAGTTAACGAACGCTGAAAGATGGCAAGTGATAGGCATGAAAAATGCTGGCATGTCATGCAGGGCCATTGCAAGACAAATGGGTCGTCATCAAAGTGTTATCACTCGTTTGATTGTCAAACATGGTCAAACCAATGATGTCAATTACAGGCATGTCTGGTAGGCAAATGAAGACCTCTAACAGAGAGGATAGACGTCTTTTCATGATAGTCAGACGAAATCCATTTGCCACTTCAACAGATTTAAGACTGCAGTGGATTACCCATCAGAGACTCTCGACGATGACCGTAAGGCGTCGCCTCAGAACGGCTGGTTATAACGCCAGAAGACCAGTAAAACGTCCTCAACTGACTGAGAGGCACATGCGGAATCGTCTGATATGGTGTCGTGCCCATAGTCGATGGAACTTGGCCAACTGGAGAAGGATCCATTGGTCTGACGAGTGTCGAATGCTGCTACGAACTATTGAAAGTCGAATACGTGTTTGGAGGCAACGTAACACCCGTTTTGCACCAAGGAACATCCAGAAGACCTTAGCATATGGCGGGGGGTCTGTCATTATATGGGGTTGTTTCCTTCGGTTGCAAACTTCTGCTTGTGACAATTCTTGGAAACCTGAATGGCAATCAATACCAAGATGCCGTTCTTCGTCAAGTGGTAGTCCCTCATTTTGACAACCATCCTCTTCAGACAAGACCTGTTTACACGGACGACAATGCTAGACCACACAGATCTCGGGCAGTTTTGGCTTATTTGCGTCAAGAAGCTATTGCCACTCTTCCTTGGCCGGCCTGTAGTCCGGATCTTAATCCGATTGAGCATCTCTGGGACATTCTTGGCCGGAAAATCAGACATCGTGATACCCCAGTTCAAAATCTCGCTGGACTTGAAGCCACACTTCATGAAGAATGGATCTGTTTGCCTCAGAGAAGCATTCAACGACTTGTAATGAGTATGAGGCGTAGGGTTGAAGCTGTGGTCAATGTCCGTGGATCATACACACGTTACTGACGTTCTGTCTTGCAATAGACTCTGCACTCCCTAGGGTGTCTATGTGACACCTGATATGGTCTGCTGATATCATGACAGTTACAAAAAAAGTTTTTCAATGTTTTCTAATCCTTCAATTTCTGGTCTTCCATAAAATTCCTTTCTGCTCATATTCTTTTGGGACACAAGATAAACTTTGCGACAACTTTTGCATCACATGAGGTTTACATATAAGGCTTATAACAATCGTACATCTCGTTATAATAGTCATCATTAAGTGCCAAAAGTAACAGCTCACAAATATGGTGGGTGGCGCTTAACTTTTGTGCATGTGTATATATGCACGAATTAACATTTTGAGGTTGAAAGCCCCTTTATGTACATGTAGCGAATGTAACCGTGAAAGTTTTTCAGGGTTGGGATAAAATGGGTGTTATAAACTGTGAGCGTGTAAATGTGACGGATAAATTATCAGAGCGCGCTGAAATGAACGATGAAGAGAGAGGCGGATAGATGCAATTTTCTGACATCATGAGTGCGTACATTTACGAGAGGGCTCCCGGGTGGGTAAGGCGTTACTCTAGCGCAGGCGGCATAATCGTTAGCTAAGCACCATGGCAACTACATATGCCTTCATCCCTATACACATGTATCACTATTACAACACATGACACTTTAATATATTATTATTATTATTATTATTCAGATTAAAATAAAAAAATGCAGCAAAGAGGGTTTGGGTGATCCTGGCACAGTCAGGCTGGTTTGGCTCATCATCAGCTCAGAGCACTTGACCCCTCTACAAGCAGCCCAGACAGCGAATGTGAATTCTCCCAGGAAGTGCTGCCTAGTCAAACCCACCCAAAACTTTTCGGAGAATGTGAAGACTCCCCAACACTGCAGCCTTCTGCATTACCCAGATTGTCAGAAGGGCTGTATTCCTGGTTGCAAACCCGGGTACTCTCCCAATGTCAGTAAACCAACAACAATGGGGAGTCGGACAACTTGGTACTTGGGATGCAAGCATGACATTTCGAGAGCAAGGTCTGCATATTTGCCATGTTTTTCCTCAATCTTGTCAATCACATTACTGTCAAAAGGGACAGAAAATTCAATGATATAAATGATTTCATTGGATTTATCAAAAAGGACAAGATCAGGTTTGTTGGCCTGGATTAACCTGAGGCTGTATACGGGTCTATTCCAAAGGATTTTGTATTTATCATTGTCTATGACGCCATCTACATATTCCGGGTCGTACCATGGATGGACCTCTGTGTCAAAACCACAAGCATGGCGAAGACGATAATAAAATTATCGAGCCACCCCTATATTTTTGTTAAAGAATTTACATGGGACGGAGATAGCGACATTGCGTCAATTCTAAATGATCTTATGAGTGACTTATGAGTGGCTTGGGAGTGGCCACAGTGCAAGTAACTCGTCAGACCAAGACATGCCTTACGGTTGTGGTCGTTTGTGCAGATAGATAGTGAGTTGAACAGACTTCCATACAGAATGCCCGTTGATGCTCTTGCATGTTGAATGAGAGTTAGGCATGCTTATGTACATGTGCGTGTCAATCATGGCA